TCTTGAAGGACCCTAAGTCGAATTGGTTCGGGAATACTTCAATGGCCTCTTCGGAGTACATGTTTAATCCTGAAAAATTATCTACATATTTACAATATACTACATATATATATATAATACATTAAGAAAAAGTTTGTAATTAAAAGTTGGTAGTATTGTCAAAATTGACAGAATTCGCGGGTACCAATCTAAAACAATACGCGTTAAATCACGCATACGTTTTTAATCGCCTGTAGCTTCAACGTCTCAGGTTAGTCAAAAGCCCTTTCTTGGTAACCGATACAACTCAAAACAAGGACAAAAGAGTCACAACTTCGATGATCACGAAAAGAAAAATGTGAGTCGTCACGGGACGCCTGGCAGATGTGAAACATCGACATTATTTTGTAAAAATTACGATGACTAGTTATTGAATAAATATTTATTTTCATTTAAATACAAAAATTTACGAATTTATTTCAAACCGTGACTACTTAATTCTTTTAATCAGTGACTTCGAAATACACACACCGTACACACTACTGCATATAGACAGTCTATATATACCATCATATAGCGTGGCGTCGCCACGGCATGCGTCGCCACACCAGAAATCTGTTTTACGTGTGATGTTTCACATCAAAAGGGGGACTCAAATATAACAATCCAAATAAATACCAACATAAGTGACTCGATGGGCTTTTCGGGCGGATGTTTAAGGAACTATCACAAAAATTGGGCGAAATTAAAACCTCCTTTTTCCATTCTAAAAATAATTACCTCCGCTCGAATACCTTTCAATCGAAAACCGCCATTAGTACTACTAACGCGGGAAATCCTAAAAACGTTGCAAACACCTGTTTCAACTTCGATTTCCTTGGAAATACATACCATGATTCGAGACCATATACTGGAGCCAGCACCGCTGACTCCGTCGTTCATATCATATCGTTCATATTTCATAATAACGAAGAACGGAAAAATCTAATTTTTAGCCTAAAATCTTTAAATCGGTTCATGAAACCAGAACCTTTTCATCTGTTTCATCACCACCAAATGCCAAATTTCTTACAAAAAGGCGATTGGATGGTGAAGCTGGATCTCAGGCAATCCTACTATCAAGTACCGATTTCCCTCGAACATCGTTGCTTTCTGCGTATCAGTTACGAGGGAAGGCTCCTTCAAATGACTTGTCTACCTTATGGCCAACCATAGCTCCGAAAATGTTTGCTTCGGTGACAAATTGGACAGCCGAGTTATTACGCCGTCAGGGCTTAAGAGTGATCGTTTTCTTGGATGATTACTTACTGATCCACCAGGACAGAACAATTCTTAACTCCCAGGTTCTCATAGCCATTACCTTTTTGAAGAACCTGGGCTGGACCATAAATCTAGAGAAGTCGATATGCACTCCAACGAGGTCGATCGATTTTCTGGGTATCACGTGGGACATACTATCAAATGCAAAGTCCTTACCCGCAGAAAAAGTTATCAAAATTCGTCAGTACCTGATAACACGCTTGTCAGCCGGCAAATTGGACCCTCAAGCAGGCCCAACACCTCTTAGGGTATCTCAATTTTGCGACCTTCATCACCCACCGGGGAAGGTTGCATTGCCGAACGCTGCAGCGGCTGTGGGGAGCGCTAATCAACAACAAACCCCTGAATGGTTCTTGGACTCAGTCAGATTGAGTGGCATTGCAATTTAAAGGAGATGCACGCTGTGGTAGCAGCAATCTCTTTGACATCCGAAGTCCTAAAGAACTCGATGGTAATCCTGCAAAGCGACAGAAAAGCTGTTGTATCGTACATAAAAAACGAAGGAGGAACAAGGTCCCAAATGCTGTTAAAATTGACAAAAGATCTTCTGGCACTGACGGACAGTTTGAATATTGTACTTATCCCTCACTTCCTTGCCGGGAATGTACAACGTGGAAGCCGATTACCTCTCGCGCAATCGCAGGGGCACCGAATGGCATCTCTTGAAAGAGGCAACCACGGACATATTCAGACGATGGGGAACCCCCGAAATAGATCTTTTCGCTTCACGAGAGGCTCTTGTCGTGGCAAGTTATGTGTCGCTAGACTTATTAGACTCCAACACTTGCTTCACCACGCCTTCAGCAAATGCTGGCGATACGATCTAGCGTGGATATTTCCACCACCAGTGCCTCTACCTCGAGTGCTGCACCATCTCAACTTATCCCAAGGGAAGTTCATAATAATAGCACCCAGGTGGAGGAAGCCTTTTTGGCGCCCGGATTTGAAAGGCCGAGCACTTGCACCCTCGCTACCAATACGGAATCTAAACAAAACCCTGATAAATACCGTAACGGGTCAACCTACTCCTCAAGGGCAGAAATTACAGTTGGAAGCGTGGCTGATTTTGGCTGGAAAACACGAGACGAAATACAACTTATTTCGTCGTGTTGGAGAGCTTCAACAAGGAAAACATATGCCCCTATTTGGTATAAATGGGTAAATTGGTGTCAACATAGTAATATAAACTGTCGATTCCCGGCTCCTCCTGATGTAGCTAGATACTTAGCAAACCTATTTATAAAGGATCATCTGGCATAGATATCTATACGTATATATCTAAATCATTTATCTATATCGACGTAGGAAAGCATATTTGCTGTAAGTAGACAAAATACCTAAAGTGACTTTTTCCTGCCATTAGAATCAGAAAAAAAAGCCGCATCGAATGACCTGGGTCCTGTGTCTCTACGATGAAAAAAAAATTACATACGCCGTTGAAAACGCCCGTACTTATATTATTTTTAGCAAGATTAAATGCTGTATGTAGACCAAAATCTAGTCATTTCAGACATTTCGCACTTACAGCAAAAGAAAATCTGCATTTTTTTCTTTACAAATACTTACTTCTTCCCATTTAAAAACTTAACGCTACTTACAGCATTTCAGCGGCGTGTGATTTTTACATTCGTTTACTTACAGCAAGTTTAGGGAACCTACAGTTTTGGTTTTTTTTTACCATTTACGACATTTTATTTCAACCAAACATTACATTACCAAATGACCCACTGCATTTCTAGATCTAATCATAATTATAAACTAATCTTACATCTTGAATTGCAATTAAAAGTACCCAAATACATAAATTTCCTGCATACAGCATATTTACCGCCTGTAAATTGATAATATTTCCGCGCGTACATTTTTCTTCCTTAGTTACAGCGTTTTAAAGGTTTGTGATTTAAAAAACTGTTTGCTGTAACTAGCCAAACACGTACTTATAGTAACTTTGGATAAAAAGTTTACATTGCAAATGGTGACTGGCAGTTAAATAAATATATGTTTCAAAAATGGTAGCAATATCATGGATAGGTCAGACACTATTAATTTTTTCCGAAATTAATAAAGTTTTTTGGCTCTGGTGAACAATTGCAATATGTCTACTTACAGCAAATGTGCTTTCCTACGTCGATATATCTAAATAGATCTATATCTATTTTAGTTCACACGTCTGACATAGCATCATTTTGTGAGGCTCTAAGCGATGTTAAAATTTCATCTAATAAATTAGTAAAACATATCCTTAAAGCGCTAGCTCAATCCTATCTATAGCTAGACCAATCGCGCAGTAATTGCCAGCATGGGATGCGGGAATAGTTATAAATTATTTGAAAAGCCTAAAACTAGATGAGCAAAATTTATTTCATATCTCGAAACGCACAGCCACAATAATTTTATTGGCTTCTGGGGATAGAGTTCATGATTTGACACTCTTGCATTGCGAGCCTCAGCATTTTATTGATAACGGTAATTCCATCACTTTGCATCCGGTTTTCGGTTCTAAAACAGATACAGGAACGTATAGACAATCAAGTTGGACGTTGTTATCTTGCCCGGATAAGCATCTAAATCCCTTATTTTGGCTTAGGACACTCATAACTGTCTCTAATAATAGGTGAGGCTCCTTGACAAATTTGTTTATTACAACCAGATATCCTGTAAGACCAGCTACGCCCACAATTTTTGGGGGCTGGGTTAAGAAACCCCTTTTGGAATCAGGTATCGAAGCATCTCGGGGTAGTTGATCAGCTGTTGCTTCGCTAAATTTTTTAGAAACATAAATTATATTCTTTCTAAGGCAAATTGGCGTCATGAAAGTACATTAAAGATATATTATTGTCGAAATCTAGATAATAATAGTCAGAATGCTGAGACTCAATCAGAAGTCTCTTTCTCGGTTCTTTCGGCCGCTTAATGATTAGCCCAGTTTTATACTTCATTATAAACAATAAAAATTTTGTTATTATGTTTATTAAATGATGCTAAAGCTTAGGCTTTAATTAGCTTGTATTGTTTATTTCATCATGATTCTATCGAAAATAAATAATTCAAATCACATTGTTGCGTTTTTAGTTATTATAATATATAACTTTACAAGCCACCAGGAGATAACAAACACGTCTCTCATAATGGACCTCGGACGTCAAACGGAACACATAATATAGAAATTTTACTTAAAAATAAAATTTGTATTATGTTTCCTAAGACGTCCGAGGTCCAAACAAGCTCTTCCTGAACAAACAATGAACAAGAATTCTGGCGGCTTGCTTTAGCGCGGTAAAAAGTTAGTTCCAGTTTCAAACGCAGGGCGCTGGCGGCGGTGTCACGTGGTGTGAAAAAGGTCGGATACTAGCGATTTGGGCGGAAACGGAAACGATGTACTCTCATAATGGACCTCGGACGTCTTAGGAAACATAATACAAATTTTATTTTTAGGTAAAATTTCTATATTTTAATTTCCTTTGCCTGAAAAGTATGTTGAAATTACTAATTAATTTATTTACATAATTAACAGAGTCATTATTTATTATTATATTTTCCAATAGAATCACTATTGCTCATAATATATTGTTCATTTTTCTTTTATTTATGTACTTTCAGCTATTTTTATGATGTAAATTAATTTATATAGTATAATATTGGTTTATATTATTACCAAGCTCAATTTATTAAAATCAGGATCTGAACGTCTAATAACAGCTATGTATTTAAAAAGTGTACTCACTGTAGTATGTAAACTATAGCAATGCAATTTAGGTCTTAATAATTGCAAACTACGGTTTAAAGTGGATGCTGCAGCCTTTCTGGACATTTTTAATGTGTGCTTGATATCGTTCAATGAACACTACTATTGATTCACAAGTATTCACCTAAAGTGAGGTTATGCTAACAATAGGACAACATTAGAATTTAGAATAGACAAATAACGCGATTTTAAAATACGTCATTTATAACTTATATAATTTTACACAGCGATATACACCTGTTCATTAGCACACAGGGCAAGGTAGGGATGTGACACTTTTTATATAGTTGTTATTAGACGTTCAGATCCTGATTTTAATAAATTTGAGCTTAGTAATAATAGAAACCCATATTATTTCATATAAATTAATTAACAACATAAAAATAGCTGTAAGTACATAAATAAAAGAAAAATTAACAATATATTATGAGCAATAGTGATTATATTGGAAAATATAATTATAAATAATGACTCTGTTAATAATTATGTAAATAAATTAATTCGTTATTTCAACATACTTTTCAGGCAAAGGAAATTAAAATACCAGTACCATGGGGTCATGTCTCTGCAAAACTATGGGGACAGGAAAACCAGCGACCCGTTTTAGCACTTCATGGATGGCAAGACAACGCTGGCACCTGGGATCCACTTGCACCTATGATCAGTGATAAATTACCGATTCTTGCAATCGACTTCCCTGGCCACGGCCACTCATCGTGGATTCCACCAGGTAGTTTTAAAAAAATGAAAATATATGCAATGCAAAAAATTATGTTTCTTAATGATATTTCATCTTTCAGGGTTCCAATATTCTCCCTGGGATCTACCAAGATTGATACTCACAATTAAAGATTACTTTAAGTGGGATAAAATTTCAATTTTAGGACATTCCATGGGTTCAATAGCTGGGATGCGATTCGCCTGCGTATTCCCAGATGATGTAGACTTCTTTATAGCAGTGGACAGTCTTTTTTACGATGACTACGACTTGAACCAAATAGTTGAAAGATACGAAAAATACAATTAGCCCAAAATCGCCTTAATGACGAACCTCCATCATATACGATGGACGAGATTACGCAAAAATGGTATTTAGGTACAAACAAATCTGTAGCATTGGAAAGTGTGCAGCACCTCGCACAACGCGGTTTAAAGGCGTCCTCGACTGACCCAAATAAGTTTTATTTCCATAGAGATGCTCGACTAAAAACCATACTTTTTAATCACGAAAATAAATTATTAGTAGGGACACTTGGCAAGCGCTTAAAGTGTGCTACTTTATATTTCAAACCGATAGACTCACCCTTTGCAGCAGACGAATATTGCGTGGAATTGCGAGAAGTGGTTGAAAGGAATAATGCGAAATTTGAGAGCCATTTTGTCCCAGGAACACATCATGTCCAATTAAATAATCCTGAGAGATTAGCACCGACTATTATAACCTTTTTACAAAAGTATAACTTTGTATAATCGTTATAATAATAATAATAAAAGCCCTTTATTCACTGACCATTTTAAGTTACATGCTATTCTTATTTAACAGTAGCATTCTTAAATCTAATTTACATAGCGAAATAATAATTATTTATTATCAACCACTTTGGTCATGTTGTCTGTCGACATAGGCCTCTCCCAATCGTTTCCACATCTCTCTATCCTTGGCAGACCTTCTCCATTCTGATGGCAGATCGTCCTCCCATCTTTTAACTTGACCTCCTCGTTTTCTTTTCCCGTTTCTCGGATACCACTCTATTACATCCTTAGTCCATTTTTCTTTGTTAGTCCTCATTATATGTCCAATCCAGTTCCATTTAAGCTTTCTTATTTTTTGTAGCACGTCACTGACGTTTGTTTTTTTTCTTATTTTTGAAGCTGTCCATCGATCTGGTAGTCTTATATTAAGCATGCTCCTTTCCATGTTGCGTTGACAAACTACTAGCTTTTGATTGTTTTTGCTCGTCGTAGGCCAAGTTTGACATCCATAAGTAAGACATGGTAAAATACAAGTGTTATATAATTTGGTTTTTATTGCCATGGGAATTGTTTTATTCTTAACTATTTCTTTTAGAGACCAGTACCGTTTCCAAATGTTGCATATTCTTCTATCTATTTCATTAGAATACTGGTATTTTATTGAAATAAGTTGTCCTAAATAAATATATTCATCTACATATTCTATATTTTCTTGTCCTATTACTATATTTTCTTTTATTGCATTCGTCATTACTTTAGTCTTCGTTGGGTTCATTGATAAACCTGCTTTCCTGCTTTCATCATCTAATTGTTGTAACATAGTTTGTAGTATGCTTGGTTTATCAGCGAAAACTACTATGTCGTCGGCAAATCTTAAATGATTTAGGTTCAATCCATAATTACTGATTCCAAAATGCTCCCAGCCTAAGTTCCTGAATATATCTTCTAACACTGCTGTGAAGAGTTTTGGGGAAAGTGGATCGCCTTGCCTAACGCCCTTTTGAACTCTAAATTCTTCGCCTTGTTGTTCAAGTTGGACTGTTGCTGTGGTGTTTTTGTAAATTTATTTTATGATTTTTATGTATTTTCTTTCTACTCCTTGATTTTCTAGCGTTTTCCAGATATTGGTATGACTCAGCGAATCAAAAGCCTTATTGTAATCGACGAATGCCATATAATACAATTGCCCGTATTCATTGAGCTTTTCAATTACTTGCTTCACAACAAGAATATGGTCGATGGTAGAATAATCAGCGCGAAACCCAGCTTGCTCCCTCGGTTGGTTTTCTTCTAGGTGTTTTGATATTCCGGAGTATTATTTTAGAAAACCCTTTGTATAGATTGGACATCAGGCTTATTGGTCTATAATTATTTATTTCATTTTTGTCACTTTTTTTTGTGTAGTAGGATGATGGTTGATGTCGTCCATTGAATGAGTATTTGTTCAGTTTCTATTATTTTATTAAAAAGAAGAGTCACATATCTGGTTATCGCGGGTAGAGACTGTTTAAGTAGTTCGTTAGATATTTTATCATCTCCAGGAGCTTTTCCACTTTTTTGTGATTTTGTAGCCTGTGTGACCTCAGATTCTAGTATACAAGGTATTTCTTCTGCTTCGTAAGCTTCCTTTTCTTCTTCTACTGGCGTTGTTTTGTCTGTCTCCGTGTATAAGTTTTTGTAATAATCTGTCGCTACTTTCGCTATTGATAGTCTATTTGTTGTATGGCGTAGTCTTTCGCTCTTTCGTGAATTTTGTTTTTCGTTTTTGACATTCATAAGCATGCTCTAAGAAGCATCTAAATTGAATAAACGTATTTTGATTTGATTTGATTTGATTTGTAATGGTATTTTCTTTCCTCTTGTGTTTAGTTTTCATGTTGGGTATCCATTGTGTATATTCTTTTAACTGTTTTAGACCTCTTTTAATTCCGCCTGTTTTTTCTATTTGTTCTTTCAAAATATCTAGTCTTCCTGCTTTTTTATGTTTTCTTATCGATTCTTGAATTTTCTTACTAATATTTGCAATATTTTGTTTATTATCTTTTCGTTTGTGTAACATTTCCTTTCTCTCTTTCATCAATTTTAATGTTTCTTCTCCCAACTTATTTTTCACCGCATTTTTCGCACTCGATTTGTTTATATTTATAAGTTCTTTTTCCAAAAAATTATACTTCTCTTGCAATGTTTGAGAATCTTTCATTCCATTTAATGTTGTCTCTAGATCATTCAATATATTTTGTGGTATTGAGGATGTTATTGTTTTGTTCATGGTTTAGGGTATAATATGTTTTCTTGATTTGTTGTTCCTGTCTTGAATAACTCCTCTAACCATTCTATGATCTGTATTAAAATTGAACTTATTAAGTACTTCAATGTCATTAAATATATGTTTTTCTCTCGTAAGTATAAAATCTATTTCATTTCTATCTATGCCATTCGGCGCTAACCATGTCCACTTTCTCGACTTTCGTTTTTTGAAGAAACTATTCATTATTTTAAAATTGTAAGCCAAAGAAAAATCTATTAGCCTTTGTCCGTTGTCATTTCTGTCACCATTACAGTACTCTCCTAAGACAAATTCATCTTTGTTTGATTTCCTACCAACCTTAGCGTTGAAGTCTCCCATGATAATTATGTTCTTCTTTTGCGTTAATTCTGTCATGTCTTTATAAAATGTATCTTTTGTTAATTTTTCATCTTGTTCTGTGGGTGCATGTAATTGAATAATGAACCATGATTGTTTAGATTCACTTAATTGAATATTGAGTACGGCGATTCTATCTGATATTCCTTGGAAGTTAATTATTTTATCTTTTAAATATTTCTTTACTAGAAATCCCATTCCATATATCCCTTTTTGTGTTCCATAAGAATAAAAAAATGTATTTCTCGTATTCTCTTATCTCTTCTCCTATTCTTCTTACTTCACAAAGACCTATGACATCCCATTTTATAGGTGCTATAGCTTCATCCAATTCTTGTAGTCTGTTGTCCGACATTAACGTTCTAACGTTTAACGTTGCGACGTAAGTCTTATTGTAGTTTCTGTTTTGATATAGGGATGTATTTCTATTTCTATGGGGGGGTGGTGGTCGTGCGGACCACGGGGACCAGCCGGATTGGGGTTGTTCTGTCTCTGGTTGCTAATGTGTAGTTGCTACTTAGAGTTCTTTGAAATATTACTAATTGAGCTTGACCTTGGTCTCATCAAATCAAATGCGTTTTTCTTATTTTCCTTTATTATTGAACTGCTGGTTACTGTTGTCTTTTTGGCTAGATTCTGATTATCCGGCGAAGTTAATTGGTATCCCTTCCTTTTTTCTTTGATTGGGTTCCCCTCTTTCACTATCAGTTGATCGTATTGGTAACGATGCGAAAGAGAAGTACCTAAATTTGGGGTGCAGGGGGAGGGGAGGGGGGAGGGGGTGTAGTAATCACCCCCACAAATTTTGCGCTTAGGAAACCAAAAAAAAATTTTTTTTTTTTTTTACCTGGGGAAACCCACTTACGGGCCCCCACGCCTGGGCAAGTGTGAATGGCGCGGGGAGTGTGGGGGTCAAGGTCGTAAAATGCGATGACCCCATACCCACTAAAACCACCAGGGCCCAATCCATAGTGCATGTAGAGCCGGGTCGTGGTAGCAGCCAGTAGGCTTCTATCCACTTCATCAGCTCTTCAGCAGCAGTGAATGAAAAAATAAATTAACATATGTAAGCAAAATAAAATAGCAAAATAAGCAGTATAGCATAATAAGCAATATAGCAAAATAAGAGTATAGTAAAGTGTTATTTTAATTTATAGATATATTTAATTGCTATAAGTAGCTCCGAAAAGGGGTCTTTTTTATATTTCTTATTGTTTCGCCGCCATAGGTATTCGTATAAATGATCAGTGAAATTTTCGGTATTATTAAAATTATAATTATTTTTCTTAAAAAATCGCTTAACTGCTCTGTCTGTCTAGTATGTATATAAAGCCAAGTTTTAAAAAATTGTTAATAAAATAACGCACATTCAAGCAAAAATAAAAAAAACCTAAAAAGTAACGGCTTTTAACTGATTGATTTTGCACTTGATCACTGTGAACACACACTGTTCTGGCAAAATAGACATTCGAAATGGCCGATTGCGTTTATACTTTATAAAATGAATAGAGATGTGAAAAATAATCTATTCTGTGAAAGTGAAAATCGATTTTAGTATTCGATATAAATCCGATTTTAAATCCGATTTTGTATTCGATTTGAGTTTCAGTTGAACAGTTATTTAAAAAAAATATTAACATACGGTTAGTATATTAATATTTATATAACGTAACCAATCTAAATAATATTTGTTTTTGTGGACAGCTCCGATCTAAATAGTAATTGTTTATTGAAGCCTCGGCTTCTCGGCGTCCTGGTCGCCTTCGGCGACCAAATATTCATATACTAACTCTAACCTAACCAATCTAAATAATATTTGTTTTTGTGGACAGTTCCGATCTAAATAGTAATTGTTTATTGAAGCCTCGGCTTCTCGGCGTCCTGGTCGCCTTCGGCGACCAAATATTCATATACTAACTCTAACCTAACCAATCTAAATAATATTTGTTTTTGTGGACAGCTCCGGCGCTACGGGAAATGAAAGAAACGGGCGCTCTTCCTCCGCGCCTCCGATTATTTATATACACTCTAGGGGTAAGGCAGACAAGACCACTTGGATAGTGGGCTGCTCTGATTCGGTTTTGGGTACTATTTGAATAATTTAATAATTTTCGGAACCATACATTAATTAAAACATGAAGTTAATGTAATGTACCTATGTACATTTGACAAGTAATGCTTAAATTAGGTTCAACTATAAAATTAACAAATGAGAAAATAATCGATTCGATTAGGTTCAACTTTAAAAATAACAAATGAGAAAATAATCGATCCAATTAATTTACCGAAAATGTCACATCACTTATAACCAATAGAAAACGACAATGACACATCACTTATAACCAATAGAAATCGAGAAAGTCACATCTCTTATAACCAATAGAAAAGTAGTTAGATAATGGCGGATTGTTTATAATTTCAATACAATTGACAAAAGTTAAAAAAATTTTTTTAAAATACTTTGACGCTTATCCTAAAGCTAAAATCACTTGGAGGTGTTCCAATCAAGGGTCCCCGAGACTCCTGCATAATCAGTATCATCAAATTCCATCGCATTGATATCAACCCCAACCCATCGTATTTAATGTATGCAGTGTTTCCTTTCGCACGTTCTTCTATTAGTTTCGGCTTTAATTCCCTTCTTTTTTCAAGTATCTCTTTAGGAAAATCTTCAGTGATGTCGTTAATTTTTAATATCTCATTTTTCTTTCAGTTGTTTGCAAAACTAATGAGGACCGGTCTTATTTTGTTCTCTTTGATTCGACCGATGCGGTGGATTTTTGATACATCGCTAGCTTCTAATGTAATGTTTAAATCTTGTTTAAAAGTTTCTTGGACTCTGTGGAGCAACTCAGAAGGAGAATCCCCTTTCTCATCCAAACCAAAATACAGGACGTTGTTCCTCTTTTTTTCCTTTTCGAAATACTAAATTTTCTTTTCTAATATTTCTATTTTATTTTTCAAAATTTTGTTTTCATTTATTAGTGGTTCTAGTTTTTTGTCCATTTTTTCGAATATAATATTTGTTTGCTTTTCCATCTCTATTTTCATTTGGTCGAAAAGTAGTTTGAATTGTCCCTCCATTTCTTTGTGGTTTCTTCTCTGGCAACACTGACGTGTATTTGACGTTTGATTTTATTGTTAATCTGTTCTATGACGTACGTCGGCACTTCCGTCGAACGTATGTCAATGCAATAGGTATTATAACCTCTAATACTGGAGTATAAAATTATGTAAATAAAAGCGTATTTACTTATAACTTCACAGTGTCTATTTCCCAAGATGTTCGGCGTCACTTGATTTTTACGTTTATTGCAGCAGATGATGTAATAGCGCTGAATAACTAGTGATTTCCAATTAATTTCGGCGGACGAATTTAAAGGTGATGTTTCTTCTGACAACCAGAGACTACTATGTCTTGAATTGTATAATCGTTACGATTCTATAAAGAATATAATATTCTTATAAAACAATCTCCACAGAGCAAGTCGGACCAAGTGAGGGGTAATAGAGAGGAGTGAAACTGGGAACACCGGAAATGTGGCGATTGGCGCGCGGACGTGACAGACGCGGGAGTTTTTTGTTATTTATGGTGGCGTCGTGTAAAATATTGTCTTCTGGTTGCGTATAATTTTGATTGTGGTATTTTAGTTAATTAAAAATTGTTTTGTAAGGAATAAAACTTCCTAGGTTGAGTGTTTTGTTACTTTTAATATTTATCGTTTGTGATTTTCAAGATCAGAAGTGGGATCACTACGCGTTTAGACCGTTTGTCATCTAAATTTAGTACTTATTAGTGTTCAGTGTTGAAGGAACCTCATCTCAACCGTAAGTTTTATTTCTCATAAAAACAAAATGCCTGGTCGTTCGTCTCGACTCGAGGGACAAAGGCATAGTTGCGAAAAACGGCGTTCTAGTTTTCGCGAAGCACGTCGCGATAGTGTAGATTCCCGTTATACGCCGCTTGGTAGAAGCCTCTATAGTAGTTCATCAAACTGCCGGGATCGGTCTTCCAGGCGTCGTGATGTATCGCACGGCCCTCGTAAACACAAACGGTACTTGCGTACTCGCTGCGATAGTTCACGCGATGTAGCTCTTGATAGGATTCTTTGTAGTTTGGAAGTGATCGAAGCTAGTCTACTTGTATCCGTAAATAGCGTGTTTCCGTCGCGTCCTGTGAGTGGGAGCCATATTTTAGTAACCACCCCCTTTGGCGGTACAGAGTTCTGCTAGTAAGCCAGGCTCAGGCATGGCTGAAGAGGTTATTGAGTGTAGTATTCCACACACACTGGATATGAATACCAGTGAAGCAAAGGAGTAGGAGCAGTATTGTTGAAGCATTGACTGCATTGTTCAAAGCAAAGTCTCACAACTTTTATATATCGCCTTTTGATCCAAATGTACACGACTTTGAAGTTTGGTGCCCGGCTTCTAAATAATTGGGATGATCACGAATGTTTACGACGGATAGGTAGTTGTTTGAAAAGAGATGCGAAGTTGTGGTTAAACGATTGGGTGACAAATGATCGATCGTGGAGTAATTTTAAACTAGAATTTAGATCGTTATGTCCACGTAACGTTGACATGGCTTCTGTATTATTTGAGGTAATGAGTACAAACTCTAATAAGTTTTCTACTTATGCGGAATACGCGCGTAAATCTTTGCTACGTCTGAATATCGTTAAAGGTTTATCCGATGAGCTGAAAACCGCTATTGTTGTTCGAGGCATTAGCGATCCCCAAATAAAAGCCGCGGCCACAAATGCTAAATTACACTCAAAAGGTTTGATTGAATTTTTATCTGTTTATGTAAAACCTAAATACGATTCCCGCCAATCGAACAATACCGTTCGTTCTTTTAGTAGTTCAGGTTCGTCTTACATGCGAAAACGCGAGGCGTCTAGGTTTGATAATAACAAAATTACTTGCCACACCTGTGGAAAATTAGGTCATAAGAAATGGCATTGTCCTAAAAAAACTTAGAGCTGATCCTACGACTTCTACTCAGGGAGACAGTTTCACAAAACCATCTCCAATTGCATTAAGCGACAATCAGAATAGGTCAGTTAAATATTGCACATTTTGTAAGCGTAATGGACATTTGATAGATTCATGTTTTTAAAAACAGCGTTCTAACAGTGGTGATAAAAAAATCAATGAAGTAAATTTTTGCTTAGACTTGACCCCAAACAAAGTAACGTAATATCAGCAGTACTTCAAAAAGTACCAGTCGATGTTTTGATCGATAGTGGGTCGGATATTTCTTTGATTTCAGAGTCAGTACTGAGATATTTTAATTTGAATAGAGTGCCAACTTATCGCTTGATGCGTGGAATTGGAAGTCAAGAAATTGAGTCGACTTCTCTAGTTACGACAGTTATAGAATTTCATTCAGTGTCATTAGAAATAGATTTATTTGTTGTTCCTTCTCAGTGCATAAATGCACCCATTTTGATTGGTACCTACCGCTGTACTGAATCAAAAGGTTTTGACATACATTGGAACTAATGGAGAACAGCGGCTTGTGAGGTCTGGTATTGAGCCGACTTTGCAGCATGTGGTCGCAGTGGGCGACGAGTGTCAGGACCCCATTAATTGACTCAGAAATTGAATACTTGAGGCGATTGATTGGTTATGGTCAGGTTAGGCCGAGTCTGGGGAAGGTCGATGCACTTATTAGATATCCAAAACTCACAAATGTCAAAGAGATTCGCCAGTTTCTAGGCTAAGCGGGATATTTCCGTCGCTATATATCAGGTTATGCTTCTAAGACGGTGTATATAGAAAAGTTGTTAAAAAAAAAGGGCAACCATTTTTGTGGATTGCTGAGCTGGATACTGCTCGTGATTATATAATTCACTGTTTGACAAATGAACCGGTTTTAGCGATATTCAATCCCCAGTTGCCTACGGAACTTCACACCGATGCAATTGCTATTGGTCTTGGTGCTAATTTATTACAAGAACACGCTGGTAGGAGAAAGAGGATTGTCGGTTATTTTAGTAGGTCCATCCAGGGCGCAGAGTCACGGTACCACGGCTATGAGTTGGAGACGTTAGCTGTCGTCGTACGTGCACTCCAGCACTTCCGCCACTATTTGAATGGTATAACGTTTAAAATAATGACTGATTACAACTCATTAAAATTGACGGAGCGTTATGGTTATGGTTTGTGGATTCAGTTTCCGCACTTAGACTCTCAGTAGGTGCGTAAAGTCCTGGCTAACTAAGCCAGCCTAACTCCTTCCAGAAGCATAGGAGTCTCCTGGGCACTTCGTAGGCTTCATGGAGCGACCTCACTGTTCCGAGGATTTCTGCACGTTGTTTAGCTACAGCCTCGCATGATGGACTACGTGGGTGACTGATTCCTCTGCGCTGAAACAGCCTTTGCACAGGGGGCTGTCTGTCGCGCCTAGGACAAAAAGACGTTTGTTAAGGAGACAATGGCCCGTAATTGTCCCTATCATTGTTTTGAGATTGGTTCTGTTTAAGTTTAGAAGTTGCTTTGTTAGTTGCGGGTTAACTGCTGGCAGAGCTATTTTGGACTTTCTGCAGTCCGCACTTCGCGACCATCGTTGATATTGAAGTTCCTTAGATCTTTGGTGAACTCAGGTTCGCACCTGCGAGAAGGGCAAAAGAAGAAGCGGAAATGGGCGGTTGGAGCGACACACTCGCAATGAAAGATTGAGATGTGTGTGCCCAAATACGGGTGTATGTTGATGTTAAGATCCAGAGAGAATATGCCAGCGCCGGAGCCACACCCTGCTTTTGAGTCATCGGTATATATGCGTAGCTCATCCAGGGTTGATCGGTCACATCCTTCTTCTCTCATTTGCACATGGTATTTCCTATTGAGCATGTGTTGGTTTGCAATCCTATCACATGGCGCGGCTATTAGAGCCAGTGCTGCCTCCTGCTGTATGTGTAGGTCCAGGGGTACAACTTGCAGGGCTATCTCTAATGCTGCAGTTGGCATTGTTTTCATGCAACCGCTAGCAGTGGACAAAGCAAGCCTTTGAAAGCGTCCAAGTTTCCAGACCAGACCAGGGCTCATTGTCGGAGCGTAAAAAGGATTTGTTGTCTCGAGTTGCCCGCTGATGGGTATATTTACAAGGTTTTAATTTTACTTTAGATTATATAAAAGGGGCTTTAATGCAACATGCTACGTTGAGCACGTGTTGAAGTAGGCAACAAAGGTTCCCAATGGTCCTATGTGCTGTGGAGGATACCTACAGCTCACTTTGGAGGAACATCTCCAAGCAAAGTACCACGCATACTTAACCACTGCAGTTACTGGTCGGTATCGACGCAGTCACTCCAGTCTGATGATTGGAGTAACGATCTGATGATCGTTAGTGTGAGATGTAGCTATAACTAACTCTAATCCCAAACGGGAGGCTCTCTTAACTCTTTGCAGACAACGAGCTTCTGAACTGCTTGCAACCGGTTGACGATGGCCGCACGCCTTTGCTGTCGGAGACTTTGTGTTTGAGAGCAAGACTGCACAAATCACCGACAAACTGGACTCCGGCATGCGTGAGCCTTACAAGGTTATTCGCTCGCTACCGTGCCACTGCTATGAGTTGGAGCTACTAGCTGGTTCCTGGTGTTGTGGCAAGGCGAGTGGACGCCGGATGCGTGCTCAGTTTCCTTCGAGACTGGACTTTGTGGTGCTAATGTGTTTAGACCACTTTGAGAACATACAAGCGTATGGGTCTCTGTTTTAAATTTTTGTGGTGCTAATGTGTTTAGACCACTTTGAGAACATACTAAGGTATGGTATGGGTCTCTGTTACAAATTTTTGTGGTGCTAATGTGTTTAGGCCACATAGAGAACATGCAAAGGTATGGGTCTCTGTTTCAAATTTTTGTGGTGCTAATGTGTTTAGACCACTTTGAGAACATACAAGCGTATGGGTCTCTGTTTTAAACTTTTGTGGTCCTAATGTGTTTAGACCACTTAGAGAACATGCAAAGGTATGGGTCTCTGTTTCATATTTTTGTGGTGCTAATGTGTTTAGGCCACATAGAGAACATGCAAAGGTATGGGTCTCTGTTTCAAATTTTTGTGGTGCTAATGTGTTTAGGCCACTTAGAGAACATGCAAAATGTATGGGTCTCTGTTTTAACAAATTGCCGCTTATGAGAGCACTAGAAGCCGCTGTCGTTACGACAGTGTATTGCAAGATACTGAGTTTTATTTTTATTCGTGTTAAGTCTGAAGCTATCTAATTCTGTAATATTTGCTTTTTGATAGACCTTATCTGTGTGCGCTTGAGTGCACGCTTGCGCACATAGTACTGGTAATTGAGAAATAGAGATAAATGTCATTTTTCATTCCTCTAATCCAGGATATATGCTTCAGGCTATAACACTAAACTAGGTAAATTACTTACAAGTTCCTTCTATGTTTCAGAGACTGCATTAGACAATAATGAGCAGGTTGCAAGGGATGAAACAAATGAAGAGAGAAATGGCTCTGATGCTAGTGGTGCAACTAATGCTGCGGTCGAGGACGCCGCACTGTCAGGAACGGCCGTCTTATAAAACAATCTCCACAGAGCAAGTCGGACCAAGTGAGGGGTAATAGAGAGGAGTGAAACTGGGAACACCGGAAATGTGGCGATTGGCGCGCGGACGTGACAGACGCGGGAGTTTTTTGTTATTTATGGTGGCGTCGTGTAAAATATTGTCTTCTGGTTGCGTATAATTTTGATTGTGGTATTTTAGTTAATTAAAAATTGTTTTGTAAGGAATAAAACTTCCTAGGTTGAGTGTTTTGTTACTTTTAATATTTATCGTTTGTGATTTTCAAGAATATGATATAATATAATATGTATCATCTCAAACCAATAACACTTGGTCAGTATAACTAAAGTACAAAATGTTCAATGGGTACTTAATCAAATCGATAAATAATACATAATATGCTTATTATACCCTGCATAATAGATTTGAGTAAGGTTTTCTGACTTTGTAAAAAAATTACAATTTGTTATGAATTTCTGCTAATGCAGGGTTGTAATGATGTTTTATTTGAATTCTCTTTGTCTATTAACCTAATTTATTTTGATTTAAAAACGTATTTATTTATTTATGACGTAAACCCATGTAATACGTTTAGAAAAATATTAAATATAAGTAGTGCAACAATATACCAAATAGTAATCACACAAACCACAGTACAAGCTATAGGCAACCTAGAAAAATGTTTGATTAAAGTAACTATGTGCAAACAATTATGATAAAACAAGCATCAATTATTTTCTTATACAAATTTTAATCAACAAAGGTTAACACGAAAATATAATTAATATTTTTACAACTTATTTTGTTCCTGCGTAACAGTACGCTGATACTTAATCTCATGCCAAATATATTATAAGTATAAGGAATATTATTTATATATTTAATAGTATAATATTAACCTTAGTCTGCATTAACCCTTAATTTGATTATGTTCACTGTGATAAACACTCATAAAAAATAAATATTGAGCGACTATTCTCTACTATTTATTTTAGTTATAGCAAGTTTAATTTGTATTTATCGGTACAAAAAATAATTCTACAAATGGCAACATCGTTTATCTGTCATTATCGAGACAAGATGTCAGCGAGACGCGGGCACTCGATTCTAAATAAGGTAAATATTTTTTTAAATTATGTTATATTCAAATATATAAACCATAAAAAGTTAGTTTAGTCAACTAAACTAACTTTTTATGGTTTATATTTGCTAAACAATACTTATGCTTTGGTTTGGAATGGGTTTTACGTAGTGTTTTTGGTAACTTTTATTTGGAGGCAAACTTGGTTGTTCATCACAGTGAACACTGCCAAATACTCGAATAAGTACTGTCAATTTGATATGTTTATTGTGATGAACATTGCCAAATTAGGGATAACTATTATTTACAAATAATGTGCTTTGTGTGGTGGGCTTCTTTTGGGCTTATTTGGTTTTTTTTTTGCTTGTTAACAGAATAAAATACATAACCGCACGCATAGAATACTAGCACTTGTTCCTGTCGAGCATGCGCCATCCGATACTAGTGACAAATCCGAAAATAACAGTGATAACGAATTACTGCCACCTACTCCAAGCCCTGTTTCATCTTCTGCACCTTCCATTAATTCTTCTTTAGAACGCTTAGACATCAATAGTAGTCCCGAACCAGTACATGCTCAAAATGCCGATGAACAGCCGTTAGAACCATTAGACTTATACCACTCAGAAGCTCTCCAATTAACTCCAGTTTTGCAAGAAATTTGCCCTAATACACCATCCAGAGAACCAAATTATGATAACATTCCATCACTATCTTCAATAATTTCTGTTCCATCTGAGATGCATATACCAACACCTAGGACTTCTTATACTAGAAAAACTAGGGCAAAAAAGCAAATAGCTCCAGCTGCCAAGAAAATTTCAAAATTTTCTCTTTCTTACAAACGGAAAAAAAAGGCATTTTTCGTCACTGTGCTATAATTGAAGAAAGAACCGAAACTTATGTCGATTTTCCAGATGATGACCCCCTTAACTATTTGTATTTATTTTTTTCTGAAGATATTTTTACTGATTTAGTAGACCAGACCAATCTTTACTCCGTCCAACAAACCGGAAGATCCATACAAGTATCAGAGAATGAGATGAGGGATTTTATAAGCATTCATATTCTGATGGGCATTGTTGAAATGCCATGTTATCTGGATTATTGGAGCAACAGATTTCGATACGGACAGATAGCAGACATAATGATCTTGAAACGTTACCAACAAATCCGCAGATTTTTACAATTTACTGACAGGACTCTGATAGAGACTATAAAGTAAGACCGATAGCTGAAAAAATTCGAAGAAATTGTTGGCGTCAAGAAAATGAAAATAAATTTAGTATAGACGAGATGATGATTCCCTACAAGGGCAGGAAAGCTGGAAACCGAAAGCAATATATGAAAGATAAACCAAGTAAATGGGGTTTTAAAAACTATGTACGTGCTGGTGTAAGTGGAATGATTTACGATTTCATTTTATATGCAGGTGAAGATACCTTTCGTTCACATAAGTTTACAGAGCAAGAATCTTCACTTGGGTTTGGAGCACAAATAGTTATAGCCTTGACTCAGACAGATAATTTTTTCTCATCGCCAGAGCTTTTTTACCTACTGAAAGAAAACTACGGTGTCTTTGGTCTTGGTACAATACGAAGCAACCGGATTAGAGGAGCTGAAAAGTTGCTACCGGATGAAAAGGTGATGAAGAAAAAAACAGAGGGGAGCGTTTTCACAAGTTGTCTGTGATGCAAACAAATTAGTTATAGTACGCTGGAATGATAATAAACCTGTAACTCTTATAAGCTCATTTATTGGATCTGAACCAATACAAAAAATAAAAAGGTATTGCAAAGAACAGAAACAAAAAATAGAAGTGGATTGTCCGCTAATAGTTCGCGAGTATAATAAACATATGGGGGGGTGTAGACCTGGCTGATATGCTGATATCACTATATAAAGTTCCATTCAAAACTAGAAGGTGGTACATAGGAATATTTAGCCAACTTCTAGATGTGTGTATAAATAATACATGGCTATTGTATAAACGTAACTGTCAGGGAAGTCAACGAAAATCAAAGTCATTGAAAGTTTTCCGATATGAAATTTACTTAAGTTTAACAAAGAAAAATAGATATATACCTCGTGAAAATATACAAGAATGTAAAATTATAAACCCAAGATCAGCCCGACAAGCCCCATCAGATTCGATAATACAGGACATTTTCCCAGCACAAAAGAAGACATGGGGCGATGCAAGTTTTGCCAGAAAATCACAACTGTATATTGTATTAAATGCAATGTGAGACTTTGTTTTGTTACGGGAAAAAATCCATTCAAATACAAATTGCTTACAAATTGTTTTTTACATTTTCATAATAAATAAGTTGATTTAATGATAATATAATGTTTTTAATTTACCTGTTTATATGACACTAATTTGACAACGTTTACCACAGTGAACATTACAAATTACTTGTTATATTCGCAGTGTTCACTGTGATGAACGTTGATTTCCTGAAAATCTGAAAGGAAAATATTTTTTTGTCTATTTTTCCTAAGTTTTATTTAACCCTAGGATTTCAGATATACATCTTATTTCATAAAATAAAACAACTCGGATCTCCGCCAAATTTATAATAAGCTTGTTGTTATTGCATTTATGATTTACCCTATCTTTGAAGGATCACAAAATTCAATTTCAATAATACAAGAATAAGACACTTTAACAAAAACAAATTAAGACAATTTAACACAGGATTTCAAAGGGCTTATAATTTATACTCTAATATGTATTGTTAAATTATTATAATATGTATGGTTGATAAAAATGTAGAATAATAAATAAAAATAGACAAATTGTTATAAAAGTCATTGGATTTATTAGTTTGCTTAACTAGTCTTACAGGCTATTGTCATCACATTGCATTGGCCCGTTTGTTCTAAGCTTGATGCAGAACTACTACGGTAAAGATGTGCCCCCTTTCTCAATGGCAAAACTTTCAGAAGAGCATCGTCCCACTGTTTTCCTTCAGACACCCGTAATATAATTTCAAAAACTGTATGTTGTGTTTATATGTGTAAGTCACACTGACCGATAGAACGATATTTTTGCTTGTATTACGGCTTCAGTGATGTATATACGTGGTGTACTTATACATATTATGACGATTACAACTCTTTCAACTTTTTGAATCGTTATATATCAAAAACGGTGGCTCTTAGGAAAAAAAAGTATTCAGACATTTTTTATAGATAATTATCTGATCTACAATTTTTGTCTAAACTAATTTTATGATAAAACTTACCATTTTGCTGAAAATCGCGAAAAGCCCGTTTTTGTGATCTTTGACCCGGAGTAATTTTTTTGCACGTGCCGGATCGATGAGGACTTTTCACATTTCCTTTATAATAGTGTATTGAGCAATCCTACCAATATTCAGCCAAGTGGGAATTTTTGTAACCTTGGATGTCTAAATTGACCGGACTATATTGAATCCATTAGAATAATAAAACTTTACTAAGAATTCAAAAATCTATTCCATTTTGATGTTAACAAAATAATCAAAACAATTAAAACTCTTTTTTAAATAGACTAACAGTAATTGTTAGTTACAAGGTTAGAAGTTCTTTAGATTACAAAAATTCTAAAAATCTCTAATCTCTAGAAAAATAATATCTAAAACACCCACAAAAAACCATGTTTAGTTTGTTGTCACCTCTAAATCTCTTTTTTTTTAATTACAGTCATAATCTGTTAAAGCAACATGGAAGGGACTACTCATATTAGGTCGTAAAAAGCGATAATAATTTTCAATATAACCGGTATGTTGTTCTAAACGATGTCGTCGTAAATGGTTTTGACTGTATGTAATAATAAATAACCCACCATGATCAATTGTTAAAACTTTCCTTGTCTTCATGTTCACATATTTGGCAAGTGGTAACTGAGCATGTCTGATACCTTGTTCAACTGCTATCTTATAACAAAGTCCCTGAAAATTGTAATACATCTCTGATTACACCTATCATTTTACCTTAGCTCTTATATATTAAACAGCATTTAATATTTACTATAAAAATATTTAAAAATGGTATTCATATGAAATCATTCTCATAATTCAAATTATAACATTATACAAAAATAGTGATAAGTTTACTAGAATAGAACATACGCACAATGTTAAATGACGTGGAATAAGTGATACCTGTATTTTATATTCCATAATAAAAATATTTTATTTTATATTTGATATTCTTGTTTTGCTTAGAAATGAAATCAAAAGTGAAAATCATTGATTCCTAAATAAATAACACAATGTACACGTCTTATGAACGTCAATAAAGAAATACATATTAAATGCTAAATGCTTCTAATTTAACATTTACTGACAGTCCTCAAATCAAGGGCGTAAAATGGTCGAGAAGAACTGGCAATAAACTCTCCGCCGCTCTTTTTAATCGCCAAGTTTTTTGTGATACACAATGTAAGGAGCTGCAACCATTACACAATGTTCCACATAACATCTTAATTAATTAATAGAATAGATAATAAAACAAACTAAGTCAAATTTACATGTAAATTGGATAGCTGCTAGGATACGAGGTAATTGCATGTCAACTGTTAAATTTTAAATAAATAATTTTTGGATGGAATCGAATTCAATTTAATATTTCCTTAAAAAAAGCGCCTTAGCTTCACTAAACTGGTCATTTACTTCTATTGTCAATAGTTTGCGCAGTACAGGCAATGTAGTTTTACCAGGAACTCCTATATTTTTCTACTAACAAAAATGTTATGTATAGGGAATATTTTTTACAATCGACCAGTTTTTGGAGTTCATTGATTACAAACATACAAAATATAGTGTAAATTAAGAATAATGCAAGAGTTAAAGAAAATGAAACGTTTCGGATTTTCAAAAGATTTTTTCTTTCAGCATACTACGTCGCTCATGACATACGATTACCACGGGCAATGGGACAAGAAAACTGGGCACGTCGCACCTATGTATGCATCTGATGACGATGCGGATAAAACCTTTAATGTGGTTTGTAATCTAATAGAAACTAAAGGTTTTTATTACATAGTTATAGCGACTTATTGTTCAAATTGAACAATAAGATTAAACTAAGTTATGTCTGACTGTAGCTTAGACAGTCACTTGTAAATCCACGGTAAATTTGTTTATGACACCTATATTAATCGATATATACAACCTTCAAACAAGAAAAGTATCCAAACAATTTTTATTTCAACTGCTCTGAAATCGACAATGGAAGAAAAAAAATGTTGGTTTAGTTCTACCTACTGGATTTTTGTTATAAACGAATAATAAAAAAAACTATTTTAACCGAACCTCTTTTTAGAACTTTACAGTGAGCTACTAGATAAAGAAAGGCGCTCCCAAAAGCAAGTTGATAATGGGTTTCCCATTCTACGGTCAGAGTTTCTCTTTGATGGCGAATGCTGGAAATAGTTTAGGCGCATCGTCGTACGCTGGCGGGGAAGCTGGAGACGAAACCAGGGCTAGAGGACAGTAGAGGTTTCCTGTCTTTCTATGAGGTAAATAATAAAATATTCTGATGTAATTTAATTAACCTTAAAAGAGAAATAACAGTTACTTTAGAATAATGTTATGGTGGGTTATTATGATATTGTAAATTTAAGATTTATGTATGATGTAAGTGCGTGCTCCTTTTCGCCATGCCTATTGCCTACTGCTGATAGAAGCTAAACCATCGTTTTTTTATTCGTGTGATTTATTTGTTATGATTGCGTTTTCTTATAAGCTCCTTGTAAATGAATATTGGCAATGATAGATAGGAAAAAGATTCTTCTTGTCCGTTCTTCGCCCTTGATTTCAGAAATTGCAGTAAATGTAAATATATATTATACCTTTTTTTGATGTTCATAAATTATACTTTTTGGATATAAGAGTATATAGACGGAACACACGAATAGAGTTATGGTGGTTCTTGGTGAGAACAGTGCAAAGAGTCATACTATTTCAGATTTGTGAACGCATTCGAGTCCAAGGCTGGCGGGTCCGCCGGGACCCCGGAGGTCGTATGGGACCTTACACCACATTAAACGACCAATGGGTCTCCTTTGACGATGATTTTCTGATTCGCCATAAAGCTGAATTTGTTCGCGCCATGGACTTGGGAGGAGTCATGATTTGGGCCCTGGATTTTGATGACTTTACGGGCAAATATTGCGGATGTGGGAAATATCCTTTGCTTACAACCATCAACCATGTTTTAAGAGGGCATGATACTTCAATTGTTAGAATTGAACCTGCTGTCTATAAAAGGAAATTGAGTGTCCTGTACTGTTACCTCTTAGACGTAAGATGTCGTATGCAATTGTTTAAGTACGTGGAGCTATTATTGTATTTTACTTTTGTTGCTTTATTGAAAAATATTTGCAGGAGCTTAAGTGTGCACCATTTTATAATGCATTGCATATTGAATATGTTGACAGTTTTCTGTAGTATCTACAATTTGTTGTAGTAGGTCCTGCCTTTAGGTATGTATAGAAGAAATTTGACAGTGCTGTGTTGGGTTATTTCTAGTATATTTGTAAGAAAAAGACTTATATGTTTAAGTAGATTTTTTAATATTACGACATGAACTTATTTTTGTAGGAATTTCTCATTTTGTATTAAAGTTATACCTACTACGCAAATTTATGAATAATTATTTTTGTTACTATTGTATTCATATCTTAAAACAGCTTTCTCGTATTGTATATAGTAGGTATTTCAGTCATTTGAAATATTTCATCAGAATTTATATTCAACTTTAGTCGTTTAAGAGTTACCGGACGACAATACGATGTGTGTAATTTGAGATATTAAATAGAAAATGGTATGACCTCGACTATGTTTTATTGCACGTAGCCTTGAATTAATACATAAGATAAGACAATAATTAACATAAGTATAAAACAAAACACGTTGGCAAAATGAAATCGTACTCATGCTAAGCAGATAGCTGATAGAGATCAAGTTACTTCAGATATCTAAATTCTAACTGGTAAAATGGAATTGTTTTTCACATTACCTACGAAGGGAAAAAGTTCGTGGAATGGAGGGGATGGAGTGGGGATAGGGGCGCTCGCTTAGTGTCATACTAATTGGGGACTCATAATTAGTATATAAATGGAGTTTCAGCCCTATTGCGTCATTCGTTTACGAACACTCGCCTGCTAAACACGTCAATCCGGAAGAAAACTGAAACTATGGAGAAAATTGAACACCGTGCTGTCATTAAATTCCTTACCAAGCAAGGAAAGAACGCTCAGACCATTTTGAATGAAATGGAAACTGTTTACGGGGAACAGTGCCCTAGTAAATCAATGATTTACAAATGGCATGGTCTTTTTAAACATGGTCGGGAGTCGATTGAAGACGACCCCCGCTCAGGAACCAACATCAGACATCGTCGAAAAAGTGGAAAAAATTGTACTGGAGGACACCCGTTTGAAGAAAAAACAGTTATCTGCATTAGTTGGAGTATCAGATACCACAATTTTGCGAATCCTACATGACCACCTGGGTATGACAAAAGTCAGTGCAAGATGGGTACCGAGAATGCTCACGCCGCTTCAAAAACAGCAGCGCGTCGAAGCGTCAAAACATTTTTTGGAGTTGTGTAGCGGCGATCCTGGATCGATTTTGGAGCGAATTGTTACCGGCGATGAAACATGGGTTCATCACTTCGAGCCTGAGTCCAAACAAGAGTCCATGCAATGGCATAAAAAGGGGACACCACCGCCAAAGAAATTCAAAGTGTCGGAGTCGGCTGGAAAGTTGATGGCTACTGTTTTTTGGGATTGTGAGGGGATAATACTGATTGATTATAAAGAAAAGGGCAGGACCATAACCGGAGAATACTACGCAACAATACTAGAAAAATTAAAGGATGCCATCAAAGAAAAACGTCGGGGAAAATTGACCAAGGGTGTGTTGCTCTTGCAAGACAACGCGCCGGTTCACAAGAGCAAAGTTGCAATGGCTGCTCTACACACGCATGGCTTCGAATCACTAGTCCACCCACCCTATAGTCCAGATCTGGCCCCAAGTGATTTTTATTTGTTCCCCAATTAAAAAAAAGACTTAAGGGGAAGGAAATTTTCCGACGACAATGAGGTAAATGAGGCAATTTTGGCTCATTTTGAGGGAAAAGATAAAAAATATTTTTACGATGGTTTAGAAAAATTAATTCATAGATCTAATAAATGTATTCAGCTTAAGGGTGATTATATTGAAAAGGAAAAATAAATTTACTGTTTCATTTTTACTAAAACCCTTTCATTCCACGAACTTTTGGACCTCCCCTCGTATGTCAATAAATGATTTTATATTTATGGACCACCTTTAACCTTCTTTTAACACAATAAATATTACAATAAGATGATTTCAATGAAAATATACTTAGATTATTCTTTAATATAAATTAAAAACGTATAATTTCTCCTCTTCAATATCATTAGTAGGAAAAGGTTTAATAAAAATACTTTCGAAAATTAATATCTAACCATATCGCCTTAGTTTAATACGCTCTTCGATGATGAGTTTGCAAAACGATTTGCTTAATGCTACGATAAAATGTTAAAAAACTGATAATAATTTTTCATGTAAGTATATGTATTCCTATCAAAAAATCACGCGAGTATCGCTCAAACTACAAACGGACAAAGTCTGATATTGCGTCATCCATCGTTTACCGAAACAAATGACGAACGCGGCCTTGCGAATCATACCTCGATTTACAAGTTCACGTTAAAAACAGCATTGGCACTGTGTATTTGCTAATGAACAGGTATACATCGCTGTGTAAAATTATATTAGATATAAATGACGTATTTTAAAATCGCGTAATCTGTCTATTCTAAATTCTAATGTTATCTTATTGTTCGCATAACCTCACTTTAGGTGAATACTTGTGAATGAATAGTACTAGTAGTGTTCATTGAACGATATCAAGCACACATTAAAAATGTCCAGAAAGACTGCAGCATCTACTTTAAACCGTAGTATGCAATTATTAAGACCTAAATTGCATTGCTTTGGGATTATTAAGTACAATAATTTACATACTACAGTGAGTATATTTTTGTATATAGTTTTCTTTAGACGTTCAGATTTTTAATAAATTTGAGCTTAGTTATAATAGAAACCCATATTATTCTATATAAATTAATTTTCATCATAAAAATAGCTGTAAGTACATAAATAAAAGAAAAATGACAATATATTATGAGCAATAGTGATTCTATTGGAAAATATAATTATAAATAATGACTGTTAATTATGTAAATAAATTAATTCATAATTTCAACATACTTTTCAGGCAAAGGAAATTAAAATACCAGTACCATGGGGTCATGTCTCTGCAAAACTATGGGGACAGGAAAACCAGCGACCTGTTTTAGCACTTCATGGGTGGCAAGACAACGCTGGCACCTGGGATCCACTTGCACCTATGATCAGTGATAAATTACCGATTCTTGCAATCGACTTCCCTGGCCACGGCCACTCATCGTGGATACCACCAGGTAGTTTTAAAAATATGAAAATATATGCAATAAAAAATTATGTTTCTTAATGATATTTCATCTTTCAGGGTTCCAATATTATCCCTGGGATCTACCAAGATTGATACTTACAATCAGAGATTACTTTAAGTGGGATAAAATTTCAATTTTAGGACATTCCATGGGTTCAATAGCTGGGATGCGATTCGCCTGCGTATTCCCAGATGATGTAGACTTCTATATAGCAGTGGACAGTCTTATTTACGATGACTACGACTTGAACCAAGTAGTTGAAAGATTCCCTAAAATATTACGAAAAATACAGTTAGCCCAAACTCGCCTTAATGACGAACCTCCATCATATACGATGGACGAAATTACGCAAAAATGGTATTTAGGTACGAACAAATCTGTAGCGTTGGAAAGTGTGCAGCACCTCGCACAACGCGGTTTAAAGGCGTCCTCGGCTGACCCAAATAAGTTTTATTTCAATAGAGATGCTCGACTAAAAAGCATACTTTTTAATCCCGAAAATAAATTATTAGTAGGGACACTTGTCAAGCGCTTAAAGTGTCCTACTTTATATTTCAAAGCGATAGACTCACCCTACGCATCAGATGAATATTCCGTGGAAATGCGAGAAGTGGTTGAAAGGAATAATGCGAAATTTGAGAGCCATTTTGTCCCAGGAACACATCATGTCCAATTAAATAATCCTGAGAGATTAGCACCGACTATTATAACCTTTTTACAAAAGTATAACTTTATATAATCGTTACGATTCTATAAAGAATATAATATGCATCATCTCAGACCAATGTCACTTGGTGTGTATAACTAAAGTACAAAATGATAAATGGGTACTTAATCAAATCAATAAATAATAATATGCTTACTATTTATTACACCCTGCATAATGGACTTGAGTAAGGGTTTCTGACTTTGTAAAAAAATTACAATTTGTTATGAATTAGTGCTAATGCAGGGTTTTGATGATAATTTATTTGAATTATATTAGTTTATTAACCTAACTTATTTTAATGTAAAAACGTATTTATTTATTTATGACGTAAAACCATGTTATACGTTTAGAAAAATATTAAAAATAAGTAGTGCACCAATATACCAAATAGTGATCACACAAAACACAGTACAAGCTTCTGGCAACCTTGAAAAATGTTTGATTTAAGTAACTATGTGCAAGCAATTATGATAAAACAAGCATCAATTATTTTCTAATACTAATTTTAATCAACAAAGGTTAACACGAAAATATAATTTATATTTTAACAACTTATTTTGTTCCTGCATATTACAGTATTAATTAATCCTGTTAAAAAACTTTGTAATAGTGGAATGGTATTCTGATGCTTAATCTCAAGCCAAATATATTATAAGGAATATAATTTATATATTTATTAGTATAATATTAGCCTTAGTCTGCATTAATAATACTTCTGTGATTTTTTATCTAATCTGTTAAGATGTTAATTTATAATAAGCTGCATTGTCTTTACTGCATTAACCCTATCTTGAGGGATCACAAAATTCAATTTCAATGATACAAGAACAAGTCACTTTAACAAAAATAAATTAAGACACAATTCCACACAAGATTTCAAAGGGCTTATAATTTATACTCTAATATGTATTGTTAAATTATTATATTGTGTACAGTTGATAAAAATGTAGAATAATAAATAAAAATATACAAATTGTTTTAAAAGTCATTGGATTTATTAGTTTGCTTAACTTGTCCTTACAAGAATTTATAGTCTTACAGGCTATTGTCATCACATTGGCCAGTTTGTTCTAAGCTTGATGCAGAACTACTATGGTAAAGATGTGCCCCCTTTCTCAACGGTAAAACTTTCAGAAGAGCATCATCCCACTGTTTTCCTTCAGACACCCGTAATATAATTTCAAAAACTGTAAAAAATATGATTTCTACTCAGTTTCCACTACATAGCAAACATCAAAATCAAAATGTTTCAAATAAGGAGTTGTTTTGTTTTTCACAGTAAAGATAATGAGAAACTTAATAAAATGCATATGAGATTTTTTTTCCTATTGCTATAATAATAGATTACAATAGGAACTTTTTACTGCTAGATTAAAAAAATCATTTTAATAAGTGGACATTAAAATTTAAAGCATGGAACAATTTTTGGCCTATTGAATCCATAAGAAAAATAATGCTTTACTAAGAATTCAAAAATCTATTCCATTTTGATGTTAACAAAATAATCAAAACAATTAAAACTCTTTTTTAAATAGACTAACAGTAATTGTTATTTACAAGGTTAGAAGTTCTTTAGATTACAAAATCTAAAAATCTCTAATCTCTAGAATAAAAATATCCAAAACACCCACAAAAAACCATCTTTAGTTTGTTGACACCTCTAAACCTCTTTTTATAAAAGTACAGTCATAATCTGTTAAAGCAACATCGAAGGGACTACTCATATTAGGTTGTAAAAAGCGATAATAATTTTCAATATAACCGGTATGTTGTTCTAAACGATGTCGTCGTAAATGGTTTTGATTGTATGTAATAATAAATAACCCACCATGATCAATTGTTAAAACTTTCCTTGTCTTCATGTCCACATATTTGGCAAGTGGTAACTGAGCATGTCTGATACCTTGTTCAACTGCTATCTTATAACAAAGTCCCTGAAAATTGTAATACATCTCTGATTACACCTATCATTTTCTATTTTTTTTAACAATAATGTTAATTAAAGTTACCTTAGCTGTAATATATTAAACAGGATTTAATATTTACTATAAAAATATTTAAAAATGGTATTCATATTAAATCATTTTCATAATTCAAATTATATCATTAACTAATCATGCTCCAAATTGTTGGTGGACCAAACTCTGAATCATGATAATTTAGAAATTTGATTAGTTGAATACAAACCTTATGCTGATTATGGTCAACTAAGCCCCCAATGATGTATAAATTATCTTCCTCAAACTTTTCAATAACATTTTCTGATTCACTTGTAAGATAAACCAACTTTTCCTTAGGAAAAATATCTATGTATGACTTTTCATGGTATTCAATCTGGAAAACAATATCTTTTGTTATTTAAATCTTATTATATAAAAGTTTTTCATCTGTATAAATGTGAAACAAACCTACATCCCAGTTCTCATAACCATTGTGTCGAGAAATATCAACTTTTGTTTTTTCTCCAAAACTAGTTACATGAAACTGAAGTGGAGAATCTGATCTTCTATTAATTGAATAACATCTGAGAAGTTGCTTTATAACTTTATACCTATCTTTTTCGCTCATTAAATGATCAAAACTTAAATCTAATATCACTCCTATAAGACTTTTATTTTTCTCTAACTTCATTTTCTTCAACATTTTCCTATTTGGACCTAAATCTATATTTGCTGCACGAGCTTCCCTTTTTCTCTCTTTTGCTCTTGCCTTTTCCTTACTACGCTTTTCAAATTTGTGTTTCTCCCATCTAACTTTTTTTAACCATTTTCTCATTTGATTTTTGTTAAAGGGTCTTGGTAATTCATTTCCATCATCGTCTTTTAGACCTGGATCAACTGTGACATCATAAAGCGTGTACTGATGAAAGTCATTATTTGTTAAAACATTATCGCACTTTTCAGTTTGCAGATCCATTCTTAAATCAAACAAGATTGTACCTTATATCTCTTACTTTTCAGAACATTTAGTTTTTTATGTTTTGTCGCGGACATGCCAATCAAATTAAAATAAATAACTGTTTCACGTTTTAATTATTCCTACATAATTTTTACTAAATTAAATAACCTATAATTAAAATCAAAACAATTGCACATTTTTTTAGAAATTTAAATTTAAAACGTCAAGCTTTACATTTCTACGTCTTTAAAAGTTGGTCCGTCAGAGTTAAGAACTAAACAACAAACTGACAGCCGACATTAATTATTAGTGTTTAAAAATCATTATTAAACCACAGTCCAAACATACGCTGTTTCTCTGTCGTTGTTTAACTTCTCGCGCCAATTATATTTATTGAGATTTAAGCATTATATCGGTTACTTGCCTTTAAAAATAAAAATAAACCCTTTTTTACACTCACATGGGCATAAGGAGAACAAATTATTAACATTTATTTACTTTTTTACTATACAAATACAATATTGTAGTGACGAAACGGCTAAGTCGGATATTTTACTAAGGTGTAGAATTTGTAAATTTAGGTTTAAAATATTGCACATTTTCCAGTTTAAAGTGCCGAATAAATTATCTCGTTTTGACATCATTTAAAATGGTAGGATAAAGTAATTATTCTTCGTAAAAATTAGTACTTGTATACTGATAATTTCAACTTATTGTATTTATAAATAAACATTGCTAAAACTATCGGTTACTTGATTGGTATAAAATTATCAATTAATAAACAAGCAAAATACATAAGATTATTATATTTAACAAGTGACATACAGTAGTATATTATGACCTTTCACTGCGTGATAAGATCCACAATCGTCTGTAGAAAAAAATATATTATCTCAATTTAAACATCAGAATCGTTAAATAAGAGCGCATTTTGTATTTTTTATAATAAATAATTTGTAGTGGAACAAATTGCAATGTCGGCGGTAAGTGATTTGTTTTTATGTTGGACTTCTTACTTTAGTTGTTTTTGAAACGCCTATACTGTATTAATTTAAAAGGATCATATTATGTTTTTTTTACTGATATAAGATAATAATACTTTTTAAACGAATAATAGCGCTTACTTTAAACCCGATCCGATTTCGCGTACGAGAATTGGGAGATTCATATTATTTTTTATAACTATTAGCATTTTTGATATTGTATGTTTAATAAAACCTGTGGCACTACAACCTGTTAGGTCAGGACCTCAGATTTCTGTCTTTTGTGAAACGTCACGTGTCTACACAAGTAACGTTTTTTTTTTATCTAAGGCATGCCGGTTTCCTAAGAATGTTTTCCTTCACCGTTTGAGTGAGTGTTAAATGCGCACATAGTAAAATTACTATGCAAGTGCATAGCCAGGTTCGAACCTACGACCTCAGGATCGCACCCTGAATCTACTAGGTTAACACTACTCATGTTTTGAAAAGGTTCACCAATAATTTCAGGATAGATATCAATTATGGGGAGGTTGCTTCGAGGAGGAAGCCTCGACGGATCTGAAGCATCTTAATGACTCTCTTTCAGTGGACAGTCGATTGTTTGCCGAGGATATCCGTGGCAGTAGAGCCTGGGCTAAAGAACTGAATTTATCGAAACATATATCTGATGATATTTACAAAGCTATCGTAGAAGGACTGGATAAGGTGATAAAATTAAGTTATATTATTTTAAATTAATACATTTATTCGCAGGAAATCGATAGATGTTTTACGCCGTGTAAATACGTAATTAACTATTTACTCATATCATATAAGTAATTAAATGTTTAGAAAATAAATTTAAACATAAGTAATATGCTTAGATATGTTATCTTTCTGCACTCCTAGCTATGAATTAAACCGTACAGCAAGGCTCATAAATTGTTTTCAGGTTGAAGAGGATATAAAAAAAGAATTAACAAAGAATGGTCGGCTTATGGATGAAGAAGAAGACATCCATTCGGTGGTGGAAAGCCGACTTCGGGAATACGCGGGTGATGCTGCTCTTCATCTCCACACGGCTCGCAGTCGGAACGACCAGTCTGCTACAGACACGAAACTATGGATGCTTAATTCGCTAAAGAAATTATTAAATGAAGTTATTCAACTCATTTCGGTAAATATAATATCTCTATTGTATTATTAATAGTAGGTACATTATTTACATACATACAAAATACATTATTACTACAACCCTACCTAGTGATACCGCCGCCCATGGACACTCGCAATGCCAGAGGGATCGCGAGTGCGTTGTCAGCCTTTATTGATCATTTTTATTGACACGTAGATCTTTTGTGCCTGACACATGTCGACTATTTTCTTGGTCTGAGATTCCTCACGACTTGACTTCATTTCATGACCAAATCCGCACATAGAACAGTCCATTGGTACTTAGCAGTGAACGCATGACGTCAGGGGTGAGAGTTGCTCGCTGAGGTCACTAGGCAACACTCTAACCGGGAAAATTTTAAATTTAAATATCAACACACACACACAAGTTTACACTTACTAAGAATTGGTTTATTTACTGAGATTAAACTTAATTTAAGCCTTGACTTGTTTATGCTATCGCGGAACAAATGGTTGCTACTCTTAAAAGGAGTATTAAAGCAGCATTATGAGCACACCCCACATATACACCTTCACGTACATTCCCCTTACTTTTACACTATCACAAATTACAGCCAAATTAGGTGCCTATTACTTAGTTAAATGTCTTGAATTTTTATTGGTTGTTCCCTTTTGTAAATTTTTGAACCTTTTTGTAGCTAAATATTATGTATTCAATCTGTGGCTATATTTCAAGTGTATTTGTTTGTTATTATATATAATTTTTGTTAGCTGTAGGATTTCGAAATAAATAAACATCTTTGACTAGGTAACAATAATTCGTGCTGAGAATGAGATAGATATAATAGCTCCAGGATATACCCACCTACAACGAGCGCAACCAATACGATGGAGTCACTTCCTCTTAAGGTGAGAATCATAACATCGTATAATAAAAAGGAATAAGTATTGTCGTAACGATAATAAGCGATTTCTTCCAGGCTTACCTGCGCCGGTACTCTACTTTTAATAACGGATAGCGATTTTGAAGTAAAATTAGAAAAGTTTGGAAAATCCAAAAGTGCACGCCTCATAGTGGTCATTCACATTAAAAAAAAAATCTAAAACAAAAACTCAAGTTTTTTTAAAACAAAATAACAAATAAATTATTATCTTTAAGTCTCACGCTATTTTATAATATACCTATAGTGGCGCCATAACTCTAAGGTGAGGAAAAAATATACTTAAATAAATGTAGGTATCTACGTATATATAATAGATATACAAATACACAGTCGTATTTTAGTTTTTTACACATTATAATTAAACGACAGTACTTAGAACGCTAATATTAACTAATATTAACTAGGAATCAGCCCAGGGTATAACTTTATATAATAAGAAAAACAGTATTCTGGTACGTTAAATTTTTCGACTAATTTCTCTGCCACATACATGGATTCATAAACACAGACTGACGGACGTCCAAGAATGATTGATTTTAATTTTTAATGTTATTATTTACTATGTTAAACAAAATAATTGTTCATAAAAAATACCATATGTGTTTGATACATTATTTAACTCGATTTTAGTGCACTCATATTGTCCTGTAAGTGTTATATTAGTGAGAAAAAAGTCATTCAAGTTTCGAAAGAGTGGGTTTTTTGACATGTCGAGAGTAGAGCACTGCCTCCGCTCCGCTAATGAGGCGTGCAAAAGTAGAATTTGTTATTCGACACTAATTCTGTCGCCATTAAAATCCTAGTGCTATTAGCGCTAATGAATATAGGCACAATATTTTCAAAAAAATTTAGAGATCCGTATGAAAACTTCGATAATGTAACCGGAGATGTGGATAAAATATCAATATAATCCCTATATCGCGTACTTTGGGGAAACTATGGACAATAGAGCAAAGTGATGTACTTACTACATTTTTTTAGAAGACATTATCTAATATTTACAAAAAAGTGCGACACTATGTCTAACTATAACATATTAAGTCAAGAAAAGTTAAAAATTAAAAATTGTAGTAAAATAAATTAAAGTCCCTTGAACTCATACTTTTCCAAAACTTTAATTTTTATATAATAGAGGTGCCCAAAAAGGGCAATCAATCAACGTTGGCCATGGACACCCACTTTTTGCGTTTCCGGCCTTTGAGGGAGGGTCGTATCTCTCAGGGAAGACCCCCACCGGGAGTCGATTCCATAGTTCCCTAGTTCGCAAAAGAAAATGCCTTGTGGAAGAAACGAACCGTGGAAGACTTCCAGCCATAAACTTGTCGTTGGACTTCGATATTGTCCTTATTACTTTTAGTACTGGAGGACCAGTATGCGGAAGTGCTACTAAGTAAATAATTTAATAAAACAATAGTTTAATCTCCCGTTAAGCTTAGGTTTCCTAGAAAACCGGTGCCGTTAACTAACGGCCGTCATTTTACGGTTGTTAATAACGGCCGTCTTTTTACGGTTGTTAATAACGGCCGTCTTTACTTTTTAACATAATGCAAAAAAACAATCATTTTCGCTCGTCCAAGTCACGTTTCCACTCATTATATTAATTAAATATGGGCACCGCCATATGGGCACCGTCATACAAATGACAGCACCGCTATTTAACGTTACGGTGACACTCAACGTTCTCTAGGAAACATACTCCGATGTTAATTATGGACAACGTATGGGTGACGTCACCCAACGCTACATTACGGCCGTTAGATAACGGCACCGCTTTTATAAGAAGCCTAAGCTTTAGAGATAAGTTTCGGCGACTATACGACTATAATAAATTTCCTACTGTGTCAAAATATGACTAATACAAAGTGTATTAGTCAACGTTTTAAAGTTTAACGATAACATTTCTTGTAGCTATGTCTGGCTTTTCAAAGAAGACGTTTCGCGATTAGAAGAACAAATTGTTCGTCTATCAACATGTCCTTTGGGAAGTGGGGCGATTGCTGGATGTGCGTTACAGATCGATCGCATCAGGCTGGCTCATAGTCTTGGGTTCAATGATATAACACCTAACTCAATGTGCGCTGTTGGATCTCGAGATTACATAGGTATGACGACTAAATTATATGGAGTAAGTATAATAAAATATTGAAAAAATTACTTACCTTATCATGAATTTATATAAATTATTTCATCACTAATTTAAATTATTATAATTAATTCCCGATATTTCCCGTTATTCAGACCGTTTCAAATTTAGAGCCAGCACTTTTAATGCATGATTTCTTCCCCCTACTTCAACTATCTTAGCTTTAGACATTGAGACCCATCGTAGAAAACGAATTAGTGTTGGTGTCAAGGTGTATTACAAATACACAATTAATGAAACATGGGCATGTGTCTGCTCTATTCAATATACATAGTTATAATAGCTTTTATGCTGATTAAGTTACATCTATATTAAATTAAAAAATTAGTTTTTCATGTGACATCCTTTATTAGTTTAGTCTGTTTTTTGTTCCTGTTTAGTTCTTTTTTCTTAATACAATATGTATTTTGGCCTTTCTTTCCTACCGTATCTAATTTAATACCTTTTTCTTTCCTCACAGTGGTTGCCTGGAAGAGATCGCTCGAAAGCGATAAGGCCGCCAGTTGCCCCCCTTTTCATTGACTTATGTTCAATTTTTATATTGTAATGCAACGAAGCTTTAATAAATATTAAATAAAAGAAATAAAACATAAAATATCTTCTAGTAATCGCCGTCCACCTGTGCGAATCCGACATATGCCTACTCCATCCTTTTCCGTTCTGCTCTTCTCTCCTTGTCTTAGATTTCCTTATATACTGGTCTCTTTATTAATCGATTACAGTATATCAAACATAAACAATTAGAAATTTCCTATCTACAAAATGTTTCTATGAATTGTTGTTTCAGTTGAGTTTTTAAATTGGTCTGCCTTGTGTGGATTGCATCTGAGTCGGTTCGCGGAGGACCTGATAATTTACAGTTCCCAAGAATTTGGCATTGTACAATTATCGGACAAATTCTCCACTGGGTCGAGTCTGATGCCTCAGAAGAGGAACCCAGATGGATTGGAGCTGATAAGGGGAGCTGCTGGATTACTGTTGGGGGACAGTTTCTCATTCGCTTGTACTTTAAAAGGATTGCCGAGTACCTATAACAAAGATTTGCAGGTGGACAAAGAGATCATGTTTAGGTCTTATGACAGACTGATGCATTGTATACGGGTCATGAATGGAACAATCAAGACTATGACTGTGAGTTTTCTAACATTTTTTAAATCTAATATATAATTCTACTTTAAACGACTAAAAGGAAAAATTTAACCTAACCAAAGGGAAACCTAGAATTATTTTATTTACGCTCTCAAGCATTATGTAAAAAGGAACAGTAAAAAACTTACGAAATATGTGGGAAATAAGATATACACGTGTGAAAATGACATATACTCGTACTTACGAATCAATGTAAATTCATAAATAGGAATATACCAAAGCGAAAGAAAAAACAATTAGTAAATAATCAAGTTCTTTACCCTATTTACTGAATTAACTAGGTCAAATCTGAAAAGGCAGTAGCTCTGTTGGATCCGGGCATGTTGGCCACAGATGTTGCTCACTACTTGGTGCGTCGAGGAGTGCCATTTCGACGAGCGCATCACGTTGTTGGATCCACCTTACGACGGGCTGCTGCACTTGGAGTGACTCTTCAGAACATGCCGCATGAAGAATACGTTGCAATATGGTATTTTATTCATTTATATAAAAGAAACGTAATACTTGCCTAAATTGTCTATCACAAGTATTTACGCCCGAACCCAATAATCAATCCACAATCTCAGATTTAAACAATCTGAGATCAGATCGTGACAGTCAATCAATCTGCATCCCAATAACCAAACCATACGAAGACAATCCATTTTTGGCAACGGATAAAAGGCTCTTTGTCGTTCCATTTTACCGAGTTTTCAATCATATTTGATAATCAATGTAAACCAAATAATGTAAATAAATCCGTACAAATAACATTAAAATATACATGTGTATGTTTAAAACATAACAAACAGTTTTTTTAATTATTTAAAAGAACTGGTGGTTAAAATAATTAACTGTTGAAATCGAGCTTTCGTTAACTATCATTTTCATACAAAGGTCTATCAACAGACACCGATACGACCTACCATGGATAGCTTGTATCGACAGATGGCTATTACAATCCGTCGGTTGGTTATTGGCACACTTGTTACAACATTGACCATTATCGACCTATCTCAATCCTTAATTCTTTTAGCAAACTATTCGAAAAACGAGTACATAATGTTATAAGTCCATTTATCACTAAACAACTACCGGAACAACAACATGGCTTTACTAAAAATCGCTCAACAGTTTCTAATTTGACTATTTTCACTGACTATATACTGAGAGGTATGGATGAGGGTGACCAAATTGACGCTATTTATACGGATATAGAAAAAGCTTTTGATCGCGTCGATCATATTATCCTGTTACATAAGCTTTTCTCCCTTGGAATACGTGGTGATCTTTACAGATGGATAAAGTAATACATAACTAAGAGACGGCAGGCAACAGTAATATGCGGGTACAAAAGCATGTTCACTAACATTACATCAGGAGTACCCCAAGGGTCAATACTTGGCCCATTATTATTTAATGCTTATTTGTACGATATAAAATACTGTTTTCACTTTTCTAAACATCTTATGTTCGCGGATAACCAAACAATTTTCTTATGAATAAAATCAATAGATAACTGTAATCAAATTCAACAAGATCATAATAGGCTAGAAATATATTACAAACAAAATAAACTTTCAATAAATATAAACAAATGTAATAAGATAACTTTTTCGCGTAAAAACAAAAAAATACAATATACATACAAAATCGATAACCCCCCAATAAAACAAGTAAAATTAATAAAAGACCTGGGAATACTATTAGATGAAAAAATGGGCCTATCACAACATATCGATGACATAACAGGCAAAGCGTATATGCAATTAGGATTTGTCAAGCGGTCATGCAAGACATTTAATAACATACATTGCATTAAAAGCTTATATTTTGCTTAAGTTAGAAGCGTGCTGGAGTATGCGCGTGTTATGTGGTCTCCATATTATACAAAGTATAAAAAAGCAGTAGATAAATTACAAAAAAAAATCGGTTGTCTGTATTGGTATGTTATTTAAAGCTGGCGGCTTCAACACATTCACACTTTGTGCTTGTGTAGTGTCTGTGAATAAGCGCGAGGCGTGATGTCAAACTACAATCACAAATACATCATGAAAAGACTGTCCGTCTCTCTCGCGCTCGGTCAAGCTTATAAGTATAAAAGTGCCAGTTATTGTTTTGCTTTTGCTACTGTTTATGTTGATCTTTACTGTACATTTTGATCTTTTTTCAAACATTACCAGGACAATCTCGTGAAATGGTGCACAATGTTTTTAATTATTTTAAGCTTTTTAATGAAAAAATGTTATTTTTAATTTGACATCAGATGCGACTGGGGTTTCTAAGAGGAGTATTGAAAGAATTGTTAGTGAAGTAAAAGTGAAGTGTGTTGAGCTAGATGGAGCTTATGTCGAAAAATGAAAAATTATTTACACAAACTACTCTTTTACGTTCTTGGTCGGGCTTAGAACTTTTGGATCCACCCTCGTATGCACATAATATTTATATGAATTTGACACATTTTTATTTATTTTACAACCCACCCAACCTTACTAAAACCAGAGAAACCTAAAATATATAGCTTGGCAAAAAAGTCATATTTTTAAACATACTGTAAGTGAAATTGCATTAGTGTGAGTACTGTGAACGCGCCAACTTTGGATACTGACGATAGTTGAACGTGACAACGTCACGAATCGCTCACTCAAGTAGGAGAGAGACAGATGTCGAACGCTGAAGAGCGCGGAGTCCGATTGTGCCTCTCTGTCGCTTCGCGCTCTCGCTTGCACTTCAAGCCTTAAATGGAACGCCTCAGAACGAGGTAACGCCTCAGAGCGAGGTAACGCCGCATGAGTCGTTTTTTTCGTGCGTGCAGCCGGCTCCATCGAATTATAAGACGTTGTCACGTCAAAAGTTTGTAAAATTCCTTAGTTTTAAAAAATACCAATTACCAATGCTTCGATAGTTATGCACGTTCTTGCAAATATTTTAATTTATACTCATTAGAATGTCGCCGAAGTCAGCAAGATCTGCTTTTTTACACGCTATTCTTAAGGGGCGGATCGATAGCCCCTATTTGCTGTCGTTAATTTCTTTTAAAATTCCTCCTCCTTATGCGACAAGACACACAAAATTGTTCCATGTGCCTCGTACGAACTCGAATTACCTGCATAATTCACCAATGTTTCGGGTTTTATCTAACTATGACACTAATTATGAGGATATTGATATTTTCCACCTCACCAAAGACGATGTGAGAAAGTATTTGAAGAGGCGGGAAGACTCTAATTTTATTTAGGTTGTGATTTGTAATACATACAGTACAGTATTAAGTATTATTTGTTGTTTTAAATGTTAAATTTCAGTTTTCTTTATATGGTTTTGTCTATTGATGTGCTTATTTGTTTTATTTTTCTTATATAATATTATTTATCTATGTAATCAATTTTGGCTTTCTATACTGTCTAAGTGTTTGTTTTACAATACTATGTATGTTAGCTGTAAGATTACTTATAATTAAATAAATAAATAAACATTACCTACTCAGATGGTGGATTATGGATTGAGATAGGTTATTGGGTTCGGGCGTAAGTAACTACTTTGTGTTGCTTATCGCGCGTGTTACAAAAGCGAGATGATATCAATTTAATAATTTTCAAACATTCTGATTTTAGCCCAGATTTTGGCACAGAAGATGAATTTAAAAAGATATTCTCGTGGGAAGCCAGCGTGGAACAGTATTCGAGTGCGGGCGGGACATCTCGCGCCGCTGTGCTTCAACAGATACAAACTTTAGCCGAGTGGCTGCAAAAATATAAAAGCTGCTGATTTTATTTATAAATCACGTTAATTACCGTTTTACTATTGGTTAATAATATATTTGATTTGAGTATTTTTTTTCCTCCTCCGTTATACGGCCAAGTCTTTTAGCAAGATTTAGAGTGAAGTTCGGTAACAGAACTAAACTATCACTTCATATTTGTGTTTGTGTCAGAAACGCTTAAAGTGAAACTTGGGATTAGTCCAAGTGATGGGAAACGGTGACTTGAGCGAGACTAAGAGCGCGGCCACACGATGCGTTAACGTCATCCTACATACAAAATACTATACCATGTCACACGATGCGTTGCGCCGCCACGCGGCGTCGCATCGCAAGCGCCCCGGACTTGTGACCTGCGGGACGAGGCGGGGAGATGTAAAATATATTGCCACACCGCAACGCCCGTGTGGCACCCTATAGCTCGAAGTAATTGCGGTGCGGCGCCGCACAGCACCGTAACCGGATCGTGTGGCCGCGCTCTTAATAAAGATACGTATACAGATAAATAATGTTACAACAAATATTTGTTTTTGTTCCGAGTTTGACTCCCGTATATGAAAAACGTATTTCGTTTTGTCTTATGGGAGTTTCTAAATCTCACTGTCAAAGTCGAGACTTAGCGCTAAGTGCGACTCATCTACGTCAAATCCTATACATTTGTGGCAAGCAGGTTAAATGTAGTTAGGAATGTAAAAGTTCTGGTTAACGGGATGTTTAAAATAAAAAACTGTTTGTCAAAACATAAGGTATATTATACCACATATTTACTAAGTCTAACCTACAAGCTAATTATCGTTAATCGTAAGAGGTATTTACATTTGTATCAATTTTAATAGTTCCATTACAGCTTGATAGAAAATTCGGTTATTATCGCAGATACATTTTATTTAAAAGAATGTTATGAGGTAAATTTACAAGAGTCAAATATAACAGCTATTTAAAAATAGAGTCGGTTAACTGTTCATTTGATTGTGTATTTTGACATTATTTAACTACCATTATTACACAAAAATATTTTTTAAAATGTAATTACACAATGTATAGGAAAATTTCAAAACTGAAAGTACGCGTGACAGTCTTCGTAATTCACAAATGATAAATGAACACATCGGATTTGAAATCAGTTAGTATTATTTTTATATTTTAGAAATGCTTTTATAATTTTTTGTACATTTTTTTATATTTTCATTTTAACTTTACTTAACACGAACAGTGAGACAGGAATATGAAAATGCTGATCTTGCATAGTCTTTCATTCAATACCAATGTAGATCAAAAATTCCGTTTGGGTGTAAATATGTAACAAACTTACATTCGCAAAGACTAACGAGTCAAATCTGAAACCGCATTAACCTAACCGAAACCGTTTAACCGAAAAAGATAAATTTTAATAGTTTATGTCCTAAACAGTGATAAAAGTTGACCCGATTAGAATTAGCTGTTCCTGTCTCACTGAAGCCCATATTTACATTCTCACAGTCACAGAGACAATTTTTGAAATTATGTTCTATATCTTGTAACGGTCACAAATATCATAGACAATGTTTGTAGTTCTGGAATATGAACCTTGTGTTAAAATTTGAGCGAGAATCCCGGAGCGACGTTAAGCGATCGGGCTTGAAGCTGGAATCCCAGGGCTTCGTCGGAGTCTGCCCTTGCGTAGTGAGCGTAAGCAGCGCCACCTGCCGGGGGCTTCGGACTGTGGGTGGTCCGACGGTTGCCTTCGGACTTGGCCGGCCACGTCGGAAACATTGCCGGGTCGATCGCCACTGGGTTCTCCTGGAATTGTGCACACAAAACATCACAAATAGTTCAAGGCAAAAAAAGATTACAGGAATTCTAACTAATATGACGATAATAGTGTACATCATCTACGCTATCTAAGCTTCATAATACTACAATTATTATATTATAAATTTAAAAATATATTGAACGTTGAGGAAAACTACAAAAATTATATACCCGTACCACTTCATTATAGTTATATGGGCTTACGATTTTCTTTCAGATTTAGTCAATCGTAAGCCCTTATGCATTTCATAACTTGGGCTTATAGAATAAGGCTAATAGAAAAAACTATATAAAGAATTATATTAAACAAACAGGAAAATGGACAAAAAACATCCAAAAAAAGAATACACAAAAACCTTTAATTTTATATCAAAATCCAATGTCCAGTAATCCATTGTCTGGTTTTTTGGTAATTAAACTGTGTTTTATAGGACAATAAAGCAATATCGATATGCAACTAACAAATAACCAAGTTACCTTAAAGTACGCGTGCTCAAGTGCCGCATCGGCAGTGACACGCCTCAAAGGATTGTACGTAAGGAACCCTTGCAAGAGGGCCAGGCCAGATTCAGACAGCAGATCAGCTCCAACCCGCTGTTTGAGACCTCCCGGAGGGTGCTCAGCAAATGTCATCTTCTGAACAGCCGGTAGCTCTTTGTATCCCGGCCATAACAATTCTGATGGAGTTCCCATGTCCTGCAAAACATCAACTCTGTTAAGATGCATTTTTAGTAGCTGACAGGTGGTTTCTGGTATAATTTATACAAGCAGAATTTTACAAGGTCCATTTCTTTTACTGTAAATTGTTGATTTGAAGTCTATATACAAGAAAGTACAAAGCCAAATTCAAATATTAGTTTACTATCAAATCGTTAGTAATATACGATTACTTAAAAAGCCATCGTCACCTTAAATATCCTGTTCAATTGATCGACTTCAGATTTGCCAGGGAACAGAGGGTTCATTGTAATGAATTCGGCGAATATGCACCCAACACTCCACATGTCAATCGGGGTGGAGTACTCTTTGCAGCAAAGCAACAGTTCCGGAGCACGATACCAAAGGGTGACCACTATAGGCGTATATTGACGTAGAGGGGACCCATACTCTCTGGCTAATCCAAAATCGCCAACCTAGAAAAGAAATTGGCAGATAAGAATTAAATTACCCGCTGTAGTATTCATCAACCCTCTAAAAAATAACCACATGTCTAATTGTGACTCAGTTTCAGTATAAAAAATAGCAGTTGAAATCGCTACGAGTCGTAAATTTAAGTTATTGCTTTGCTTTGTCAGGCTAAAAAGTTCGTCGGGTGACACATAGATAGTATTAAGTTAATATGATTTTTAGTTAGTCCTAACCTTCAAAAGACACGTGTATAAATTTGAAAACTCACGCAAGTAGTTTGTAAGATATCTAGAATTTTGAGTGAAGAAACTTTTGTTTGTATAAAAAAGGAATTTCGTGAGTTAATAAAGCATTGCTTTTTGGCGAAAAAAAAACGATTGAAGCCAAGGCTTGGCTTGATAAACATTATTCGGACGTGGAAGTGGTTTGCTTTGTTCCTAACGTATAATAAAACAATTAAAAATATTTAACTCAGGCCGGCTAGGTATCAGGGTATGATATATTATCATTTACAGAATTAGCCAATTGCGTGTATGTTGTAAAAACTTAAGTTTTGAATAACAATATTCTAAATTAAATATAAATAAACTAACCTTTAAAATTCCTTTATGTGACAATAACAGGTTGCTAGTCTTGAGGTCTCTGTGTAAAATCCAATTATCATGTAAGTGGTGTACCGCTCTCAACAATTGCGTCATTAGACATTTCACTTCACCTGGAAAATATATTTGTAAAATTGATAAACAATAAGTTGGATAGCGCAAAATCAAAAGTGCTTATCTATTATTCGTTATTTGCTTTTTTTTCAATTACAATGAATGTAACAGAGTAACATAATTGTATGGGAGTTCCGAATAGCGCTCTATGGATGTATGAAATAACCAACCTGGTAAAAACACTTGTTTCTTATTCCTCATAGTTTCCATAAGACTCTTTAAATCATGCTCGACATAATCCATAACGATGAAAATCTTATCCATATTAGATCCCACCACGATTTCCCTCACCGTGACGATATTCGGATGCTGGCCCTGCAACAATCAAACAAGGGTATGCCACCCGTGAGCGAACAAACCTGTAAAATTTCAATCCATCTTCTTGTTTTATGTTGCTATTGTGCTGAATTTTAACAAAATCCAATACAATGTAAACGTAATCTTTTAAATTGTATTCTGCTACATGTTGATAGTTCACACTCACATTCAACACATGCACATGGATTTCGGTGCTCTTCTGAACTTAACAAAACAATCAGAATACATTTAAAAAAATCCGACCACACATTTTGTTAAGTATACAAAAAGTATTGAAATAAGAAATTCACAATCGACTCCAGTGTGACTCACATTACAAGAGGTATATAGTTCATTAAGGCTAAGGCTAGATACAAACAATCAATAATCTGTGGCACTTATTATAATAAAATAAACCTCATAGTGAATCTTAGAAGCAATATATATAATTTAAATTTTTATTACAAATAAAGCCTATTTATTAATATTAAAAGGACTTCAAGATTGTATGTACTTGGTAAATTTAATATAAAATAAATACTTTGGTACTTCTCTCACATGAGAATTTTATTACCACTATTTGTTATATGTATGTTTAATGTGTAAATAAATAAAAAAATATTGACAGGTAAATCAAGCCTTAGTCTTAAACGAAATAATAATTAGAAGCTTCTAGAAACATTGTATCGAATGGTAGAAGCAGACTCAATTGCAAGAATTCTTTAGTTTTAAAATCCGCGTTCTTTGTAAAATCTGAATACAAACTTAAAAAAACACACATACATATGTTCACATCATTAACTATTTGATAAGGTTTTGGGGCCATCCGTAATTACTAGGAAAACATGACAATTGAGGTAGTTTTTGATAAATGAAATATGTTCTTTTGAGAAGTTGTTATATTCACTACCAGATATTTGACTGAATGTGGAAGTTACACTCCAAGTCTACACAAATATTTTTTTAAATAATTCACTGTTATAATCTGAATGCAGTCAAGTAACATTCTGATAGTGAAAGTGTATGATTCAGAGTCAAAACTTAGTGCTAAGTATGACTCACGTATGCCAAAAACGAATTGCGTCCGACTAAGCACAGTTTTGTTTCTGAATCTTACCCTCAGAGATTCAGAAACGAGACTTAGTTTTAAGTCTGACTCCTATACGTCAAATATGTATTAGATTATGACATACAGGAGTCGAGGTTAGCTAAGTCTTGTTTCTGAATATTACCCTAACCCCAAAATGATTGATATTAATAAATAAAATATTGTCTAGTGATAGTCGTATATACAGAATATCTAACCTTAATGCAATCACAGAAATTCAATATATAAAAACCTTTTTACCATTATCTATATTGCATAACTTAATCAGTCTCGCACTGTTTTCACTAAAATACAGATCTTATCTCTCCACAGCGTGAACAAAATGTACCAGAGACTAAGTATTTTAGTTAAAACGTGTATAAGACTGATTAGTTTTAAGATTAAAGTAAAATAAGGTAAGATTTACTACGTACATAACAAGATATAAACAAATATATGAAGAATAAGAGATTTACAAGAAAAAAATATCTCTTATTTTCCAATCGATTTTAAAATACAGTCAACATCCAAGGTGACTATTCATTTGTATCCGGTTATTGTAAATCTTAAGTAATCTTTGGAGGGTAAATTAATTTAGGATTATGGATGACCCCTAACATTTACAACATGACATGTATGTAATATGATTAAATAGTAAAAAAAATACATAATGACATCCACAATTATGCATTAATATAAACTACCTTAAGTATAGAACACATCAGATTTTACAAACAACTTAGATTGAAAAACATAGTGTAAATATTCACAAAAAAAGCGAAATTGCCCGTTAAGACAATTATATCCTCAAAAATTTGTCGCTAGTGTTAATTTCATTGTAATATCGACCTGAAAAAAATATTCTGACATGGCAATACAAACTATTATTCTATTTCAAATGTATAAGATTATAATCATGATTAAGATTTTTTAACCACTTTTCGTGAACTGTCATGTTTTTGCTAATGAAAGACATGAAGTTTCGAATTCCTATTCAATATTAATACCGATAAAGGGTGGCTCGATTCTAATTAAAAAACTACGTTATTTGCAGCAACTATATTCCGAGACCATATTTTACAGTAAGTACTTACTAAACTAAATGTAGCAGTCTGATACAAAAACTAAGACTATTTATGACAAATCGATAAATGAAGACATCGCTTCTATATCACAATCGCTTTTGTTTTAAATAGTCTACCTAGAACGCAAGGGCACGGGCTTCCCAAAAATTTAATGGATCTTTTTAACGAGAGATAGCGGTTCCTTTATGTTATGCCTTTTAATAATGTAGAGTATTTTATCATGTTTACTCATTATTGGCATAAGATTAGGACAAAATATTTAACAGCTATTTTTAGCTTACAGAACATTTATAAGATTTACTCGGTTTGGACTTTCTCTGAATCTTACCAGTAGGCTACGGGTATCAAACTAGACTCCCGTAAACAAAATCTAATACGTTTGTGGCATACTTAGCGCTTAGTGCGGGCGACTTTATGACCCTAACAACTTCTATTCACAAAAGAAAACTGTCAAATAAAACTTCAAAATCGAAGCATTGTGTTTTTGTGGAATTGCTTTTGTGCTGTGCTGATAAGAGGCAGATAATTGCTTTACAAAATAAATTTCTAAATAAGGTTTATCTAAAAACTAACTAACTAAACTTGATTATTTTTGAATCATTAATTTCGGGAAACACTAAGTTAACAAAAGAAGCAAATAACAATCTCTATCAGGTAATTTTGTTTTAGATAAGAAAACCCAGATATTAGGTATAAAAAAAGAACTCTATTTAAAAAAAATAAAAAACTGGAGTGTGCCTAAAATATTGTGTATTTTACGTAAACAGTCATATAATAATTGATGTGTAAAAGAAATTTGCCAATACTCTGGTTAAATTGATAAAAGCAGAAATGTGAGTCAATTTAAACCAGATATAGTTTAAACCTATTAGTCTCGGTATATTATTTATGGGAGATTTATTTCGCTATCCACAACGAACAGTTCAAATAATATGTAAAATTAAGTGAATGAATGAAGAATTTTCTGTTTGGATTACTATAGACTATACATATACCAGACGCCTATTCATTTTAAATATCCAGAAAACACTGACAATTACTTTACTTTCATATAAAGATTTCGACTCTTGAGTTAATTAAATAACTAAATAGGTCTTGCGACGTGGACTAACGATAGTACCGTGTTAATTGGTTATAGTATTTCCGGGTGAAGACATTGGTAACCACGGCTAGAAATTCGAGACTGTTTGGAAGTACGCCGTCTTTTTTTAACTAATTGTGTTTATGTTGCAATGAAAAGAGAGAGATATAGGAAAAGTCGTGATTATTGAGGGAGTGCCGGTACTTCCAATAGTATTCGATATCTATGGTACAAAATTTTGAAAGTCAGAGTACACGAATCCTTATTCAAGTTTTGGAGGCGTTTAAAACACTATAAAAAAGTCAAATATCGTGACCTGGGATTACTCTAGTAGGTAGTAAAGTTTTTGTTTAATGTAAGAAGTCTTTAGCCTGTCATTTGTCAACCAGTCTTAAAATAAATAATCTTTGCCAAAGATACGTTTGGAATTATAGAATCCGTGCCAAAACAATTACTATTGCCATCTTAGACATTACTGATATAGTATTTAACTTTCGGGCGTTGTATAGTACACCTTAATACAAGGAATATCAAAATAATAACAAGATGCTAGTTTTAGACAAACTTGTAACAAAAAATAAATAAACGGATGTAAACACCTTGACACGACGGCTTGACGTGCCAGTCTTGCTGATCTTGACTGCCATCACAAATATCAAATTACATTAAGACTATTAATTGGATTTCATATCCGTAAGTTTTATTTAAATGTGTTAATAATATATCTATCTAAACAGCCCATACAATAAAGTAGCCCTTCTAAATTAGTTTGTAACTACATAGTTGTAATGATAAATTTGTGCTCTTTTAATATAGTTTTATAAAAGTAAAAATTTTAGTGCATTTTATCAATGCAGTGAAATTCATTCTAAATGCCTCAAAAATCTTCTTTTGTTAAAACTAACATTCTATAACTATTTAAGGCTTAAAGTACACTTATTAATGTGGTAGGAACTTAGTTCAAAGTTTCTTTACTTAAGCGTAGATGGTCCAGTTATATTACAATCATGCCGCTAAGAATACAATCATGATTATATCAGTGTATTTGACAATTATGTCAAACATTAACTTATGATATAACTCAAATTAACTTATCCTAAATTACGGTTACCTTGTCGAGTTCCAATATATCAAAAGTTTGTATTGCCATTTCAGAAAATCGTCGATATAAAAAAATTACTTTTCAAAAAGAATGCCTCGTTATCCCCTGGAATAAATTCCTTATAATACTTAGGCCCGCCCATGTTTCGAAGTTGTTAACCCTTGCAATTGGGTCACACCTCTAGCACAACCCTCTTGAAGAGGTGCCGGGCCTGTTGGAATAAAACACAATGCATTAATAATGGGATTGTGCAAGGGAGCCAGACGAGGGCTCAACTTATGCTACGAAGGAACAAAGGGTATACCTCAGTTTGTCGTTATGATGGCCCAAGTGAGCTTATAATTAGGTTTAAATAAATAAATATGATCCTACCTTAAGTAAAGTGTTGATTTCCCTCAGTGATGTTATGGGAAATCCCTCCTTCTCCTTTTCCATTTTGAGCCGTTTAAGAGCGACAATTTCTTCTGTGGTTTTGTCTCTAGCTCTATAAACAACCCCGTACGTCCCTTCCTCTATTCTATTTAGACATTGAAATTCTTCAACTGATCGACATCCCTATAAAATGGTTTCGGTTAACTTTGGAGGAAATCGGCAGAAGCCAAACTAAATATATACATTTAATTTGGTTCTATGTGATGCGCCGTCAACACAATATGGAGTCAGTTAGTAAAATACAACTGAAGATTTCACAAAATTGGTAACAATTTTTATACCACTTTAAATTTATAATTATCTCACACACAAAACAACACAAATTTCTATGCGCGCAACAAGAGACAAGAAAATCTAAAATATCTTGACCTGTTAAGACATCAGTCTTAGAGGTTAGAAGCACTCAAAGCTATTTTTTCTTTCCATTTTAAATGTATGTCAATATATGTAATATGGATTACGAAATAAATAAATAGAATGTACTTACTATTATTTCGTATTGCTACTGACATCTATTAGAATTAAAAAAAAAACAAATATGTATGGATTTATTATATAATGAGGGTTAAGTTAGAATTCGAATTAAGTTAAACTGTTTATGGATTTTTGTCCTAAATAATTGTCTCTTTGTACAGTTCTAAGTAAATAGGTTACCTGTAATGCAGGGAAGTATGGAGGTAATGAATTAATAGCCTCCTCTTTGAGTCTAGCACTTTCATCGTCCTCAGTGGGCTTTACCTCCTCAATGGGAGTTTTTCCATTTTCATCTGGTGGAGGAGGTGAAAACGAGTGTGATCTACTTCTGCTTTTTGATCTAGAGAGTGACCTGAAATTTATTTATTTCTATTTAAACCTTATTCATACATATCTAAGTACAATATTAGACACAAGTAGTTTTATAGTATTAATATCTTTATGAAATTATATTTAACCTGAAATTTTTTATTAAGAAACTTATTGTTTACGGTCAGAGTTGATATTGAGCATAAAGGTTCGCAACGGTTTTGCAATACTGTATGTAGAAAGTCGAAAACTAAATTTGTCGACACAAACTGTCATTTTCATACAAATTTCGTTTTCGACTTTCTAAAACCTTACCGTTAAGGCATCTTCACTAAGCTCTCAAAGTCACGCTGTAATAGAATTTAGTATTCTCAATCTCCAATAGTTTTGAGAAATTACATAATACCAAAATGTCCCCAAAATTACCTTCGACTTTCATGAGATGATGGGCTGGCATGAATTGATTTTGGTGATGGTGATTTAGACCGCTCTTTAGGATTAGGTTTCTCATTTACACTTTTTTCTTCTACATCCTGCTCTGATTTAGCAGATTCCGAATCCGTTGATGAGCTGTCGTCTTCTGTGTCACTGTTTGAATGCTCACCTAAATTACAAAAAATATTATCATACAATGTATTTATTAATATTATTATAATGTATTATATATGTATTTTCTGCTTGTTTAAATTTAATAAATCTTATAGTAAAAATTTGAAGAATTTTTCCTTAATACTCAATTAGTTAACGTATATAATTAAAAAATGGTATCTATATTTTTACAAAAAAATATATCTTTTTTGAATTCTTTTTTCAAACGAAATGTATAACTTACCTTCTTCAGGCTCAGAATGTGAATCAGTCTTCATCTCAACATCACTAGCATCTGAGACCTCTACAACAGAATCACCATAGTTGGGGGAATGAGATGTTTTATTCTTTTTACTGCCACCTTCTTCTGGTGTCACTGAACGTTTCTTGCCGCGACGTCGACGATCCTCGCGACGAGCCTCTAATTCACTTCGCGACTCATGTTTCCTTTTTACCATTTCCCTTTCTGAAATGGCACAAATCTATTTAATACACATTGTTTAATATAACAACATTACCAATTAGATATATTTTTATACCTACAACTTTTGTTTCTACTTAACACTAAAAAGATTACTTTAATAAGTCAGCTATAATATCCCTAAAAATTCTATAGTAAAAGTATCAAGTGTAATAAGGAAAAGTTTTATAATAACATGTCATATTAACGGAGAATAGTTGTAGGTTTGATTTCAGAAAGAGCCATAATTAATTTGGTTAAAATATAGAAAAATTATCACATTGTTATAAGAAAAGTTATCAGAGGAACAGACTCAGAAATGTGTCTGCCCTATACCCCATTGGGAGGTTAAGGGAGTTAACACACACATACCTGCTTCAAGTAATCTATTTTTTCTTTCCAAATGTAATTTATCATAGGACTGTCTAGAAGCAGATTTAAAATCTTTTTCATATTCAGGGTACTTTTTAGAATCCTGCGTTTGAAGTTCTTTTGTCATTCTTTTACTTAATAATCTACTTCTTAAATCCTCCAATTCTTTATCACCTGATGTTTTATCCCTATTTTCTTTTTCATGATTATGAGAGCCTCTGCTCTCATCTGCCACCATCCTGAGTCTTGTTTCAATTTTATCAGTTTCAAGATGCTTTCTCTCAGCCTCGGTGTACTTGTATTGTCTATCTCTATGAATATACATTTCACGTTCTCTTTGTACATCTTTATCTTTATATAATTCCTTACTTCTGTAAACTTCTCTTTGTCTTCCAACATCCCGGTAAGCTGTCTCTCTATAAACATCCCTTTCTCTATAGTGTTCCCTTTCCCTATATGGATCTTTTTCCCTATAAACTTCTTTCTCTCTATAACCATCCTTTTCTCTCATTTCCCTTTCTCTAAACATATCTTTTTCTCTTATGTCCTTGTCTCTATAAAGGTCTTTTTCCCTATAATATTGTTTATCTCTATAGTAGTCTTTGGGTATGTCTTCACGATCCATATTGCTACTTACTTCTCGCTTTATCTTGTCTGACTTATCACGGTCCCTGTAGAAAAAATGCAATTATGATGTTGAACATCCCCAGACCAATCAGTCAGACCTTAAATAATATTATTGACATTAAACAATGGTAAAGTAATATATTGATTCTATTTCTTAGTAATAAAATAAGAAAAAAGACTTACCTATAAAGTTTTTTTTCTTTTCTGGCACCTTCCTTATATCTGTCTTTGGCTGAATGTTTATGGTTTCTTTTGTCCCTGTGCGATCGAATAACAGCTTGGGGTGGTTTAATAACCAAAGCATCTGGATTATCTCGATCTTCATCAGACAAACTAAATAAAAATATTCATTAACATTAAATAAATTTTATAAATATGATTCATTATTTCCACTCAAAACGGCAGTTACGTTTACGAACGCCTTCTCACTACATTAGGTCTATTTCAAAAATATTAACAAGAAAATTAAGACAAATCGTAAAGATAATGCAATACAATATAGTATGTCAATATATATTATAACCTTACAATATTATAACCATTAGTAGTTACGACAGTATTCTTTAATTTTATTCATATATATTACAATAACAATATAATAGAGTACGAAATTAAGTACAAACCTAAAATCCATTTCATCTTGAACGGGGCTACGTGCTAATTCTCCATCTTCACTTTGATCGTCTTCGTAGTTACTCATGATTAAATGTCCAAGCTTTGGTAGTCAAACGTTGTCTAGTTCAGTACTTCAAAATAACTATAAAATTCAACTAACAAATAAACAACACAATACACGAAAAGTAATAATAATTATATTTTACGCCCTTCCCGAAAAACCACTAACATGAAACTTTAAGATTTCCTCAAGCACAAGCACAATTCGACGCCATCTTGAGTTTGTAAAACATAAAGTTCATGCCATAGAGTACCATTATATATAGGACAGATATCCCAAAGATTTTTAATTTGTTTAATTGATATTATAATATATTTGATAACAGACATGCTCTAACATCAACACATGCTAACGTACACGTTTTAACGTTTACAATAAAAAGTTAAACAAATGAGAATTTTACGTCTTCACCTAAATATCGAAACAGATTGACTCGATCTCGCGAGAGCGATGCTGGCGTTTTAGGAATAGATCTATTATTTATATATTTATATCTATTTTTAGATTGTGTATTTATATTAGACTTACTAATTACTTCATCTTAAATAGATCACATTTCTAAGTACAATAATATTATATGTAGTTGTGATTCTTATTCTAAATGACACATTTCGTATTCTCCTGTGATCTTTATAATGCCACTGTTCAAAGTAATCTGTGGTCGGTCTACAGACTACCTTAGAATACGTTTAAAAAGATTACAGAATGATTACAGAAAGTTGCTACTTGTAAGATAAAATATAATTTTTATTCATATTAGTTTATTTATTTACGTTTTGTTGAGTGTTTTAAATAAAAATGATTAAAAATTAAATGTAAGTCCACATACTATTGTTTTATGTACAATATAATGTACTATGTATGAAATGAGGACAACAAATGTTATTCTGACTTCTGATTACCTCTGGTAATACGGAGGTTGACTTGGATGTTTAATATGTACTTCTTTATTTAATTAAGTTTGTTGATGAATTTCGTGTTTAAGTTATTGTAATTAAATTAGGCAATGAATTATTTTATTTTAACTTTATGGCATTGTTATTGAAACTTCACGTTTGTTTTACTACTGTATTATTATTTATTAAAATTATATAATTACACTTTTAGTCTGCAAATAATAGAAAGTGGAGTATTACAATTATAGCTACAAAGGATTTTACTTAAAACAGTTGATCTGCATGAGTCCTCTATGTAAATATGCTATCCTTGCACATATGTAATTGCATTCAGTGACCATGATGAATGGATAATTATTATCTTCTTTACAAATGTAGTCTTAATCATAAATATGGTAAGATAAATAAATTTCTGTTATATTTTATTAAGTATACTATTTAAAAATTTGATATTATTTTGACAGACCACAAATTTCTTAAACACTATAACAAATGCTATTGAAAATAGGGAGGAGGAATTAAAAAAGAGAAAAGAAAATGCAAAGCTAACCCTTAAAGACCTTATTCTTTGTATTGAAAACTGTCAAAGCCGCTTTGGAGGAAAATCTGAGTTAGCTACAGAAGATGATATAAGGCATGTATTACATACACCTTTTTACCATTCTTTCCTATCATGACATATTTGTTTGCTAAAAAAAAGAATATGGGTGTTTTAAATAATAGTATAAGTGTGCATGAACATCTCTCTGTCTGAGTTGGTAACTCATATCCAAGTATCATGGTTGAATGTAGAGAAGGATCTGGCATGAATTATTTTCCTCTAACAATTTCAGTCCTGTATCTCTTTAATAACGGAATAATTGACTGGGACCATCCTGTTTCTGAATGTCAATGAGATCTATTGCCTTCATTGTTGCCAATCACTATGAGCTTTGCTATGTTTTGTTTTGCTGACAGTATATTGTTGATTAGCAATTTTTAGTATGGAGATTGGTAACGATTTATACATGAGTGCAATTAGTTTTTTTTAATTAGACGCCAGCTAATAATTAAAAACTAAACTGTTGTCTTACAGAATAGTCAACCTGTGTGAGAAGTGGGAAAAAGTTTTAAGCCATGGTTTAAGGACAAATTTGTCCAACTATACTTTACAGAATTTTGTTACCGCTGGCCTGAATTTCAATTTTAACATTATTAATGTTGGTAAGTAAATTTCCAATACCAAACTTTTTATACTTAGACATTAGTTAATTTATTTTTACAGTAAAAATTTTGATTTTTTCGTTTTAAGGTAATTCACTATGGAGCTATTCTTGTCTGCACTTAACAAAACATGAGAAAGAAAGATTCAAGATCTTAACAAATATAAACACTCCATTAGGTTACTTTCGAAGTTTCCTAAGAGCTGCTTTAAATGAAAGATCTTTAGAAAGGTAAGTGCTTAGATCAACGTAAAATGAAAGGTCTAATTCACATATTATGTAATTTTACAGCAAGTTATATGAATGTGCACATACATTATACATTAATTCTATGCCAAATATGTCCAGAGAAGTTCTTATTGTATTTCTGAAGTTTTGCTAAACAACAAATACAGTTTATTCAAGTTTTGAATATTCATACTCAAATTGTCCCTAATAACATCTTTGATATAATAATATATTTAAGAAATACAGCTTTCTTGTTTATTTGCACTACCTTTATGATTTTCAGATATCTACAAAGTTGGGTTTGTCATGGACTTTTATTGGAATATTATGATGAAGGAGCTATTGTTCGTAGTGCAGAAGCAAACCTACTTCCTAATATGGCAGCAGGTATGTTTCATTATATCAAGCTTATCATTTTAAAATTTTTGTGAGTTTAAAAACACCTTTATATAGTTAAATAAATACAAGTTCAAATTTAATCTAAATAACTAAAAATAATTGAACATTAGAGACATGTGAATAAGTCATTTTATTAGGTTAGTTTACTCACAAAAGTTAGTTTAATTAATATTTGTGTCGACGTACCATGATGACCTGATGACCCATATGATGCATTTTGTATATATACTCTTATTATTTCCATTACTAGCGTGTTTTTTAGGTAAGGTAGGTATGTAAACATAAGCCATTTCATGAAATAGTCAATTTTTCATTCTGGCCACGACGTATCTAATTGATTTCAGGGTTATCAACAGTATTATTTGCGTTATCTATCGACAGAGCCGAGTTAAATGATTCACAAAACAATAGCCATATGACCAAAGCCGAACTCGTTATACCTCTACCTACACCAGTGAAACCGTCTCATACAAAAAGAAAACCATTGAGACAAGTGATATCTTTCGACAAAGAGAGAAAGAGTAAGGGAGAAACGCCGACTAAAAGTCCCCAAATAGATGGCGTGGCCGAGTCGTGGAACAGCGCGCCAGCCACTTGCTTAAACTCTCCTGATCCTCAAATGGCACCGCCCACAGCATCGACGAGTGAACCGACAAGCTCGGATTATAAAACTGGCATTCGACACTTCTTCCCAGACGGAGTTAAATCTATGGAGAGCCCCTTACAAATACTATCAAAGCTATCGGAAAGCGCGAAAGAAATCTTCATGAGTTCAACTAGCATTGAAAAGAATCGAGATGATTCATCAGATTTAAGCGTGAACTGTTTGAAGATATATGAAAGCGATAGTGAGGAAGTGGGTGGTAGTATAGACGGAAGTACTTCGTGCTTGGAACTCTGTTTTACAGAGGATGAGAGTGTGCCCGATGAGAAAACATTGGATTCTGTGTTGGAATGTAGAGAAAAGGAGTTCCTAAGCTTACAGCTTAAGTATAACCAAATCGAACATACAAGTAAGGATAAGATACAGAAGCTGGAAAAAGTTGTGATAGACCTTAGCAAGTGAGTAATTGATTTAAAGCCGAAATCTTGTAACTATATTCAATACTTTAAGCTGAGAAATCCTTTATACCTATCGCTTTATTCAGTTTATCAACATAAAAGTTAGCGCAGGTCAAATAAAATTAAATGCCGGCAACGCCCTTGCGAGCCTTCTGGCAATCTGAGTGTCCACGGGCGGCGGTATCACTTAACATCAGATGAGCCTCCTGCCCGTTTGCCTCCTATTAAATAAAAAAATATAATATACATATTATAATGCTCCCAATCTAAAATTTAAATAAGTATATCTCATGCTACACGCTCATAGTGGATAATTTTTATTATTTCTTGCAGTCCCAATAGTGGGGTAATGTTTTTGCGTCTGTTACTTTTAGGGGAAAATGTAAAACTAGAGGCGAAGTTGTGCGTTTCATTTGTGATTGGTCAACAGTAGTCAAAAGTCAAAATACGGTCGACTATTACTGAATCTTTCAAGTATTTGTTACCCCATTCATTTATTTTTAGAGAAAACGATAAACTAAAAGAACAATTGAGGAACTATATGTCAGCAGTGGAAATGGGGAAAGCAATGAAAACTAGTAATGGACAGGATGAAGAAATAACACAGTATGAACGAAAATTAGTTCAGGTTTGTTCGTATATTGTATTTGTAACCCCAGATATAAAATAAATAAGATACGAACAGCCTAACGTAGCAAGAATTAGAGGACCTAAATCTGAAATTGTCAAAACACATACATATATTATTTCTTAAAGTATTGCACATTTTTGTATTTCTTAATCTAGTTTGTCTTTTGTTTTTAATAATTAATTTATTTTCTCTTTTATCATTGTAATGTTGTGCACTCTTGTCATTGATGCACATGCACGTATTGTGTTTTTGTATGTCGAGTGTTCTCTGTAAGTGTTTGTATGTGTTTCGTTAGTGTGTCATTTACAATATATGAATAACTAGCTGATTGAATGATAAAAGAATAGATAAAAACAATCCTTGATGTGGACTATATATCATGCTTAAATTTCAGCCCGATTGGTGCAGAACTTTTTAAGTTTTTGAAGCATACACAAACCAACATAAATGTTATATATATAGATATTTAAGCTTCATTTATTCCTTAAAAAATTTAGAAAATATACACACACCAAAATTTTTTTTTCAAGGACCTCTTATTGAGTTTAAGCCTCCTCTAATTGGCTCCATCTCTCTCTGTTTTGAGCATTTTTCTCCCAATCCTCTTCACCAACTTCCTTAACCTCGTCAGCCCACCGTGCAAGAGGGCGACCTCTCTTTCTTTTTCCTGGTGGCCCTTTCCACTTTGTTACGCTCTTTGTAAAATTAATTAATTCAAATTATATACGTAACATAGGGTAGGCATTATTGCGTGTTTAATTGATGTTTAAGGCAAATACGAGGGCTTATGTGCCTACTTACCTTAAACAGTATTTTTTTCTTTAGATCGAACCCCGAATTTGCTACGGTCCTGCCATACCTCTTTCGCTTTATCTGTTTTCATGACATTAACCATACTCGTCGGTTTTGGGGTACTTTTAACTTGTCCCTTCTCTAGTACCTCCTGAATTTTGGTCCAGGTCTGTACCACAAGGCCTACCCAACATTCCCCTTCGCATCGTTGTCACGACGTCCCCTTTTAACCCTCACTGTAAAAAGAGGACACTAATACTTATCCCATCACATCACACATACTTCTAAACGCTCTCATTTCCACAATAATTCTTTCACACCCAACATTTAACAAATTTAACACCCAAATAAAAAAAAAATGTTTTTAGGTAGCAGAAATGCATGCTGAATTAATGGAATTTAACCAACATCTACAAAGACGATTGCAAGACTTGGAGAGTACAGGGCTAGAAATTCTGGACTGTCCGGAATCCAATGTTAAAGTGTATATCCCCAGTGCCTTCCTCGTTGGGAAGAAAACTCATTCCTACCATGTTTATCAGGTAACTGTTTCAGCTATTTTGACCTCTTATCTATATATTCTTATCCTGCCTTTGTTCGATTGTGTGGAAAATATTTGGATTTAAGAGTACGAAAGTTCATAAAACACATCATGTTATGGTTCGAAACAGACTAATCACAAAATATTTCCGAACCGAGAACAAAAAGACAATCACATAGTTATTTTAAAAACTTAATGATATACAGATACAGAAATGTATAGTAGTACTGTGTGTAACACAACACGTCCAAAATCATTTCACCAAGACAATATAGATGAAAATATTACGTAACATAAAAATGTAACAAAACGAACGTCGTACCAGCAAATTTATTTTCTCTACTATTTGATTTCTTAATTTGAACATTATTTACACCGGTAAAGTGACACAACACACCCATATTTACTTAAATGGTTATTAAGATTTTAATTGCCTTTTATTCTGTTTGAAATATATATTTCTTTCAGATATACCTTAAAGTAGGCCAGGAAGAATGGAATGTGTACCACAGATACGCCAAGTTCTATGAAATGCATACGCAACTCAAGAAATGTCATCCCGATATCGCTAATTATAAGTTCCCACCGAAAAAGACGTTACGAAAAAGGGTAAGAATTTCTGAAATATTGTTGTGGCGCGTTTAAACCTAAGGTCCATGTTCTAAGTCGGATTTCAAGATATAAGCTGGTATACACATAAATAATGGTTTGACAGATTTAAGTTTGGTTGACGTTCTAGAATACGGACCATAGTCTCATATCCCAATTTTCATACGTTTTTGACATACGAAATGGTGTAAAAATCAAAATTCATTTCTGATGATAATTATTATTAGCATTCTCAACGTGAAATAACAATATATAGAATCGAATCATAAAACATTTTGTCGATCGAATTGTTTATATTTATAAAAAATACATTTTGTATGATAGAGTATCCCGGACACGGACACACGTTAGGTACCAACGAACTCACGTACCTATAGGATAGTCACTTTTAAAAAAGGCCATATAGTAAACGCTGCTTGTGGTGACTGGTCGTACTTGAACTCGTGTAAGCGGTGATATTAGTTATTTCGACGATGTGTTTGCGTGTTCCCACATTTCACCATGCCTCCTGCTGATAGAGGACAAGTCTTTGTTTTTAATTAATGTACTTTAGATGTCATGTGGAACATGGTGTAATAGTTGCAGCTTCTTACAAACGTTGTGTAAAAAAAACATGGTTACTAAAAAGAGTGGCGGAGAGTTTATTGCCAGTTTTTCTCTTCCGTTCTACGCCCTTGATTTGAGATCTGGCACGAAATGTAAAGTTAGAAGCATTTCATATGCATTTCTTTTTTTTGACGATCGTAAGTGTACATTGTGTTACCTATATGATTAAATGATTTTTTAATTTGAATTTGCTGTATTTACAGTTCACATCCGACGTCATCATATGGAATACGTGTTCATAGAGGATAATTAATGCAAATACTTTAAAAAAAAACATTCAAAAGTTTTTGCGTAGTACGCACGCCCATATAACTAATATACTAAAAACGAGATCGAGATGTTTTAAAGTTGTTTTTCGTTACATTTCAGGACGCAAGAGTAGTTGAACAGCGACGCATCGCACTTCAAGCGTACTTACGTCATGTGTTGCTCGTGTTACCAGAGCTCAGAGAGTGCACGAGTCGTTCACAACTCATCACTCTTCTGCCGTTCTTTGGGTGAGTTATCATATATTATTTATATGCTTTATGGCTTAGAGATTTTGTAGAACATGGTATGTTGAGCGATTTTAATAAATAAAATGTAAAACGCCGACGTTCCTTCGTCTACAGTCGTAATAGTACGACCGTGTCTGACTCTGTAATGCACTATAATATCAGTGTAAATTCCAGTCTCAATAGAAATTGTTGATATGATTGAGTCGGCCTTTAGAATATTCTTTAAATCTCTAATGTTTATCTATGAAAATTGTAAATGCTCAAGTCGTTTACAATAAATATAAAATCTGTGATTTTCCGTCTTTGAACAGTTTAGTTTTTTTGTTTTATTTTTGTATGTTACGCACACTTATGATTGATGCGCTGTTTTGTGTCTTCCAGTGTTATATTTTTTGTATATTAATGTGCCTTAATAAGTAAATAACTAATATGTTTTAGTACATCATCAACAGTTAAAGAGAACGGCGTTAATATCGTCACCCGTCAACATTCCAACGACTCGGCGTCTACTTACGACCCGATATGATCACTGCGCGTAAAACAGGATAGACAAATAATTAAAAAGAAATGGTGACATACCAATCAACATACTATACATTTTTAAATATGGAAGTAGCAGTTGCTGCTGCTGGGTTCTCCTAAATTCAACAAAAGTCCCGCTATATGAGGAAGTAAGCTGTAAGCCTTTGTATAAGGCAATGTGTAGCCATGGTTCCGGCACACTACTCAATGGCAAATGTCAGTTGTCGGTACAAGATTTGACCTTGACTCGGAGACAGCTAAATTGTAAGATAGAAATGGTATTTTTATAAATAGGTCAGTAGTGGATTAGTAGTTACAATGATCTTAGATCCGAATAAAACAGAACCTTCATCTAATTATTTCAAAAATATCGTACATTCGCTCGTTGACAATTTTTTATTGTCTTTTGTCATATTAAAAAAAACAAATTTAATAATTAATATTTGTGAAAAAAGTTGTATATATTTTGAGTCGAGTTGAATTCGGATTTCAAAGGACAGCCAGATTACCGAGTAGGTAATGTTAAATTAAATGATTATACTTACACACTTTCGCAAACAGTTAATTTATCTTTTAGCTCGTCAAAAGTTGTGTGAAGGTTCAAGGGCGGATCTAGAATAACCAACAGGAGGATGATAGTTTAAATATCTTTCAAATAGTTTTTAAGAGTCCCCACCACCACTATGTGGAATCAGCTGCCCACAAGTTTTCCAACAATTCGACTTAGGGTCCTTCAAGAAAAAGCGTACCAATCTTAAAAGCCGAACCACTGAGCTCTGAGAGTGCATGGGGTATACTAACATCAGGTGAGCCTCCTGCCCGCTCCCGCCCTTCTGCCCCCGGTTAAAAAAAAAAAAATATACAATGTACCAGTAAAATTACCAATTTGTGTCGTTTTTACAGATTCTATAAATATCATTTTTTAACAGTACTATTTAACACTGTGCTGCAACAATTTCTGCCTAGATTCAGGGGGTCTTAACCCTCCAGGATCCGCCCTTCGTTCCTGTGTGGTCTCTTAAATTTGTTCTTAGTTGAAATAGCACTTTTTGAACGTTAAACTTGCCTTAAACCAATGAGCAATATCGTATTTAAAACAAGTTCAAATAAATTCAGTCATTCAGAGTTATTAACTGACAACGATAAAAATAGCTATTAGTTATAGTAGATTTTTAATAGTGTGATAGTTATACGTTATTTAGAGTAGCCAATTTATAAATTATAAAAAACTTCTTTTCTACGTGGCAACATTTTTATTATAGTAACATTTTATTTTGGTGAATTAGATTAAATTAATAACAATTGAATATATAGTTATAAAATAATAATTTGAGTCGAAAAAATATTTTTGTCACGGATAATTCATTTATCGAGAAATGCTATATATTATTACCGAATTAATAATAAATACTAAAATAAAAAATAATACCACGACGCAGCACTAGCATATTTATAATTATTATATTAAATTATTGTATATTTTATATCAGACAAGATTTCTTAGAACCAAATAATTATACGTTTATGTTGTTAAATGTTATATTTCGAGAATATTATTTTAGGTATTTTTACATAAATCTGTGATAACCGAGTAGCGAATGTTCAAAAATGTGAATCTAAAATATCATGTTGTAGCCTATATTGTTTATAAGGCTATGAATGTAAAGTTTAAGCTTTTGTTTTAATGAAATAGTTCTGTAACCATCGACATTATTTAGGGCTGTTCAAGTACCTAATTATTATTAATGTTATTATTTCTGTTATTTTGCTCTACATGTAAACAATATTATACGCTGGACCCATAATTCAAATAATTAAAACTATGAATACGCTATTGTGACTTATCTTAATGTGTTTTAATAAATGTTTCTTCCCTTGTTAATAAAAAATGAATCAATCTATGCACTAATTTGACTTAAGTCCCCACTTTGCTCTTTTCACCAGACTTATTGTTTGTCACAAAAAGACCATTATGTATTCAGTTTTAAACGTTGGCCATGGGTACGTGACCTCATCATTCCTCTATCATAGCGCCATGGGGGTCACTGACCTCAAGTTAAAGACATATTCAAACCGTTTTTTCTCGCCGTCTGCCATACCCACTGTTGATTTTAAAGTACTATGTGACCGGCACGGGCCGTAGAACAATACTTCCATTGGACAAATTACCTAGATAGGAATTGAAAAAATCGAAATATTTTAAAAGAAGAAAAATAAAAGTTCGTTCCAAAAATTTGGATATTTAACTCAATTCAGTCTTTATTTTTTAAACAAAAATTAGCAGAAAGTATGGTGTGTTGTGTTGTGTACCAATATTACTGAAAAATAAAATTTATCTTTAGAAAAACTAGGAAATTGCAAAGTGTAAAAAATTCGAAAATCACACTAAACAACCCAAGTCTAGAAATATTAATATTTAGCCTTAATTTTATCAATATAAGTAAAAGTTGATGGAAATTCAGGATACAAAACTGCATACAGGGTTCACAATTATGTCAACCTAAGCCCAAACCGTTTTATGGTCATTTTACGATGATTACGATTTTTTTAAACCGCCCATTTTACGGTTCTCTCATGCCGAAGAATAGGCACCTATTTGGTACTCATATCTACAGACCCTTCGGATTTATTATGATCCAATATGATCTTCGGCTTCCGAATCTGTTTGCCTTTTACTCTACCACAGCAAATTTGTCGAAAGCAAAAGCACGTCCTCTTCCTTCCATTTTAACACCGTTACTCCGTTTCATTCTCACAGCCATTATTTTACCTTTCTACAGTTCTGAATTCTAGAACAGCCTAACCCTCTTGTTTTTTCCAAAGTGCCGATTAAATGGGTTTGTTTCTCCAATAACCTAGTTCTAAGCTTGTATACCAGTTGTCAGTTGCAAGTAAGTATGTATAACCTAACGTCTTTTTATTTTCGGTATTAGCATCTGTTCGCTATCTGATTCTGAGTGGCAATCATTGTTTCTCAAAGGGTTTGTTGTAAAATAATATGCTAACGCTTGATTTGTAAATTCTAATTCCTCCATAGCTAAGCCAATACCTAAGGATCTCGTACATTATTAACGCAACCTAAAAATAAGTTCGTTATGTAGCGAAAACAAATTTAGTAGGAAACTAATTGAAAGAGCAAAGCAGAGGCAATCGTCGCAAGCGCGAGCGCACTAACACTGTCGAAGTAATAGCTCCGTGGGCGGCACGCGCAGGGTAACGGAAAATGTATTTTCTGTTTTGTGCGCCATGGGGTGCACCGGTGACCTCAGTTATATATTTGGCTGTAACTATGTAACACATGGGCAGAATTTAATAAAACTAATTTTCTATACATATATTATCATAATAAACAAATTACAGCAAAAAAGTTTTTTACGATTTTTGTTTTTTCTATTGGCGTTTAACGTTTTATGTGGGCCAGTATGATCTTTAATGGCTTGGTTCAATAGCTATGAAGTGTAAATGAAACTACATTTTTAGTTATCTTGACTGCCCCTTAATATATTCTCACATTCCATTATTTTATTAATACATCTAATACTTTTTCTATATATTCATGATACTTTAAGAGTTATGTCAGAATTGTATAATTTATGTGAATATTTTGTTAATACACAAATATAATTCTATTATTTTGGTGTTTTATTAAATATATCCCTTACAATCAGAGGTTCTGCAAACAGTTTATATATTTGACAGAGTTGTAAAACTAAAGGATTGTGTAATTGAAAAACACTGTAGCAAATTAAAGTCATATTTTTATTTTCATAATAAAGAAAACACTCGTCTTGAGAATTTCCCTATCATATACATCATACAAAAGATGTCGATTAAACTAAATCACTTGTTGCAAAGGCAAGCCTGGGTCGGGGTCGGCCCTTTGAGCTGTCAATGCTTCGGCGATCGGAAACCGAGAAAGCCTCTTCCATACATCACTTCAGAAACAGACATACGCCTCCCGAGCTGACAGTTCCGGCGAACATACGCGATCATGATTAAAAAAACATTGTAAATACGTAAAAAGCGTCTCTCAAAAGTAAAAAAGACGAGAATGTAATAAATAACTAAGTAAAGAAATAATTTACTACTTTACACCTAAATAATATGTATTGCAACACGCTGAGGAGCTCCAGAACCGCGAAGTAATTTCAGTTGGTAATCTCGATGAGTTTGTGATTTATCTTTGGTTAACTGACCAAGTCGAGGTCGGTTCCACAACTCCCGTCCATATTTCATAAGTACTTACATAAGTTACAGATCTACGAAGCTAATTAAAAGCAAATAGAGAACGTCAACCGAATCGCAGGCTAAACCGAGTTTGAATCGAGAAGATATCGGTCAATATTAGGGTGAACCTGTCAATTTCTACTAAAACAAAAGCTTTTGAATACAATTAGCATCGAAACGCGACACTACAAACCATCACAGCTCAGCCAAAACGTTTAACGCAAGTTAGGTGACCCGGGTGATAACATATTGGGAATTGAAAGGTTTTAGTTGAAAGTGATTTTCGTATACCCTTGGGGAATAAAAAAATCGCCCACTAAGGATTCGTGCGTCGGCGCAGACAGTACCTCGAGGCCGAGAACTTGCTCGTCACAGCAAGTCGCCCAGGTACACACGCCCTCGTGTGTTACGCGCAACCGTAGACCGGTCCATTTATAGTTCATCATGTTTGAATCGATTTGATTATCTGACTAGAGGAGGAGGGGAGGGCAAGAAACTCTAAATCGTTACGCGTGCGCGTAGTACACGTTTCGTTATCACCCGGCGCCATTAACTCATAAATGCTGACATGTCGGCATAACGCTTATCACAATATATAAAAATATATTAAAGAAGCTTACAATAGAACTACGAACGCACTCTGGATGCATTTGCCACCACACTTGCCACGACAGACATCATTTTTTTTATACTTTTATATTTTTTCTTTGTGCGGCAGCGTATGCCTGCGAAATTCATAGCGTTTAACTCTCGAAGGAAGGAATATTAAGCGCCGGTCGCTTCGTGGTAAACCGATTTGTACTGACCGACCGCAACATTACTTCCTCGGAGATTCAAGACGTCAATTGGTACTAAATAATACTAGTCCGTTTTAAAAACCAATGGAAAGTTGAATGCGAGAGTACATTTGTCATATTGTGTCGAAATCGCCAGAAAAACTTGCAGAAGCCTATCTCCCTAAACATGTGCATTCTTAACATTAGGATTAAATAGCTCAAATGTTAAGCCTTAGTTACTACTATATTGTTATTTTTGCTGTGTAGCTTACATATTAGGCTTTTGATAAATAGTAGAATAATTGTTTTTTTTTTCAAGAACGATTTTGCCGCGTTATCTATGAATTTTCACTTAAGATTCTCTATGATGTAACAGCTACCTCTTCAACTTTCATCTGGAAAGGAATATTTTTTTAATTAAAAATAATTATACACATATAATTATAGACCCGTCGCAAAAGTATTTATATATATTTTTTCTAAATAAGAATAAACGGTTAATGTGATATTTTTTGTGATTTACTTCATTTAATAAACGAATCGAGAGTCCGGTGAACAGAGTCTAAAACAGAAAAACACAAAGAGTGACGAAATGGATCTACTTTAAAATACTTAAAAAAAAAAAATCAATCAGAGGTTTGTATCTAACGCAGGTAAGTCATCTGAGAGTATGACCGGAATAGGATTTTGAATTATGTTTAAATTGACATTTTCCTAATAAAGTAAACTGAAGGGAACGGGAAATAATTGAATATATTTTACTAAAATAATAATATCAATAAGACATAAATATTAATTAAGATTAGTTTAATCCGAAATTCTGTTTAACAGAATTATTAAGCCATTCATATAGAAAAAAAAATATTTTGCGCCGGGTCACGTTTTTTGTATGGGATTTGAAACATCTACTAATATTCTTAGTACACTCTGCTAAGCTAAGAATAAAATCGAAAAATTTAAGCAATTTTGACATTCTTAAGACAAAAGTAAATAGTTTTACTGTATATGTAAAAGCGTACCTCTAGCGCCAACAATGATGGACTTCCGTTTGATGTCCTGCGCAGGCGCAGGCCGCACCACACCTCCACCCGGCAAATGCCCGCCGCCAGCGCGGATAGGTTTGGCTGCAGACAATTAACAGATTATATGAATATAAACGAAACGTAGGGTTAAGTTTTAACTTAGGCGTGATAAACTACTAAGTAACAAAAATTTACAATTTAAAACAACAGTCATAATCTCGACTGCAATTATAAAATCTAAAAATAAGATAACAATATTACTGTAGAATAAATCATTGAATTACACAGTAAATAATTATTTATAAAATCTTGTCTTCATACCAATTTGTGCTTGCACGCCCCTTCGCGCGAGGTTCTTGGCACGTACGGCTTCCTTGATTCTGTCCACCTCGAACTGGTATCTCTTACGGTCACGCATAGCGCCTTCTTTAGCCTCCTGTTTAACAGAAATATTTATATAGATATGTGTATGTCAAGTAATGTAAAACGGCAAATAAATTGGCGAGATAGTAAAAATTGTTTTTACGTTTTTCCCCACCAAGTTACATGCTGATATTATTTTTGGTTTCACAATTCATCTTACACAATGAGACATGACAGAAAAAAAATCATAAATTTTGATAAAATATCAACCAAACTGGACATGTTTACACACGTACATAAAATTTTTTTTAATTATGTATACAATAAATAAAATCATTTATTTATAAGGGCTAAGTTAAATAAACACAAAAGGCATCTGAAGCGCTAAGTTGCGCGTAAATTAATAAAAAAATGTGAGCCGTCACGGGACGCCTGGCAGATGTGAAACATCGCCATTATTTTGTAAAAGTAATATGAAAAGCAGAAAAGAACAGATTGTGAAAGGAACTAAATATGTCATAATGATAAAATAAAATATTACGATTTTTTTTCCAGATAACGATGACTATTTATTGAATAAACATTTATTTTCATTATATATATTTCAAATCGTAACTACTTAATTCGTTTAATTATTGACTTTGAGATACACACACCGTACACACTTCTGCATATAGACTGTATATATATAGCCAGAAATCGGTTTTACGTGCGGCTATATATGTTTCACATCAAAATCTTAGACTATATAATATATATGTAAATGTTTGATTATCATAGCATTGTAAAGCAATCCTTCTTATATTATTTACCTTGAGCGCGGTTTCGAGCGCCTTGACCCTCTCCATGGTGGCTCGGAGCCTCTTCTCCAGCTTGGGCAGTTCGCAGCGCAGGTCGGCGTTGTCGCGCACCAACTGCTTGTGCACCTTGGTGAGTTGCTCCAAGTTGTTCTCCAAGAACGAGATCTTCTGTTTCTGAGCCAAGGAGCCTCCCTCTTCCTCCGCGCCTTCCTCTGAGTTTGTAGATTTCTTTATCCTTGCCTGTAATGTATGTCGATTTATTCATCTATAACACTTCCAGAAGCGAATTTATTTGATAATAATTGAATGACAATAATTCATAAAAAATTCCTAAAAAAATATAAATTATCTTTTATAGGAAAAGAAAGAGTAAGTATAAGTTCAATTTTAAGAAAAATTACAAAGATATATATAAAAATTAATCAATTTCTGATATTATATAATATTAAAAAGAATATTAATATAAATAACTATATTTTCAATAAATATAAATTACCTGCAAGTCTTGAACGAATAGTTTCCGTAGGTTGTGCAAAGTCTGCAATTCCTTAGCCACGGTGTCTTCCAAGCCCTTGAGATCGGCGCGGGCTTGTTCGCGACGCTCCACGCTTTGACTATAGAAATATCAGTTATTAAATATTTTAGTGAATAAAATATAACTACATATGTCTACGTTGTTAGAATGTTTCTTGAGTTTTACCTGCAAAGTGAGTTATCCTGCACGCACCCATCCATATATCAGGATTCGCTTTAGGCCATTAGACAATGCCACTCCCGGCAAAATGAATATGAATGGGATACGTGCGGAATAAAATGATAACTTAAAAATATAAAAAGCGAGGTGTCAAAAGACCTTGCACTACATTTGTACTTAACACCTAATTTCATAAAATTATCACATTTCAATTAAATCCAGATATTTTGTATTATCTTCTAGATTTAATTTTGAACCGTCAACTGCACGGTTCACGACATTGAGGCAATCACTCTTCGGCAGTCGAGTGCTAAGGATGTGGAAGGAAAAAATAAATGCACAAAAATCGGGTTAAATAAAATAGGAATGGTCATGCAACAAAATAAATGCCAATGTAAATGCAATGATGAGGTTATGTACCCTAAATGCCTATATGGCAACAGCCATTAATACTTCCAAATACTATGCAACACTACAAAATAATCTTTGGTTTATATGGTCAACGTAAGTGGTAGAAAAATATTTATTAAAAAATATTCTACTATCTGTACATTATATTTACAATTTATTTACAGATTTTCCATAAAATTTTGTGCTACCACTACCAGATTAGAAATTTAACAACGATTTAAACACGACTACTATCAATTCATGCTAAGTACATGCGACGAAATACCGGTGAATTTTTTTAACACCACTATAATATGGTAGTGTAAATTTTACTCAAAGAAATTTCTCAAAAAATAAACAGGTTTAAATGCATTTTTTTAATAATCGGCATAAAATTGTTTTTAAAAAGATATTTTTTTAATAAATTAAGATTTTTTTGTGAATTTACTGTAAGTATTGTTCTTGTTTATTGACTTATCGCCGACACGATTCTCGGATACTTGTAGTTATTGTTGGTTCTTTTAAAAAAAATATGTTTTTATTACTTTCTAGTTTCCTTTGAGTAAAATTTGTTAAAGATTTTTTATATGGTGTTAAAATACCACCCTGTATAACTACAGTAAGCTTTTAACAACAAATTAGACTAGATTTCGAATTCGAGCGAAGCATTATTGGCCACCTTACGCGAGTTAACCTAATTTATTGCATATATGTAAGGTGACCGCTGATATAACATGGATCTCTTATATACACAAAAAAATGTTAGTAGAAAATGTTCATTTTTTTTAAAATTAGTACTTAAAAAAAGCTGGTAGTCAATGTTAGAATGTGTACCTGTGGCAGTGTATTGCTGTGTATATTTGAGAGAATTTACTTTCCACAGACAAGTCAATTCACTTCTAACTTGACAAGCTGTAGAACACTTAAAAAAGAAATTCAATTTTCACAACATACTTTAAAAGTTAACACGAATCTTAAGAAATGTTTTGACCACGTCTACGTATTTAATTACGCGATTATTATATTTGAAACTACGCGATAAATTATGATACGCGATAAATTAGTTGATTATTGTAAAAAAAATGTTTATGGAATGTTACGGTAAGAGATCCATGAAAGCAAGCAAAGCTTAAACCAAAACAACAATTTGCGGGTATCTATGGGTGAGGAGGATCATAGTAACGGATATGAGCAGATGCAGCTGGAGTGGGTGGATGTTGCAGGTGTGACGGGGGACTTTGGATATTGCCGAGAGCGACTTTTCCTCCCTCGCGGCCTTCTCTATGCCTAAATCGAATTTCTCCACAATATCTCGGAAGTCGTCTTTGATCATCATCAGGTTGGCGACTTCCTTTTCCGCTTTATCTAGATGACGTTTGGGTGATCGTGAGACTAACATGAGCTCTTTGAGTTTGGCGGACTTGTCCGTCTCCTCGCGCTTCAGCTTCTCGTAATCGTCTTGGAGCTGCTGCCTGGCCAGGCTCAACTCCTGGTGGGTACTGGGGACAAATTAATTGATATTAATTACTATAATAAACCGAATAAATACGAGAAAAATATCGAATAAATTATTAATTATGACAATTATTCATTATATAATAGCAAGTGTTAATACACAAATACGTAACAAATGTACCTACAATGTTTTTAAGGAGAATATCAGCTGATAAACACTGATCAGCCGAAAACCATATTTATAAGACAATATCTAGCTTTTATTAACCAACTTCAAAAACCTGAAGGACAAGAACTTTCATTCGGCGGATGTGTTATTGTATCTGAATAAACATGTCATAGTCATTCATAGTGAATAAAGTTTAGTAAAGATAAACTTGACAAGAAAAATGATTGAGTAACATCGTCTGGATCTACTTACTCCTTGAGGTCCTGGTGCTGTCTCTGCAAAGCAGCCAGCTCGTCCCGAAGGGCTGCGAGCTGCGAGGCGTGTGAAGTCCGCAGCTGTTCCAACTGAGCTTCCAGCGCAGCGCGGACTTGTGTGTCGGCGCGTTGTTCTGCCGCTGCCTGCTGGACGCGCTCTGCCGCCTGGTATTAACATACACACGTATTTTAGTTTAAATGAGTACATACTTTTACCACCTTATTAAAAAAACTCAATCAGTCTAATTGCGTTGTTTCAGCCGACCTATTTATCCGTCTCTTTTCATCACAGCTAAAACACAATTTGACAGAAAAATATGAAAGCACTTTAGTTATAACGATACACATAGATTGATTTTGTTCTTTTGGAGTAACGATATTTTACTTTAATATGGTTTTAGATTAAATTAAATATCATTTAAGGAAGTAAAGTGCAAGATAATTTTTATAATCCTTTTCTAATTTATGTATATTATTATAGTAAAATCGATATGAAAAGAGACAGTGCTTTAGATAAAGCAATGAAATTAGTTTTTAGGAATAATGATGCATTTTATGACTAAACAATACATCTTTATTTTTATTTAAATGTACACAGGCTTCCTTTATTTTAAACGATCCAACTAAAAACAGTATTGAACCATTATTTTCGATCAAACACTAAAAATTTAACTAGTCAAGAAATTTTTAAGTTAAATTCCAATAACCATAACAGTTACTATACCTGTAAACGCGCACACTCTTCTCTCAAAGCATCCGCAGCCTCCTCCAACTGTCTCTTCTTGTTCTCTGCTTCCCTCATAGACTCAGCTAGAGATGCGCATCTTGCCTCGTGCTGAGATATCAGCAGTCGGCACTCACCTAGTGTTCGCTCGTACTCTTCAATCTATAATAATTGGTAATAATAAAACCATTAAAAAACCCATACATTTTTGACACAAGAGTGATACTTCACGCCAACTAGCGATTGTGTCTCTATGTCATTATGACCTAGAAATATAATATACTATTTATTTTTCTTATAGTTATTTTCATCATCATTATTTTTTTAACAATAAATGCGAACGATTGGAAAAGAGAAGAATGAAAAAATAGTAGTTTATGCAACTGTCATATAATAGAGGGTAAAACTTGAGTGCAGTTTTTATAGAAAGCAGCAAAATAAGATTACACAGGTGTTTTAATACCTAATTATATGCAGTTGCATACACTACTTTATTTAATGTCATGGCTATAGATTTCCAAGTCATAAAGTCTTTGTAACATTTGTCGTACGCTTTTCTTGATTTTTCTGGCAAAAGACTATTCGTCAGTTTCTATAATGTCAGATGGAGTTAAATTTTCATCGGTATCGTCGGTGTTGCTTGACATTTTTGCTACTAAAGTTTTACCCAACAAAATATTACTCAAATTCGTATGTACGAAATGCAGCGCGCTCACCACAGATTATGTGTACTTAAATTGATATGAAACCTCCTTAGTCGGGACACACTGTACTTTAATAATTAAAAAATTATTTTAAAGCATTATTTTGTTAGGAGAATAATGCTTTAATTTAATTTTCTTAAAAAAGTAGTAAATAAAAAGCCAATAAAAGTCTATTTCATTTCATAATTATAATGTTATTGAATGAGATTATATAAAATATTTTTGTTGATATATGTCTATTGTCTGTATTTACACAATAATCAAACTTCTTCACACTACATATAATTTCAATCCGACTAAATTATTAAATTCAATTGGTCACATGCATCAACTAATAGAAAATATACCTTCTAGATTTAAGCTATAAAAAGATAAATCAAGGTGCAGAATAATAGACGAAATATTTTTTAGATTAAGAATTTGAAATCTCCATTCTCGCCATTCTTTATCAAAACATTTTGATCAGCCAAGTTCAAATTACATCGTTAAAACGTAAACAAGAACCACCACCACATATAGTAATGGGTAATTTTAATAAATTATTCACTATATGATTACTAAAAATCATAACCAAGAAAGGAGATATTCGATTATTGCACATCATAAATAACATACCCAATGGACTTGTATCCAGGTCACGTAAATAAAAAAACAAATTATACTATTATTATGGATATTGCAACACTGACCTTCTGATTGGCGTCGATATTCGCCGTTTCGAGTGAATGGCATCGTTGCACAATATTCTTCACTTCACTCTTCATCTTGCTGATATGGAGACGAGCAACTGTGAACTCCTCTTCAAGCTTTCCGACTGTATCCACGTTCAACTTGAAGTCCAACTCAGAACCACCCACGGCAGCTCCGATCTCTGACAAGTCTCGTAGAAGATTCGTAAGAAGCTCTGCGATGCGCTTGCGTTGATGGGCAGACAGGTCGCGTAGCTGCTGAAGTTCACCTGTTGCGGTTGCGAGGGCGCTCTAGAACAGAAATATTATTGATAAAGATAATATTGTAAGGAGTCTATGACCAACAGGCCACAAAGGAGGATATTCAAGCGATAGACAGTTACTCTGGTGGGAGTATAATGTATAATATAATAATAATAATAATAATCCAGTGGCGCTACAACTCAAATTGCATCCGTTTCTTTGATAATTTTTATTTCATAGATCAGTAGCTGATTCGGTGTCTGACACATACATTTTTCACGAACGACGCCGAAGCCATAAGCCAACATTGCTTTTATAGTATGCAATATAATTATGTATCTTATATGCTGCACTTAAGTTTACAGAGGATTCTTAAACTGGGAAAACCTGTGCCCGTATACAAGTACCCGCAACCCATATAGCAGGAACTACTTGGAATAATACTCAAATCAGAAAACAATGGCAATCGTTATGAGGGCGCATAGGGCGCAAGACAATGTAAGCTACCGGGGTCACATAACATTACCATATAAATAAACATACATATATATATAAATAAAAATACATATTTTTTATTACATAAGTTTTGATGAGGGTGATCCATATTTTAAATCGGCCGATCGTCATATTTTATAGTCAATTTTTTGTTTCGCTCGCTCATTTTGTATTTGACAATGATTTTTTTTACCATAGACAAAAATGCCAATTATTTTTAATATTTACGCCCTCAATATATTAAAAAAATTGAGGTTTTTACCCATGAGGGATCCATATGAATATATCTACAATCTTAGTTTTATTCCTTACTGTTAATGTCGTGTGTTGTATATCTGCTTTAAGGACTTAAATAAAGCTTTATAAATAAATAATATATACAAAATTAATATACCTGTTTTGCCTGTAGCTCTTCCGAAAGTTGGTCACATTCGCGGCTCTTGCTGTCTACCTCTTGCGACTTCTGATCGTAGTTCACTGCCAGCTCTTCCAGGGCCTGAAGGACTTCCTTCACTTCTTCCTTGGAAGCCTCGTTCTCTTGTTGGCTTCGGTTCATGTCTCCTTGCAGAGTTTCGTAATCGCGTCTACAAAGGATATATACTTATTTAAAATATGTGTAAATTAAACTAGAATGATACAAAATATTTTAGCTTTTAAAGAGTGGTAAGGAAGCAAACAGCATAAAGTTAATAACCAGAGCTGACAAAACAATTTTTTTTGGGTCGATAAAAATCCAATACAAACAAACAAAATAATATAGTGTAATAGGATAGTGTTGTGTTGAAAACATCGATTCAGGAGAAGACATTATAAGTCAGTAATCATTGCTTTAGGAAACAACTAGTAAAAAAAAATCTCAACGGTAGAAATTTATTAAATTTTTTACGAGTTTCCTTTCCAAAAATTCGGTATCAGTTATCACGTATATCGTAATATCTCCAGAATAATAAACAATAATGATTTATCAATACAAATATTGAGCATAGATAATAAAAATTATCAATATGCTTCATATAAAAGTGAAATTGGAAGTGTCTGATTAAATTTATAACAATAAAGAAAATTGAGTAACACAAACATGTGCATTCACATGTAAAGTTTTAATTAATTTGTCTAATTAGTGCATAGAAAGTGCGTAAATTATATGTTTTGTGTTAAATATATTATTTCAATGCTATGACTTTGAGCGTTACTAATATTTTTTTTAAAATTGCAAGCTACAAACAGTCTTTTTAATAATAATATAATATTTTTTTATTATGATATGTGGTGATAATAAAATAAAAATAAATCAGTGGCGCTACAAACTTTTTAGGTTTTTAGGGCCTCAGATTCTGTATCTGTTTCATGATCATTTGACTAATAGGCAAGTAGGAGATCAACCTCCTGTGCCTGACACAAGCTGGTTTACTCACAATGTTTACCTTCACTCTTCGAGCGAATGTTAATACGCACATAGAAAGAAAGTCAATTGGAGCACAGCCAGTGATCGAACCTACGACCTCAAGGATGAGAGTCGCACGCTAAAGCCACTAGGCTAACACTGCTGTTTCGATGTGGTGAAAATCGAGTCTTTCGATTCATACTTTCGAATCGATTCTTGCTCAGTTTAAAAATAAAAACAATTTAAAGAAGACCTTATCCCGCAATATCAATAATAATCTATTTTACTTTTAACAACGCTTTGGTCGTGCGAAATATTTTTGCGAACGTCGATTGAACATTAAAATAATTGTAAGAGTTTTATTCCATATACTTTCAATATTGATATTTGTACGTAATTATTATTTTAGTAGTAACGATTTAACATTAGCTCATCTAGTTTAGTGATTAAAAATACGCAATTACGCAGATACACGCAGTCAAAATTATATGGTTCGCGCTGTGAGCACGTGTACCTATTTTTACTTTACGACGTAAGTCATACGTATTGTTTTCTCATATATTAAAAATACCTTTGTATAGTAATGTAGACAAGACCTACAAGACTTTTTGACGTGACTCTGGGAACAAATACGTTTTTGGCGTTGAATTTTAATTTGTTCGCTGCATTACCCGTGAATACGTGTTTAAGTCTAATAACTTATGCACGTATTCTAGAACATCAAACTTAAATTTTCAGGACCTGTCAAACCAATTTATCTATATGAAGTTTGACATATTCGACAGCGCTCAAGACTTGAGATACGAATTAGAATATACATAACAGTATTATTAATGTGATATTTTATTATATTTTTTAATTCCAAGTAAAATGTACGTTATAATCATAACACAAAAAACCTTGAACACACAAACACAGACTCATTTTCAGAGTATGACAAAAATGGATTTGACATACGGGAATCTTATTTAGCGTTGTCTCTAAAAACTCGCCTACCTTGTGCAAGCGATGAGCTCTTCTTGCTCCATGATTTGTTCCTTAAGCTTTTCAATCATCTGTGTATGCTGGTTGATTTCTTCATCCTTGTCGTCCAGTTGTTGATAAAGTGCTTCAAGCTTGCCCTGCATCGCTGCATCTTCCACAACACTGGCTACAGCTACTGGCACTGGCTAAAAGAGATTTTTACAAGAATTTTTTGAGTAACTGAATTTTTAAGTATCTTTTTTAATACAAAAACAAACACATCAGATTGAATGAATATCATGATATGGAAATATAGTAGGTATCTAAACTGTAACAATCTGACTCACTGTTTTATTAGTATTTAAAACTGAGGCACAATCTACAAACCTCTAGAAATAACTATACTTTAATACAATGACACAGCTTACACCCTACAGCAGTGGTTCACATTACAAATAGCCCAGAGTTAAGTCACAGTTTAACTATAAATTTTCAGTTCTGAACTTATTAATTGTCAATGAAACAGATGCAGAAATATCTTTACCTCTGCGTGATCTTACACTGTTTGAGTTTATTATTTAAATCTTGTATTTATTTTCTATATATAAATACACACGTATTTCTATTACAACTGTCAATATGTTGCCAATAAAAATTTAAATGAGAAAATAATAATGTTAACATCCCAATTATTATGCTTTAAATAAAATAAAAATATCCTATCTAATAATAATGATATGGGTATACATTTTTTATAAGGTTATTATCAGAAACTTACTGGCACAGGAGGTTTTTCTTCAATGAAGGATGTGACTGGGGTTGCAGCTTCAATTTCAACCAGGTTGACCTGCTCTTCAGGGCGCACTGTTTCACCAGATCTCCATCTACTGATTTCAGCCTCCAGTTTCTCAACCTAACAAAATAAACATGTTTTTATAAAAAAAACGACCATATATTGGCTTTACAAATTTTTTCTCGAAAAAAGTTGGGAAAAGAAAAATTTCTACCTTTCCTTTAAGCCGACCCACTTTCTCCTTCTCCCTTTCATAGCGTCGTTTCCATTCTTCAGCTGTGAGTTCTTCATTGACACAAACAACATTCTTGACGGTTTTCGCCCTGATAGAATAATAAAAATATATTGTGTTTTCTACGAATGTGATGAAAAAATAAGATGTGTATTTATATAAAGTAATACCTTTTACCAAAGTCCAGAGTACTTTTAGTTTCACTTTCGTTGAAAGATGCCGGAGAGCAACAAATGACAATGGTTGTACGAGCATTACCTCCAAGAGATTCTTGCAAGATACGTGTCAGTTTTGAATCTCTGTAGGGAATGTGGGACTTATTTCCATCAGCTAGAGCCGATATGACATTACCCAAGGCTGACAGAGACTTATTAATATTCTTTGCTTCATCAAGCACCGTACCTTCAGCACCAGTTTTAGACACCTGAAATATCACAAGTTAGTGAATAGTAAATAGTTAAATTATAAAAAATAATTCAAAATTTAGAAATGACATACCTTTTCTGAACCAGCCAAGTCCACAAGATATAGTTTTCCTGACAATTTCTTTTGATTTTCTAAATTTTCTTGTTTTACATTAATCAGGAACACTGAATGAGATCTAGATGAATGTTCATTCATATCTGCAAATATTTTTGAGTTAATATACGTCCAAAGGTACAGAACAACTATTACGTTAAATCTTGAACTTACTTGTAACGGCAATGTGTCTATTAGATTTGCCCTCTTCAATAACTTCAAAAACTTCTTCTGGACTTGAAACAAACCGTTCAGTAGCACCTTTTACAAATGGAACTCTATTCTTATCTTCGTGCACACTTAGGTTTACCTTTGAAACTGCAAAAATGTATTATATTACCAGTTGAAGAGACCAATGAAATTTAAAACAATGCCACAATAATAAATTTACCATCTAATAAGTCTCTGATTTTGTCCATATAGATTTCAAAATATGAAACTTTTATGTGGAATTCAAGATTTTCTTCCATTGCATAAATATGATTGAAAATGTCACTGACTATCCTTGGAATGATACCCTGTTTACCTGGGTCTCCTGTAAATCAAAATGATAAGTCAAAACTTAAATACTTTATAGAATAGGTTTTCACTCAATTAACCATGTACAATGCCAAAAACAGACCTATGACACCCTCCATTGTATGTGTTTTTCCAGAGCTAGTCTGACCATAGGCAAATATAGTACCATTGTATCCAGCAAGAACATCTGATACAATGCTTTTTGCGGCTTCATTATAGACTTTCTCTTGTGTTGCATTGGGCTTAAATACTTTGTCAAACAGATATACTTTACCCTAAAAGGAAAATCAATTTAATAAGAAACATTCCCTGAAAGGTGTCATTTTAGAATTATATTTTTATATTTAATATATTATTGTGAAGGTATGAATTATTTATCAATATTGAATTAAATTCAAATCAATAATGATTCATGTTGTCTGGACTAATCAATGTTTGGAGATTTTATCACATAAAATAAACTTGCTTGGCTAAAAGAAAATAACGCATTTCTATAATATACTAATAAAGAAAATGAGATTTTATCATACACGAAAAAATTATGCAAATAATTTTTATCTTTGCAAATATTAAGTTTGTTTACATTTAAACAACAAGTAAATAAAGAAAACCATATGAGACCTGCATAATTCCTTAAGAATTTGCAGGTCAAGGTCGAAAAACTATTTGTATTGATTTTAGTTAGAAAAGGATTCTTAAAATTCTGTTGCGTAAACTTGTCATGATTCTTCTAATTTTCACTATTGCAATCATAGTCAACGAAGCGTAATAAAAAAGAAAGGCCATTTCGTAGCAGGTGAACACCAGCCATAATGTATTAGTCATCACGATCTAAATTGGGGCGATGATAGAGGAAGTTAATATTGGTTTTAAAACTAAGGGTTCACTTACCCCTATTGAAATGCAATTATCGTCAGGTCCTGAAGGAAATTTCACAATAAATTTCGAACCAGCTTTTTCTTCGGAGTCATTGAGTGGACGAAATCGGCATACGACTCTAATGCTGTCTTCAGCCGCTATTTCGCGGTCTGCTGCCATATTTTACAATAATTAAGCTTACACTAAAAATCGTCTATGAAATTACAAAAAATAAAATATTAACTGGAACATAAAACCGTGCATGAAGATCTACAAAGTTAAAATTTGTCACTGGGATATCTTCATGACAGCAGTATCAAAATGTCGGCCATATTCTCTGAAGAAGAAAGGCCCGAAATCAACGTTCTATTGGTGGGTGTAATAATTATGCCAACATAATGACGAGATCGATTCGTACTGCCAATCTTTAAATAATTGTGGACAAAAGGATGCGTTCAACTCTTCTAATCATTCACCGTCGTGTTAATGTTGAAAGAATAAGATATATTTACTAATTATATGATTATTTATAAGATATACTTGCTAAAGAATCGATGTTTTAGAGTCAGATTTGTCATTTCTTATTAATTATTATTAGTTTTAGCATTTATGTACGAATTAGTAGTTGACAGCAGTACGTTGACACTTTACATTTAGGTTCTTATCTGTGGATCTAAAATGCTTTAAGTTAAGTGAGTAATGAATTGATTGAGGTTTTGTATTATTCCTATTATTTGGTTTTATATTAATATTTTAATTTTAACTGATCAAACGTAATTATATAGTATTGTGCTTAATAATTGAGTCTTTTCATATAAAATTATGAATATGCAGTAGGTGAAACGGAAATTACGGGTAAGTCACCACCTACACAATGTACCCATTACAATCTTTCTCTAATGTTGACTATAATCGTTACAATCTTAAATATGAAATATTAATTCAGGATTGCTGCCTAAATAACAATTCTTTAACCAAAGCTTACTCTCGCTGTTTGATCATTAATGTTTGTTTATGATTCACTGTTGGTCATCAGTTATAGTTGATTAAGGTTGTCAAATTTCTACATATCCTTGGCAATATGGATAATAATGGAGAAAATACATATTAAGTAAATACCGGTGTACATATTTCACACACCCATATAGATATGTGAGAAGGGCTTTTTATACTGAATCAATTTGTTTGTTTAGTTTGAATATTACACATTAAGGTATCTGTGTATAGGTTGAGGTAATGTCACATTTGCTCAGGATGTAGATGATAACTATAAATAATAATTAAATTTGAGGAGGAACACTCTTCTTCATATATATATATGTTAGATGACTTAATAATAATATGATGCATATGGTACAATACTAAAAATCTTATGTTCAATACTAAGTGTCACATATTTAAGAAGAAAATACGTTTTTACATTCAAGTTAATTTATTAACTTATATTTTTAGCTATTTTTAGACTGAACCATGTTATGTCAGTCTGAATTTATATTTACTATTTTATAACATTAACATATGTAGTGAAGCTATGTAAGAAAATCAACAATTATCCACAGATTATTGTTATGAGATACTAACAATAAATGTGTCTTTAAAATTTATGATTTATCTTTATATATATATATATATATATGTATCACTTTTGTGGTGTTAAAAGTAGTAGGTACTGTTAACAGGTTGTATATAATTTTATGTATTGTATACCTATTATATTGTATAATTGTTGCAATGCAATAATATACCTATTATAATCAAATAATATATTGGCAATTAATTAATCTGTTGGTTTACACTTTACATTATAGTCATGAAAGCCTGTCTATAGTGTGCCTACTCATCTATAGTGTAGTAAAAATTTAGCTTCTGTTTTTTTAATGATATTCATAAATATAATTAAGCACTTTGAAAATTTAATGTAACAATGTTTTTTTTTAAAATAACATTTGGTTTTAGTGTTTATTAAACATAGACAATAAAATACTACACACTTTCAAATACATAAATATTGGAATGGTTTCTTAGTCATTGATTTTATAATAAAATTGTACATAATGTGTGACTGACTAATCTTTTTAAAAAATAATAAAATATAACAATGCACTTAAAGCTCTGGAATATTATTTCGTACAAAGAAAATAGTTTAAAGCAAAATTCCCAAAAATTATTATGAAATTTAAAAATATTCAGTACGAAATATATGCTGTTTGATCATTTTATTATAAATAAAGACATTATTAATCTCATTTTTAAATCTCTTAATTTTATTCGTATTATAATTGTTTTTTAAATCTATAAATAGGTACATTCAGATTTGATTGTGTTCATTTATGTTTTGTGGCGCCACGCCCGCGAACCAGACGGGAGCGGTCAGTGACCCGCCGTGCACCCTTACCGTTATCGATGTTAAAGGAAACCAGCTTCAAGTAATACAAATAAGGGCTGATTCTTTAACTTGTATGAGATTAACGTTATACGCATAAAAAGCCCTGATATCTGGTCGGATAGCAAATGTACTGTAATCACTATATAATTATATATAATAGTTCGCGCCTCGCGGTAATGCGGCAATTGGCGCGTAATAAACTCATTATAACGATACATTTTTAATTTGACTTAAAAAATCAGATTTTATGATGTTTCGGGACTGTAAAGATTTAGGCGGAACAAAATTTGTTTAAGACTGAGATAAAAAAAAATCAATGGCAACCTGCAACTGCAACCTTTTTAGGTCTGGGCCTCAGATTTCTGTATCTGTTTCATGATCATTTGTCAATCTAAGGCAAGTAAGTGATCCGCCTCCTGTGACACACGCCGTACTTTTTGGGTCTAAGGCAAGCCGGTTTCGTCACGATGTTTTCATACACCTTAAATGCGCACATAGAATTAAACTCCATTAGTGCTCGGCCGGGAATCGAACCTACGACCTCAGGGATGAGAGTTGCACGCTGAAGCCACTAGGTCAACACTGGTCTTGACTACTAAAACTAATTGATATTATAAAACAAGCTGATGGTGACTCTGAGATACTACGTCATACTTTTAATAATCAATGGTTTCTTAGTCATAGCTTTAAATTAATAAAATTCATAAGATTTTTTTAAATAATTTAGTAGCCTTTTGAAGATTTAATTTAAAAATGATTTGTATTGAAGTAATTCAATGTATTCGTACTGTCGTTTATTGACTGAGTATTAATCATAAAATTATATTAAAAATATGAGAAACACTGACTCACACTTGTTGCTATGATGTAATCGTTAAGAATTACCAAGAATCTTGATTACCTTATATACTAAGGTCATTTATACAACCGTACAGAAAATATTTCCAAAGACGATGAATATTTTAAGCATTGCTTATTGGTTAAGCTCAATCTGGGGGACGCTTCAGGATTCCTAGATCTCTGGAGCAGGGGTGATTTAACTACGTATTTATAGTTTCGTTAACATAATTTTCAAATGCATAATATTTCCGACGAATTCAATATATTATATACGGTTATATTACTGGCGCTTGTATATACAATATGAGCTACGAACGCTATTAATGCTGTCATACTCCTGTTATATTGTATTGACTCTTGATTTGGCACGTATTGGTTCCAAGAAGGCATGGTGACGGCGTGCGGCTGTATCATTCGCTGACGAAGTTATTTTCTGTATGATTAGTCACGCGTGCATCCGGCGCGGTCTGGACGTGCTGCTCTGAATTGTTTAAAAAAAGAACAGCTTTAAAAAAGCGGCAAATAATTGTTTACTTGCAATAAAAAGTCTGAATAAGTGAATTTTGGGTAATACATAATAAAAATATATAATTTAAAGTGATGTTACTGATTTTGCTATTTTCTGTGTAAAATGACTGTATGCCAAGTGCAGTGATAAGAACGTTAGTGGTAGTAGTGAAAAGTGGGTCGCAGTTTTCGGAGAGTGAACTTGTGCAACCATTATTTTTTGTGCAATAAATTATAAAAAATATTGTTTGAAAGTAGAATGGTAAGATAATCGTGATAATTATTTTACTAAAAATGTGTGCCTAGTACCTTTAAATCTAGTACAAGGTGAAGTTAAGGAAAATAATTATAAAGCTTTGCTAGTAATCTATCTCTATACTCAAGATATAAATTAGTCCATTGATAACGAAAAAGCTGCCAAAAAATAATATTGACTCATAAAATATTTTGTAATAATTTTGAGCAACGTTTTGTTGCAATTTCATTAAATGTAAAAGCAGTCAAAAGTGTAAAGTAGTGTATTACTGTGTCTACTTAAACGATATTATTTTTAGAATAAACAATAATTTAACTTGAACGGATCCGCTATCCGCAGAGAGGCCAGAGAGATAACGCTTAGCTGTTTTTATAAAGGACTTATCTTAGTGTTTACATATAGTTAATATACAAGACTTTAAACTGGTTATTTTAAGGCCCTCACTCAGCAACATTTCATCCATCCTAACATGAATAAATATTGAGATTTATAAAATTTTAGGTTTTGTGTCCCTTCATGTGCATTTTATGGCCCAGTTGTTATTTGATGTTTGGTGCCGCGACCTCGTTTAGTACAGATCGCGGGGGCGCCCTTTCTCGCCCATAAGCCGCCCACAAGTACAAGAATCCAACGTGGACTTATGACATACGTGATACTGTGTTAATAGGAGAAAGGGTACAAAGCTAAACCAACGATAAAAAAGTCGTAATAGTATTCGTGCGTATAGAATTTCTCTCTAGTTCCCAAAAGATTTTCAAATTTCAAATAAATGTATTGTATTGCATGACTATTATTAAGTATTAGTTTTCGTCTTAATATGATTTTCTTACTTAGCCTACCTATTGAGAATACCAACATATGAAACATTTTGCTATGCTACCCCATAGAGGGTTCGCATTTCTGGAACATAAACCAAAGTACTCTAAATAAAACTAAACTTTTCTATGTTTTTTAATATTAATCCAATTTCTCTCGATAGAAACCTTAGTTCAAGAAATTAAAAAAATACTCGTTTTGGTCCAGCCGTCTTCGAGTTTTGTGCTAAGCAATATATTTTGCTGTCTATTTATATTATTTAAAATTAATCAATTATTGTAAGTGAACATAGATAATTAATCTGAGATACAACTCTAATAAACTTCTCTTATTGATTTCGGTCTTCTTTTACCCTGATGCATTACATTATATGATGAAGGTTTATAGTATGTTTTAAGTAAGCCTGAGTCCTTACTCTTACTTTCCAGTAGTGTCAGTAAAAAAGGCTTTCCATTTTATAACAAATATACCTGAATACATCCAATAAATAAAAACTTAATAGTAAATGCAGAGTTCAAATATTCAATGAATTTAACATTATCCAATATTTCAAATACATGTATTTTTTTATTTCAGATCTTACTCTGAAAACGAAACGAAATCAAAATGACAACTCGAACGATAATAGTATGGGTGTGTCTGCTCGCCGTGTGTTACGGTCAGAGGGCTGAACATCTGTTGGCCCAGAATCCATGTTCGAGTAAAACAACTTGTAGTGACTGTGCAAGGACAGCGACTTGTGCTTGGTGCTTCGCCCCTGAGTTTAATGGACCGAGATGCTTCAATCCTGCCATGGAAGGAGGCACCGCAGGGTGTGATGAAGCCTACATCTTTAACCCTGATAATCAGCAGTCTATCGATCCTATGTACAACAGAGAGTTGACAAGAGGTACAGTTCATCTTTTTAGTGATAAATTGGTCAGTAGAGCAGATAGGGGCACGTCACAGATCAGTTTTTGTTATAAGCAATAGGCTATTTGACTTATTTGGAAATTATATTCGTTTTTACAACAAAATCCCAAGGGAAATTAGAGAATTATCACTAAATAAATTCAAAGCCCTCGTTAAACGTAAATTAATCACTTATTGATAATTTTTTATAAATTTGACGAATACTTAAATGATCCTAATCCTTGGGATTGATTTTCTCCAGTTCAAACAATTTGTATGACTCAATATTTGGCGATTAAAAAGAGTGGCGGAAAGTTTCTTGCCAGTTCTTCTTACCCACTCTACGCCCTTGACTTGCGAACTGGTAATAAATGTAAATTTACAATGCATGTGCGCGGTGAAGGAAAACATCGTGAGAAAACCGACATGTCTTAGACCCAAAAAGTCGACGGCGTGTGTCAGGCACTGGAGGCTGATCACCTACTTGCCTATTAGATTTAAAAATTATCATGAAACAGATTCAGAAATCTGAGGCCAAGACCTAAAGAGGTTGAAGCTCCACTGATTTTTTTTAACAATTTTAACTACTTACGACTGGTATTTTAGAAATATATAAACAGGCTCTTATTTTTCGGTTCTAATGAGCGACTCGTTCCAAAAAAGTATTTAAAATTGTTTTCTACTTTACAGCTAAGGGCCGAATGGGCATTGGCATGGAATCGGGCTACTACGAAGAGTCTATGAGTAGTAGCAGTAGTAGCAGTAGTGGTAGTAGTGTTAAAGGCGGTGGCGGTTACATGGCTGCTGGAGCTGGTGAAAACTTGGTGCAAATTAAACCGCAACGTGTTAAACTACAGTTACGTATGAGTAAGTGTAAAAATTAATACATAACATAATCAAACATTATAAAAATAATTAATGGGCGGCCTTATCGCTAACAAGCGATCTCTTCCAGGCATATTGTGTTAGTTTGAAGGTATATTTAGTCTTAAAGCATAAAGCTACCCTCAAATGTGCATTTTTTTAATACACGTGTCTTAAAAAAAATTAATGTGTTACTCCTAATTTTTTTTATTTTATTTTAAGACAACATTTTTTATTATACAGCATACATTCAACCCTTGAATTTCACCCCTCTACGATCAACCCCTATTTTTTATTATAGTAGATAATTATTTTTATTGAACTAAATAAATGTTTCCTAGAAATAATATACATGGCAAAACAACGTTTGCCGGGTCAGTTAGTATTATATAATAATTGTCATTGCTTGACAAGTCTCGCGCAGTTAGGTCATTAGTGTCCATGTCAATGTGGTAGATAATACAAGGTCATTATCATTATGATAATACTATTTTGGTTTTTGACTTGAATTGTTCATATAGAATATATAATTATTTTAGATGAATTACGGTCTGCGTTATAATGTCACAATCTGCAGGCCTGGTTCTCAGATTTCATCCGTTTTTTTGAGAATTTTTATTGATTGATCAGTCAATCAGATACTTGTCGTAGATTATTGCGCTCTTAAGACATGCCATAGTGCTTCAAACTCGAGACCTCCTACACAAGTTAGATTAAACTTAGCTCAAAATTTAATTTCTTACTTTTTTATTAAATTATTTTCTTTCAGACCAAATGCAAAAGATGTCCTTTTCGTACGCCCAGGCGCAAGATTATCCAGTTGATTTGTACTACCTCATGGACTTGAGTAGGTCGATGAAAAACGATAAAGAAAAGCTCAGTACTTTGGGCAGTTTGTTGTCAAGTACCATGAGAAATATTACATCAAACTTTAGGATTGGATTTGGGTCTTTCGTGGATAAACTCGTGATGCCGTATGTGTCTACTGTACCGAAGAAGTGAGTCTGACTAATTGTGTAAACTATTGTCTCTTTTTAAAGCATATTGAATGAATGAAACAGCAATATTTTAAGTTGTTCCACACTAAACCACTACGCCACAGTCTAAAGCCTTAAAAACTTAAAACTTATGTAAAGTCCGAAATAGATTTCTTTTTATAAAGAAAAATATATATATAACTCCAGTTGTAGGCTAAATTAAATATATGTAATTTTTTGATTATGATTATAAAATGCTAATCGTAATTGGGAGTAATATAGGAGTATGAATCGATTCAGTCGGATTACAGTTTAGGTAAAATTCGCATTTTTAGTGCAGCTACGAAATTTGTCTTCTCTTAAATAATTATTTACAACACAATAGTTAGAAACAGGAGAAAAGTAAAATTAAATCAATCAATGGGCGGTTTTATTGCTAAAAGCAGTTTCTTCAGACTGACTAAATACATCATATAGTATTAATAAAAATATATTTATGTATTTTCAGCCCTCACTAAAAACTTTTTTAATTTTTGTTACAAACCAATCTATGTATTTTAGTTTGATTTCACCGTGCGATGGCTGCGCTGCGCCTTATGGATACAAAAATCAAATGTCGCTCAGCAATGATACAGACTTCTTTGACGTAAGTTACCCTTTGCTTTGCTTTTACAATGCTCATTGTTAAACTAACTTAAACTCAAAATAACTTTATTCATACATACATACATAGGTAACCAAATACACTTATGAACGTCAACAGAAAATATTTTAAATTGATTCTAAATTTACATTTACTACCAGTTCGCAAGTCAAGGGCGTAGAGCGGGAAGAACTGATAAGAAACTCTGCGTCACTCTTTTTATTCGTAGTTTTATTATGAAAAGTATGCTATTTTGAGGAGTATGCCTAGCAGTTCAAGTAAATCTTTCGTCACTTTCTGTCTAATTGTCTTAAGGCTGCGATGAAAAGAGATACGAATACTGATTGACTGATATGTTTGGGTTTCTGATTTGTATTTTGTTCTAAATACGCTTATGGAGTACAAATTAATTTTACATGCAATAAATTATTTATGTTAAGGGTAATTTGGGTGTTTGCACTGAAAATCCAATACATCTTCATGTTATACAAATTGTGTAGGGACACAGAATATATAAACACAATATTTTATAGAAAGCGGTAGCTCAAGCTGACGTGTCAGGAAACCTGGATGCTCCCGAAGGTGGCTTCGACGCCATAATGCAGGCCGTGGTCTGCAAACAGGAGATCGGCTGGAGGGAACACGCAAGGAAATTGCTCGTCTTCTCAACTGACGCCGGGTTCCATTACGCGGGAGATGGAAAGGTTCGTTTTGTGTATATTTTTGTATTGGCACGGCTTGTTATAAGGCGTTAGAAATTAAAAAGCTTTTAGCCTTTAAAATTATTCCCTTCGACTAGGTATCTATGTTACTCTTGTCTCAAAAACGACTGAACCTATTTTGATGAATAAAAGTACTCCCAAATTTAGAATCCTTAGAGATTTGTAGATCATCTTTATATGACTTTATACACGATAATTCCTTTCATAAATAATTAGGAGTTCCTCTTATTATAGGTCGCTAAAAATTATCATATCATTGGTGTTTTAGTCTGTGGATTACCGATACTATGGTCTATTAGATACTGAGAGTCCCTTGGTTAATTATCTGTCGTATTGTTTATAACATGGAACTAGGAACGTAGAAAGGACGTTAGAAGAGGGCCTCATAGCCTAGCGGTCTTATTAAGTGGCAGCTAGGTGAGGGGTACCGGGTTCGATTCTCGGTTCGAGGGCAAATTTTAATTTAATTTGTTCTCGGCCTTTGGGAGGGTTGTGCGGTACAAGCAGGAATTATAAAAATCTTATACTTGACGCTGGCTAATGCACAAACCGTGCCAGAGCCATAAAAAAAAAGACGTTAGAACAAAATTACCAAGGATTTAAAAAAATTATCGTCTGGCTTTGAAAAAAATATCCATGAAGTTAGGTTCAATCCCCGTGCACCAATAGACTTTTTGTGCACGCATCGCACTCGCTCGTACGGTGAAGGAAAACATCGTGAGGAAATGTTCATGTCTCAAAACCAAAAATCGGTGTCATGTGCCAGACAGAATATGAAATAAAAAAGATCAAAGTATCGGATGTAATCTGAGACCATTTAGGGTTGTCTTGTTTGCCTTGATAGGAAACTTTCACTGCACATTATTTTCTTTTACAGCTGGGTGGTATTGTTCAACCGAATGATGGGGAGTGCCACATGGAAGACAACTCGTACACACACTCTACAGTGCAAGATTATCCCAGCATTTCGCAAATTAACCTTAAGGTTAGTTAATTCATTATTAATTTATTCAATATGCAACACACAAATATATGCATATACAATATTCTTAATGTACATAGTAATAATAATAATAATTAAAAATTAATAAATAGAAATAACCAAAATTTGAAACAAATTAAAATTTCTATTTATCCATTTTTACACGTTGATTACAGATTATATTTTACAGGAACTTGTTTTAAAGAAAAACGATCTTTCCTCTATGTGTTTTGTTTGACATTTTAAAGATGTATACATACGCTTACATACGCTTGGTGTTCAATCTTCTAAAATGTGAAAACATAAATGGTACACATAATTTGTTCTCTATGGTTTCTTATCAGTTTTGACATGACTTAAAACGAAATTCAGATGTTTATTTAAATACTCAGAAATAATAATCTTAATGAACCAGTGACCCATATGACGGTTTAAGGGAAAATGCTTATAAATTCTGCTAAATGTTTAATGTTGACCGTGACATAAATATTACAGTAATCAGAAATACATGAATACTTCAAGAATTTATAGGAAATAAGTAAATGACTCATTATGATTTCATATTAATTGTTTTCTTGTGAATTTGTTTTTAGAGTGGACGGTCATTGACTACTACTACTAATGTTCTTAATTCTACTAAGCCATCTTTAAGTAGTGTTCTAATCTGTGACTCTCATCCCTAAGGTCGCATGGGCTTTCTATGTGCACATTTAACATTCGCTCAAAGGGTGAAGGAATACATCGTGAGGAAACCGGCATGCCTTACACTCAAAGAGTCGACGGCGTGATGCACAAGAGGCTGATCACCTACTTGCCTATTAGATTAACAAATGTTCATGAAACTGATACAGAAATCTGAGGCCAAGACCTAAAAAGGTTGCAGCGCCACTGATTTATTTATTTTTTAAGCCGTCTTATAAAGACTTTATTTAGGCCACAAATACATATACCAAGAGCTTGTTCATTCTGTGCATACGCGTATACGTACGTGTACGTACGAGACGTAATGAATTGTATCCCTATTACGTAAACAATTTAGGCCCTAGGGCAACAAATAAAAAACGAAAAAATATTATAATAACTGAGACTACAGAACTACGAAATATAACAAAGTGATAATTCTTTAAATTGATAACATCATCTTCTGACATAATTGTCAATAACTAATATACTAGAATAAGCATCTAATAACACCCGTTCCTTTATAATTATTTTTCGTTACTTATAATAAAAATATACTTACTTATAAAATATATAATAATTTTTGTTATAGGTGAAAGAGCATGCTATCAATGTAATATTTGCGGTAACGGCTGAGCAGATTAATGTGTATGAGCAGTTGAGCAGACATATTGAGGGCTCCAGCAGTGGTATACTTAGTGATGACTCGGATAACGTTGTGGACTTGGTCCGGGAACAGTATAATGTGAGTAGAAATGAATATTATAGCTAAGTGAATTTTATGGCAGAACATAGATTTTAAAGAAAGAATCTTATCAGATTCTGCTAACAATTATCTGATATTTTAAACAATCTGAAATATTTGTTTTACCGAGATTCGAATTCTACTAAGACCACTAAGTCACGTAATACGCTAATGTAATCACAAGTCAACAGATACGACTAGGTGGTGGCTGAGTTCTAATGACAGCTTTATAAGCGATGTCTTCCAGGCAAACAGTCTTATGGGAGATTTTTTAAAAAATATATAAAAGTGCTTTTTTTATTCAAACTTTTAAAAACCTTTTTTGTTATACTTTTGGCGCGTTAGGGAAAAATGATGAGAGTAAATTTTTACGATGCGCGCGCACACCGTAACAAAAAACCGACATCACATTTTCAAATAAAAAATGTCCATTTCTTTATTTATTTCGATATTTAAATTAACTTTATTTAACTAGTTATAATAATACTTTCATTGTATTAAATACCTTTTTTCTATTGTTAGTGTGAATGAGGCGAAAGATAAAATTATTAAAAAGTTTTTACGCCAAAGAATTATTTTTAATATTATTTGACAATGATTATCATAGAACAAGTATATTTACTATTTCTAATAAGGAAGCACTTAAATCGCCAAAACTAGAATTTGTATAGTATTTTCTGTATGAGATGTGCATAAAGAAATAGTGGAAATATTTTTACAGAAAATTACGTCGACAGTAGAAATGAAGGACACGTCAAGTGACGCAGTGCAGATTATGTATTATTCATCATGTTTGGGAAGCAAAGATAAGCTCGTACAGACAAATAAGTGTGAGGGACTAAAGGTAAGTTGTTTTTTATTAGTATTGGGGGGGCAAACGGGCAGGAGTCTCATGGCGTTGTATGTGCTTTTTAGTGTTTTGTATTAATAATTTGATTTTAAAGAGCATACTCCTCCCTCAAAGGCCGGAAACGCACCCACTAATATGCGTCCCGTAGGCTCGTTTTCCCCCTTATCTTGAATTTTTGAAGTTATAGTTAAAATTTATGAGAGTGAAATTTTACGATGCGCGCGCACCTGTGACAAAAATTAGGAGTGTGATTATACTCGCGAGCGAGAGAATAAGACAATCACAAGTAAAAAGAAATAGAATATGCGTGAAGTTCGTATGCCAACAATTTTGAATGACCATAATAGTACGAGATCCCGCTGCAGGATTGGTGCGCTCATCGACTATTTGTTTAAAACCAAATTTTTATGTTTATTTATAACTAAGAGAATATATATTTACTAGGGTGCCTATCAAAATTTGGCCGCCATTATTTTTAATTAAATTATTTTTAATTGATTTTTGGTAAAAAATTGCGTTCATTTATTATTTAAATAAAATAACGTCTACATCACGGTAATTAATATGAAGATTCTAAAAAATCACGGGTGCCGTTGCGCACATGGCCGCACCTCTTTGGCAGCCAGGTGTAAACAGGTATGATTTCGATAAATTTATACGTTGATAACCTATTTTTATTAATTATATGTCAAATTGAAGCTAATTTTTTTCTATTAATTATCATATAAAGTTGCTTAATTAAATCTGGCCGCAAATAAGGGCTACTGGCTGTTAAAGATAATAAATATTTAAGGTAGAGTGAAAGAGAGTTAGCGCGTAACATCATTTGTCAGACGAGGACAGCGATTGTCGGCTGTGCGACGCTTTTAAGCCATTGCGCATGCGTCGAATGTCAGTGTTCTCAAACTGAATAGATGCAACATTTTTATTCTAACATAAAAAACCACGCTGTTTTGGAGTTCGTAATAAACAACGTTTTATATTTACATTGTTATTTTATTTGTGCATCTAAAAATAATTATATTAATTAATGTAAAATAAAATTGATAAAGATGAAGTCGTGTTTTTTGTGTAACGAAAAAAGCAATGTACTCGACTTTAATAATGTATCATTCCAAAAGTGCTCGCTAATGTTATTGTTTCGTCGTAAAAAAAAAATACAAATATCATGACCTTTTATTTACAATTGACTCTACTAATGATTTTGGATATCATTCAGAGTGTCTAAAAAAAATTGTGGTTCTGAAGCAAAAAGATAAACAAGAATTTGAAGATTTTTACAAAACACAAACCGTAAGTAAAAGTTGAATTGAATTTAAGAATAATAGAGGTTATAGTTAATAATAATAACACTATAATCACACTGACAACTTTGTGTCTCAGGTGCGCGCGCATCGTAAAATTTCACTCTCATCAATTTTTCAGAACGCCTAAAGAAGTATAAGTTCAAAAATACTTAATGCATAATTTGAAGACATGAATAATTTAAAAACTCTACTAATGCATTTAAAAAAAAATGATAATTTAAAAAATTAAATAATTATTTTTTTCAAAAATCAACGATTAAATAAAAATAATAAACTAAAAAAATATATTAATATTTATTTTTATCGAAGAACGTAGTACCATCAACTAACTACTATATTACATTTCTCAGACAGGTACAATTTACCTGGTAGTCGAACCTTTTTGAACCTTATTTCAAACAAACAATAAAATCATTCAGCAGTATAATGTGGAGAAATAAATGCTATTACTGATTTTCTCTGTTGACTCTGCGTTATATTTTTATAAAAAAAATATGTCTTCGTCAATATTTGAAAAATTAAAGAAAAAGACGATTGTATACTTATACTCATTTAGATCGACTTAATATTTCCATTTAATCATATCAAATACAATGAAAATAGTGTTGTTGAATGACAATAAATGATATTTAACTATAACACCATATTGTTAATAATTTGCAGATTCCGAGGCTTCCTCCAGATCTCTATGAACAAAGTATTCCTGCTGTAAACAGTGATCTAGTAAGTACATACAGCAGTAATAATAATATTAATCGAATATCAAAAAAACATTTCTACAGCCAAGCTTTTGATACAAATTTTCTTTCAACACATACATTTACTTTGCAGGAAGAATCAAGAGCTACATTGAATGATCAACCTACCACACTTTCAGTAGACGACCAGTTTAGTATGACTGTTTCAAACGAGCTGCCTAGTACATCTACGCAGGAGGATGATAATTCTCAGCTTTATCAAGATTTGTCATCTACTGCTACAGTATCCCAGCAAGCTATTTCATCGACACCCAAAAACAAAAAGTCAGCCTGCCTTTTCTGTGATCACGTTGAGAAAAAAGTTGGTAAAAGAAGAATTTATGTAACATTTCCGCAATCTGAAGCAACAGTTGAAACAATAAAATCAATGGCCGCAAAATTAAATGATTCAAAGCTATTAACGAAACTAGAAAACCCTCAATCTGTTGCTTATCATTCAAATTGTTTTTCATTATATCAGATGTCACTGAAACAGCAATGTAAGGAACACTCAGAGCCAAGATATTGGCACAAAAACCGTCAATTTCATCAGTCAGCATTCAGTGCGATTTCGGAAATTATAATGGCGGAAATTATTGAGAAAAATCGCATTATGTATTTCACTGATTTGTTATCTCAATATAAATCATTGCTGTTGGAATTCTCTGAAGGTCAAGTACGCGCTGAAGATTTACAAGAATATCGTGCTGAAAATTTAGAAAACAAAATTATAAAAGCTTTAGGCGATCGAGTTACTATAGAGTCATCCTTGGGACCGACAAAAAGGAAAATTGTCTATCAGTATGACATGGACTCGTCACGATTAGCTTTAGAAATAGCTAAGTTACAATCTACTGAAAAGAATCGATGCAGAGATGTCGCTTACGAATTGCGAAACTGTATAACATCTCAAGAAAGAATGAAGCTGCCGGTCAATCTGACTCCAGAGGATGTCATTCTCGGAGAGTGTAATATTCCAGAACAATTATTTAATTTCGTGTGTGACTTAGTTCAAGGACCAGATACTCGACGTAAAAATTCAGATGACGACTTAGTGAAAATAAAGTCTGTGTGTAGTGATCTGATTTATATTGTAACCAAAGGTAGAGTCAAACCGTCAAAACATCTTACGCTCGGGTTGTCAATGAAATCTATGACAAGTTCACGAAAAGTTCTAACGATATTGAACAGATATGGACATACAATAGGCTATAATTTAGCTGAAGAAATTGAAACTGAGATGACGTATAGTTCCCAAAAAGAAAACAATGTTATACCTGCCGGTATTAGCAGAGTTGATGGACTAAGTACGCACGTAGCTTTCGATAATTTTGACCGTTTCGTCGATACAGCCACTGGGAAAGATACTCTGCACGATACAGTCGGTATCATTTATCAGTTTCGCAGTGAAAATGATGACCCTAATAATATGGACAGTTCGGATACTTCTGATTCAGAATCCTTAGGCGCATATGTCCATGAAGGTCCCACAGAGCCTCTTGCAAGAGTTCGTAAGAGACGGCGTTTTGAAGCACCTTCAAAAGAAATTCGTCCCTTCGTAAAGACACCTTTTACAAGTATGACGTTTCTTCCTTTTCAGACAATTACTGAGATAATCGATGCATGTCACTCAGGAAAATTGATTGCAATTGATAAAGATTTGATTTGGAGTATGTCTTTATCTCGAATAGATTCGGTACCCATGTGGTTAGGTTATAACTGCAAAATAAGCATTGATGGAAGTAAAATTCAGAAAGTCGAGTACTTATCACCAATAAATGAATCTCCTACGTCGTTAGCTGTTGTTCAGGAAACTCTTAACATTGCAAAGGAAGTTGCTAAGAATTGTAATCAACAGCAGATTATAGCTACTTACGATTTAGCAATAGCCAAATTAGCTTGCAGATTCAACATACTAAAAAACCAGAATTTGACTTTTTAATTTAGGCGCATTCCATACCCAAATGGCTTTCTTTAAAGCAATTGGAAAGTATATTGACTCCAGTGGATTAATAGAGATTTTAGTTGAAGCTGAGGCATTAGCAGGAGGTTCAATGAATAGTTTTTTAGACAGTAAACATTTCAATCGGTGTAAGCGGCTACATCCCTTGGCTTCTGGTGCTCTGCAGATTCTTCACTTTGAAAATATTTTTCAGAAATTACACGATGATGTTGAAACATTAAACGAAGATTTAAATTCATATGAATTCTTCATGTGGAATCAATGAGAGCATTGTTTTACCTGATTCATTGTTTAAAAATACTGGAGGGTTACAAACAGTTCCACGAAATAACACTTCAGGGCGGCCATGGAAAAGACAGCCCAAATTACTTGCAGTATACTAACTTATTAACATATTTCTTCGATTTTCTAGAAGTATCCGTTGCAGTAATTTTGAGCTCTACTTAGATTCTATCTTCGAAATGTGTAATTACTTTTTTGTATTCAATCACCGAATTATGCCAATGGGCTGCTATGTATTTAAACAACTTAATCAACTGAAGGTTGAAAATTCAACTCTACTTAAGGAATTTCGTGAAGGTGCATTTGGTATTAGACGCACAAAATCATGCTTAGGCGATCACCTGTCGACTTGACTTTGGAGCGACGATTAATCTTGCCGGTAATACTTTGACTGTGTTAGCCATTTTACAAATCGATCGCTGCACAGAAAGATGGGCTCTTAGTCATAGTGTCAGAACTAAAATTATGTCGTTTGTAAAAGTAAAATCGGATTATCTCAAGCAGATGATACTTCTTATACGTTACAGAAGAATCGAATCGAGAAAGACTCTAAGACTCTTAACAATTTATTGGAACAATCAAGAAAACAATAATCCTTTTTCAGAAATATAGACAAAAATAGTTTGTTCAATTTGTCAACTGGTAAAGCGGCATCCTTAAATGTTGCCAATTTTTTACTCAACGTTAAGTCTTTAGGTGAAGAACAAAAGTTAAAATTTTTTTCGGAATGCTTTGAAGATTCATCAAGATTTGTGAGACCAATAACTCGTAATAAAATAAATAACTTCGCTTCAGATTGTATTAAAAGAAGTGTAAAGAGTACCACTGGAGACAAAAAAACATTACTTAAAATGGAACGAGATATTTTTGGACGTCTGTTAGCAATTGCTATAAATCAAAAAGTTGACATTGAGTATTGTCTGTCATTTCCTCTTGCACCTGTACCTCCTGCACTATTCCACTGTTCAGGCGACATGATGAAGACGGATAAATCAACTTTAGGTAAACAATTGATTGCAAAAATAGCACCAGCTAATCCCGGACAAGTCGACATAGAAATCATTGATGGTTTTTATTATTTGTATCAAATTGGCTCTTCTTTGCCAAAACATTTGGAAAAAATAGCAGAATCGATATTGATGAAACTTTGTTCGAAAAATGCTCCGGAAGTACACATCATATTTGATAGATATTTAACACCATCTATTAAAGATTGTGAACGACAAAATCGCAAAGGAATTGATATTCCATATACAATTAATGGCCCTTTGCAAAAAGACCCAATGATTTTTTAAAAAGCTTGAAGAATTTTCGTTTTAAAGAAGTCTTCGTAAAATTCTTAGCTAGCCATTGGGTCGATGATTCTTTTGCTCCAAATTAGGAAATAAAAAAATTATGTTACTGTGGAGAGCAATGTTTTTCATATTGTTCTGTTGGAAATTTAGTAGTGAAAACTGAAGAAACTGAATTACATGTAAACATGAAAAGCGGATACGAGAATTGTTTTCCACATAAGTAAAGTACCTGAAAATTTAAAAATTTTGGTAAAACCAACACGTTTTAATAATTTTTAGTAATATGCTAAATTTCTAATTGCATATTGGTTGGCAAACAATTCATCAAGCAAAAGTAAAAATAAAATGAAGTTTACATAAACTGTACGGACTTATCAAAAAAATTAGGAGCGACTTTATGTCTTGCTCTTCCTGCTTTTCACGCCTAACGGGTTGCACTACACGGCTGCATTTTTCAACAAAGGAAACTTCGGCCCTTGAATTATTTATTAAAAATCCAGAAATTCAACAGGTTTTGCGTCTTTAACGAATCCTACTGACATCTTCAATGAAAACAAAATTGATGCAGTCCAAGAGTTTACGTGCCTTATGTATGGAATACCAAAGTGTCAAAGTGTAAATACCGCAAGATTTTTATTATTTAACAAAATGTACGCTTCAAAACAAAATAATGAAAAATTTATGAAGAGAATTAAAGGTTTGGACTCGACGCACATTCCACCGTGCTGGAAATCTTTAAAACAAAAATTGTTGCGGAAATCTTCGTTAATTCGATGTGGTTAAATGCCACTGAACCAGACTGCATCAAATTCAGCCCAGAAAATAATGGCTGGCTGGTACTAGATGGTTTTTTAAAACCAACATGGTTCCTGGGAGACTCAACTCCAACGCAAGTTAATAGTGTGCTATTGAATCCACGAACAAAGCTTCCGACCGATCTGTTTGTAGCGATGAAAGTGATAGCTCCGATGATAGTACAACAGAAAGCTCCGATGATAGTACAACAGAAAGCTCCGATGATTCAGATTTTTAAATAAGAGTTACGGAAATATAAGTTATAAGATTAATTTTTTAATTTTTTAATTTGCTTAAATGTTTAATTAATATGTAACAGACAATTAATTATTTGAATAAAATCTAATAAAATTTTTAAATAATACTTTTGCAATAAAAATTTCTTTTACTTAAGTCACCTTGGTTTTATTTTTTTATTTTTTAAATTAATATTAAATATCGACGTTCTAATTAGCAAATTATCTAACTCCATTTTAGAGAATCTTTTATTTGTACGAAAAAACAATGACTTCAAAATTTATTATCATTTTAAAAAACCATTTAATATCATTAATATCTAATAGAGATATAATATTTAAGTTTAAGTTGTAATTGGATTATTGCTTCATCAAAATGTTCAACAAATTGCTAACTAGACCGTCGATTCAAATCAATATTAATGTTTTGTTGCAATTTTTAAATTTGTCATTTTGAAAAAAATTACATATTTTTTATAAGTCGTCTCTATTACTCCCGGTGGTTGAGAACACTAACGTTCGAGCATGCGCAATGGCTTAAAAGCGTCGCACAGCCGACAATCGCTGTCCTCGTCTACAAATGATGTTACGCGCTAACTCTCTTTCACTCTACCTTAAATATTTATTATCTTTAACAGCCAGTAGCCCTTATTTGCGGCCAGATTTAATTAAGCAACTTTATATGATAATTAATAGAAAAAAATTAGCTTCAATTTGACATATAATTAATAAAAATAGGTTATAACGTATAAATTTATCGAAATCATACCTGTTACACCTGCTGCCAAAGAGGTCGCCATGTCGCAACGGCACCCGTGATTTTTTAGAATCTTCATATTAATTACCGTGATGTAGACGTTATTTTATTTAAATAATAAATGAAGCAATTTTTTACCAAAAATCAATTAAAAATAATTTAATTAAAAATAATGGCGCCAAATTTTGATAGGCACCCTAGTAAATATATATTCTCTTGTTATAAATAAACATAAAAATTTGGTTTTAAACAAATAGTCGATGAGCGCACCAATCCTGCCGGGATCTTAGACCATAATGACATTTGTCATTTTCCTTTTAAACAAATAAAGGAGTTTTAATTATTTTTTCAAAGAAATTTAGCAATGCTTTTTTTAATCAAAATATTTAATAAAGAATATATTTCTATAGTTTGTACTACTATTGTAAAGTTTTGTATATTTGTAACGAATAAACTCAAAAACTAGATAGTTTTAAGTATTTGGGTTAAAATGTGTTTTAATCCAATATATGATAAAACATTCTAGCTAAATAATAAATTTTGTCTGTAGCAATGCTTATATTAATTACTACTACATTAAATATTTTTTTATTGATAAAATAATGACCTAATAATATATTATGTATTTAACAAGAAAATCAAAATATTTCTTTTATTAGGTAGGTGACGTGGTCGAATTCTCAGCCGAAATTACCCTAAAGGAGTGCCCCAAGGACCCCAGCAAGTGGCGACAGACATTCACGATATATCCTGTGGGTGTTTCTGAGAGCCTCACTGTGGAACTTGACATGCTCTGTGACTGTCCCTGCGAGCACCCGGGACACCATGTAAGTAATAATAATAAAAAAAACCGGCTGCACATACCTGTCAATATTGATAAAGTACTTATTATAAAGAAATGCGTGGATATCCTTTTCTGAAGCTACGGTTTCCTAGAACAGAGAAAAGCGGTGCCGTTATGTAACGGCCGTAATGTAACGTTGGATGACGTCACCCATACGTTGTCTATAAATAACATCGGATTAGGTTTTCTAGAGAACGTTGAGTGTCACCGTAACGTCAAATAGCGGTGCTGTCATTTGCATGACGGCCGTCATAGCGGTGATAAACAGTAGTTCAACGTTTTTCTCGTGTAGCGGTGCACATATTTAATTAATACAATGACCTGGTCGAGCGAAAATAATGAACAATTAATTAATTTTGTTAAAAATCATAAAGCTTTGTACAATATCAAATGACGTAACACGTATCACGGGTTTTGAACATGACACTCTCCTTCCAAAAGGTTTTTTTTCGTCTTCTGATGACTCTTCATCATCCAAAAATACTAATAATGCTATGTCCAAATCGTCCATTTTTCACCAGTACACGACCTACGCTCGAGTAAGTACTGAGTGACTACGATTGAATACGGTCGCACTACTTTCTAGGAAACCACAGCTTGGCCACCGTAAAGACGGCTGTTATTAACAACCGTAAAATGACGGCCGTTAGTTAACGGCACCGCTTTTCTAGGAAACTGTAGCTTTAGAAAGTACTGAACTGATTTTTATGAAAATTGGACTGTTGACTAAGGGAGCGTTCAAGTATTACGTCACGAAATTTTTGGAGATTATTGACACACCCCCCCCCCCCATGTAACGCGCCGTAACGTTTTTCTGTGGTCACCATTATGTGGTGTAAAGTACTGGAAAGTCGAAAATAATATTAACAACGCGTAATTCAATTCCAGCCCCGAATCGTAAGATTTTACAAAAGGGGTCCCCCTCCCCAAATTCGTTACGTAATACTTGAACGCTCCCTAAGTTGGAATATACCTACTATTACATATATACTATATACAGTAATAATGATATAATCAATACAGATTAAAACAAATAAGAGAATTATGTCGTATATCGACTGAGTTTATAGAAATCTGTGGATATACATACGTCATACATACATAGAGTCTGGCTAATGAAAGAAGATAACGAAAAAGCGCGACAAATTCAAAAAAATTTAGTTTGGTATCCCTAAAAGTTTGATATATTTTGTGGATTACACTTACTTGATACTTGATTTTATTTTATTATTTTTTTACATTGATATTACATATGACATTGATATTGATATTTTTAACTGTATTTCTATGAAATTAAATACTATACGTATTTAGTCTTTTACTATTGATACTTAAAATTACTAGCATTGCATGGAAAACTAAAACTATATTTATTATAAAACACAACTTTATTCGGAATAATCACATCCTGCGAAAGAAACCAAAATATATTCTATCAAATAAAACAAAGTTTAGGCTATTATACCTGTTAACTATTCGGAAAAAATATATAATACAAATAAAAATGAGTAATTGCATGAAGTATCAAGACAATAAATCATACTAACCTAAGAAATTCAATGACATTCTGTGTTGCCATCCGAAAGTTTTCAAATAATTCAATTATTTTCTTTCATTAGCCAGACTCTACTTACGAATGCGCACATGCACATTAGAAGCCTTAATCCATCATTATAGTAAAATATTATTTAATTTAATTCGTGAATCCTTTTTGTGAAGTCTGTTCTACAATATTTCAGGCCTACAATGACAGTCCGCTAGTGTGCAGCGGTCAAGGCATATCTGCTTGTGGTGTCTGCGTGTGCCATCCAGGACGTTTTGGCAAGAGCTGTGAATGTTCAGCTCACAGCGGAGTATCCTTGGAACAGGAGAGAGGATGTCGTCCGACGAACGCAACGTCTGGACCACTTTGCTCCAACCGGGGAACCTGTATCTGTGGTGTCTGCGAGTGTAATAAGATGGATGATCTGCTTAAGGTGAGACCTTTTAGCGTACTTTAATGAGTATTTAATGTAAATAAAAAAAACATCAGTAGCGCTACAACCTCAATAGGTCTTGGCCTCAGATTTCTGAATCTGTTTCATGATCATTTTTAAATCTAATAGGCAAGTAGGTGATCAGCCTCCAGTGCCTGACACAGGCCGTCGACTTTTTGGGTCTAAGACATGTCGGTTTCCTCACGACGTTTTCATTCACCGTTCGAGCGAATGTTAAATGCGCACATATAAATAAAGTCCATTGGTGCACAGCCGGGGATCGCACCTACGACCTCAGGTATGAGAGTCGCACGCTGAAGCCACTAGGACAACACTACAATGTAAATAAAACTTGTAAATTATACAAACAAGTTTTCTAAAAATTTGAGCGATTAAAATCATTTTGACGAGAAATATTCCATTAGAATATTTTCCATTTACCCAACATATATACCAATGTATATACAATATCCCACTATACTGTGATACATATATTTATTAAAACTTCGTTACATTACAAATAAAAACAAGTAACATAAATTATTAGTGATGCGGTCGGCCTTTTCGCTAACAAGCTACATATCTCTTTCAAGCAACCCTAGCATAATCAAATTAACAAAAATAAAATTACTAGTAACACTGATAATAAAAATACCAAACTTAATCTAAAAAAAATCGATAAAAATAGACTAAAGGCTTTAATCCAAGTATCCAAATCTTTCCAAGGTTCATGAATCATGAAAAATCAATACAAAAGAATAAGAAAATTCATGAATTAGGAAAGTCACGATTGAGCAGGATAGGATATGTTTAAGTGTTTATGTAGAAGGCTTAAAATATCTATTGAAACATGATACAAAAATTGTAAGGGCGTGTTGAGAATTAAACCCCCATTCCCCCCAAAAAAAAATTTTTTTTCCCCTCTTTCCCCAAAATAAAAAACCCAAAAGGGGGGGGAAACCCCAAAACCCCCCCCCCCCCCCCCCCCCGGGGGGGGGGGGGGGGGGCCCCCCCCCCCCCCCCCCCCCCCCCCCGGGGGCACCCCCCCCCGGGGGGGGGGGGGGGGGGAAAAGAGAAGGAGGAAAACACCCCCCCCCGGGGGGGGGGGGGGGGGGGCCCCCCCCGCCGGGGGGGCCCCCGGGCCCCCCGCGGGGGCGGCTTTTTTTTTTACACCCCCCGGGGCGGGGTTGGGGGGGGGGGGGGGGGTTGTGTTTTTTTTTTTTTTTTTTTTTTTTTTTTCTCCCTTGTCCCCCCCCCCCCCAAAATAAATAATTGTAATTTAATATTGAATCCATAATTTCAGGTGATATCGGGTCCATTCTGCGAATGCGATAACTTCACGTGTGATATGAATCATGGTGAGATTTGTTCCGGTCCGTCCCATGGCGAGTGTGTCTGTGGCAAGTGCAACTGTAAGCCAGAATACACAGGTCCTGCCTGTCAGTGCCTAAAGGATCAGAGCGCCTGCATCTCACCAGGTAAATGTTTTGTGGTCTAGCCACTTGAGGGAATTTGTCTGCCTAAGAAAAAGTTCGACATTGATATCGATGTGTTCGCCACGTGTGTGGTGACAGCAAGGAGACACAAAATTATTTCGATTATGAGGAATGTACTTCGTAAACTTTTATTTTCAACTAAATTAAATTCTGTTTTTTTTTCCTTTTTTTTATCTACAACCAAAATATTTGGCATTTTTCCCTTCTTATTTAAAAAAAACCTATATGATTTATAATTGGCGCACAGTGTATATTTCTGTATTGTGCTGTTAATCTTCTGAAAAAATTGGATAGAGATAGCCGTTTCATCTATTTAAAACTTGAAAAGAAACTTTGTTTTATATATAAGATAATAATAATGTATTGCTATGAAATGATTAGTGTCCAGGACTCCTTATGTAGAACTGTATTTCAGGAGCCTGTAACTTCTCTCTTAACGTCCCAATTACATGTATTGTGTAGCATTATAAACGCATTATATTTATTAGGTTAAGATTGAGAACTGTACAATAAATATAACGTCAATACCCTGCGCCTTTCCCTTACACATTGTAAATTTTCATTTGATACCCGGAGAGGGCTTAAACTATGGCGTTACGTTTTTGAAGTTATACTTCTTTTGAAGTTATTTTGGCGCGTTAGGGAAAAATAATGAGGGTAAATTTTTACGATGCGCGCGCACACCGTCACAAAAAACCGACACCCTGAAGTTATAGCCAACATTTTAGTTTTTTCTATTGCCAGTGTCGTTATTTCTTCAAACGACGAATAAATTTTTTGAAAAGATTTTTATCTCGTTACGCCAAAGAAGTATAACTTCTAACGCGTGTACACAAGTATACACACGTTTTTTTTTTTAATAATCGCACTGTTGATATAAAGGTGATATATTTGTTTTCAGAGAACGGCAAGATTTGCAGCGGAAATGGTAAATGTGTGTGCGGTCAGTGTGTGTGCAGTGTGGACGACGATCGACATTACACCGGCAAGTTTTGTGACAACTGTCCTGTGAGTGTTTATTAAAATTTACATTATACCTTAAATCTAAAGTATTATAATTAGATACATGACAGGTTATTCATATAAAAAACAACTTTTTTTGTAAATTTTCTAATGTTTAATAGATCAAATCAATAACCATGACAATCGGTCCAGCCGTTCTCGAGTTATAAGTCGAACAAAGCTACTTTGTTTTATATATTAAAAACTATAAATAATTAATGTTTGTTACTAAAATTTAATTTTGTACAGGGTAAACTCTTTTAACAACATTCGTTATAACGAAAACCTTTCAATAACGTAAAAATTTGTTAAATTTGTTTGGTGTAACACAAAACCCATACTATTCTCTATTACGAAGAAATATTTTCAGTGAAAACACGTGTGCCGTTATTCTTAGATTACATTGCTTGTCATAGCAAAACACGTCAGGCAAATTAATAGAATATTTGTTTAGAATAATTTACTTAAATTATTGTAATTGGTTCAATTGGGTTATATTGTTCTTGTCCCTCCGCATACCGAATAATCTCTATAATAAAAAAATACTCGGTCCCTTGAAATGCGTTATAAAGACTTTACACTGTATATTTGTAATTTATGTAACAACTGACATTCCTTTTTAACTTTTCGCAAAAACTGTTTTCCTATAAATAAAATATAAAATTTAGAATAATAAAATATAGTACTAATATTGGAATTTATGTCAGACCTGCCCAGGTAGATGTGAAGACTTTAAACACTGTGTACTCTGTGAAGTCCATAAACGAGGTCCGCTCTATAATCCGGATCAACCGGGTCGGGACTGTGGCGAATGCGCTCTTTATCCGGAAGTTGTCGAGGGCAAGATTGAAGGTAAATTTTATTATTAACAATCTTTAGCATCGCTAATATAGATGTCAATATATAGGTCTTATAATGTTTTACAATATTGAAATATAATATACAACAATATTGATATTAATAATGATTGCATTTTTATGAAAAAAGACAGAAGGCATTCGGTGCATTTTCCTTTCAAAGTATACTCTCGAGCTGTTGTGCGTTCTTACAAAACTTTTTCACTAGTGTTTGTACATAATCTTTATCTTGTCGAACATAAGAAAACTTGCATTGGTATCTTTACGAAACAATTTGAATCTATTTATTTCTGAGTATTTTTCAACTTTTTGTCACAGTAACACTCGTAAGAGATTTATTAAAACTAAATTAGTTTTATGTCACCTGTTTAATTTAAATTCTTCACCGAAATAATGTATCTCTTTTCATGACAGCGTTAACAGAATTCTGTTGAAAGAATAACATCAGTTTAATGAGAGCAATTGAATTGATTTCGTAGAAAGCATTAATGAATTTTAATATTTTTTTTAGCCAACGAAACATTGAACGAGCACTTGTGCAGTTTCTACGACGACGAAGACTGTCTGTACGTATACGTTTATTCGTACAACGACACACGCACCGTACACATACGCGCGCAGAAGGAACATGAGTGTCCCAGAAAGGTATTTTAATTTTCTCATTGAATTAATGTTCGTATGTGTTTTCAAAGGTTACTTTCATTTCAATTTGATTTTCTTATGTTACGGTATCACTATAGTTTTAAGTTGATTTTATCTAAATACCTGATCAAACTCAATACCATTCAAAAATCTTGATAATAGTGAAAGTTAGGCTTCACGGAATTACAGAAGTTAGAAAAACCTTTGGTTATTAATTTTTACACAAACAAACAGTCAAGTATCGTGAATATATTTTTTTATTCGTTTCGAACTTTATGGAATTGTTTTTAATCGAGTGGCTTTCTTATTTAATTCTATTTTCCAGGTGTTTATCTTGGGCATAGTTCTGGGTGTGATTGCGGCGATAGTGCTTGTGGGTCTGGCGCTCCTGATGCTGTGGAAGATGGTCACCACGATACACGATCGTAGGGAGTTCGCCAGATTCGAGAAGGAGCGTATGATGGCCAAATGGGACACTGTAAGATATTTACACATATTTAATAGTAATTGTTTAACAGTGTAGGACTTACAAATCCGTTTTTGATACATAATTTTAGGTTAAGAGACACTTGTTTAGATTCACATTTAAAATTGACTGACTTGGCTAAAACATACAATTAAATTATATATGTATATTAAAATTCTCATTTGAATATTTCAACTGGTGTTATAAAAAAGTGTTTCTGTCAAATTTTATTTACGCGTATACACACATAATACTATATTTTTTGTTACAGGGAGAGAATCCAATTTATAAACAGGCAACATCCACCTTCAAAAATCCCACATATGCGGGAAAATAAGGGAAACAGTGATTATCACTGGTAGTGGTTACTAAGTCATCAGTATTTGAATATTTGTATTGTAAAGATGTACTGTCAGCAAAATATTATCGCATTTATATTTTTCAAATCGCTATTGACTGTATACGTATTGATTTTGACAACAACGGAATCTCATTGCAATTTTAAGCAGTGTTAACGTTATGTTTTGTCTCTTTCCGTCAAAGTGTATCAACCCTGTGATGAAAAGAGACAATGAATGCTGTAGTTTAAAATGTGTATTTAGATTTTGTTTTTAAAGGTTTTATATAGATCTAAACGAATTAAAGATAACCATTACGGTCCCATCGAATAGTTAACGGATTAACGTCTTTAAAAAAAACGTACGCACAAACTTTTCGTTTAATACTTGTATGACATAAAAATCAAAGCTTATTTTACGTTTGGTATTAATTATAAAATAACTGAATTGTGACCGTTTATTTAAATCGGTTTAAATGACTCTAAAATAGCGCTGATAAAGCGTACGTTTTATTAATGATCTGATTTACATTATTTTGTTGATTTTGCTGATAGTACAATATAGATGCCTTACTGTGTGCCTTTACATTTATCAGAATAATTATACTCCATTTCAATAGGATTGAAAACGGGTCAATAACCCGTGACGTCATTTGCCTGACTACCGACTTTCAAATATTATGCCTATTATATATAAGATATTATTTATAAACTTTTCGAATATAAGACATGATTTTTTTACGTTTCGTGTCTTCCTTTGTATGTTTATTATTGATATATTTATATGATTACTGCCCTCGCGAACTTCGTTTCGCCTTGATATGTTTTTTACTTCTACGTTTTTAGTAACTACATATCAACATATGGAACATTTTGCTTTGCTGCCCCATAGACTGTTTAAAAAAAAAATTCGTATTAAAACCTATCACTAAATAAAACTTATTTTTATTATAGTTTTAATTTTTTTTCAAATTTATCTCCTTATAAAAACTTTCCCCAGACCTCAAGGAATAAATAAATAATATAGAAATGGTCCAGCCGTTTTCTAGTTTTGTGTATAGCAACATATTTTGAGATACATTTTTATTTATATTGTATATGTTTATATGTGGAATCATATAAAAATTTCATGTTTGGTGTTAGACCACATGAAAATGACAGATGAAAATGAAAACACTAATAAATAAAAAATACGTAGTTAAAATATGTTACGAGTAAATTACTAGCTTTAGTAAATTCTTTTGGAGTGGAGTAATATGTATGTCTCCTATGGTCTGGTCTAATCTCATAGTACGCGTTTTGTACTTATGTGTGTGTAGTTTAACATTAGTTTTAATAAATATATTTTGTAGATAATATAAATTCACAAAGCACTGCCTGTATTTATTTTTTTATATTTCAAAAATGTATAGTGCCTTAATGCTAACAGTGCCATTACTAATATGTGATTATTATTTATTAATAAACATCAAATTGTACATGAAATTATTTTTACGGTTTATTGCATTTTTAAGCGGAAATGAATTTTTTAATGATTTTTATAATGTACTGAATGTATATGAGTTTGTTACGAATAATTAACTAATTGTGGCCTTTTAATAGCTAATAAATATTTAGTAACAAAAACTGGTTTTAATACTTTCGAGTAATACTAACGTATTTACAGGAAATAACTGTTTAAAGGTTCTTGGATAAAACAACGTCATTAGTTTGAACCATTTTTTATAGTTTTCGTATAAAATAGCCAGTCCTTTACATAGAAAAATCTACGTTTTGTAGGAATTATGAGTAGTATAATCTAAAATAAGTAAATCTGTAGATATTTGTGAGGCATGAGGTAGACGCATTCCTGCCTTTCCACTAATATATTTTTAGACAATTCTTAATGTGGTTTAAGTTTTCATTTAGTTCTGTTTATTACTGTTATTGTTATTTTTTATCTTTTTAGTTTCAGTTTTTGTTTTTTTTTGTGGTTGTTTGTTTAATTTTTTCCTTTGATAGATTTCTTATGTTCTAATGTAATAACGATGTAGCCAATTTATTTATACTTAATTTTTTTTTTAAATCTAAGTGACACTTTATTTACACAAATACAGTATTTACAATTTTCTTAACCTATAGGCCTGCCTTCAAATTCAGTCTCCGGATGAAATTCTAAACGCTATAAATTCGTTTAAACCAGGATCAGCTGCAGGCTTGGATGGGCTGTCACCCCAACATCTTAAAGATTTAACTTCATTCAGTGTTGGTGATACAGGTGCTCGGCTTTTAGAAGCTCTTAAAAAACTCGTTAATAAAATGCTTTGCGGGGAGATAAACCAAGCTATTGCTCCTATTTTATATGGGGCAAACTTGGTGGCTCTTACCAAAAAAGATGGTGGGGTGAGGCCAATTGCTGTAGGTAGCACTTTTCGCAGCTTAACCTCGAAAATTGCAGTAAAACATATAATTAGTAAATTGAACAAAATTTTTGAACCAACACATCTTGGCTTTGGCACTAAAGGCGGATGTGAAGCTGCTATACACGCTTTGCGCACGCTTTTTTCTAACGAAAAATTTGATGTGTTGTTGAAAGTTGACGTCAAGAATGCATTTAATTCAATCAGCAGGGACACCTTGCTGACTAAGTCTTTTGAAAACATTCCAGAAATATATAACTATCTTTTACAGTGTTACTCAGAGCCATCAAAAATAACATACAAGAGTTACGAACTCTCTTCAGAAGTTGGTTGTCAACAAGGTGATCCTCTTGGGCCGGCTATTTTTAGTCTCGAAATAAATTCTTGCATACAAAATTTAAAATCAAATTTTAACGTCTGGTATCTTGACGATGGTACTCTAGGAGGTAACGCAGATGTAGTACTTTCAGATCTATCTAAAATAATATCAGATTTTAGTTCAATGGGTCTAACTTTAAATTTTGATAAATGTGAAATATATCTCCATGGTGAGAATATGGACACCGACCATACAATAAAAAAAATTAATACCTTAGCCCCAAATATAAAAATAATAAATAAAAAATCGCCGTACCTCTTAGGAGCACCGATTTTCAAAGAAGGTTTTGAAGAATACATTAACTCGACAATATCAAAATTTAAAGATCTTTCTCACCGTCTTCTGGATATTACAGCACACTCAGCTTTGTTCATTTTAAAATTCTGCCTTTTTATTCCCAAATTAACTTACGTACTTCGCTGTAGCCCTCTATGGAATCATTCAGTTTTTTTGAGTGGTTTGGATAATCTTTTAAAAACTTCTTTGGAATCTATTTTAAATGTTCGTTTTGATACACCTTCTTGGAATCAAGCATCGCTTCCTGTTCGCTTGGCGGATTAGGAGTACGCAAGATAACAAGTGTAGCTCTTCCAGCGTTTCTCTCATCTGCTCACAAATCTAGCAGTCTGGTAGGTAAAATCCTTAGATATTATTCTACAAACTACGAGATAGCGGATTTAACAGATGCAAGAAACGCGTGGATAGCATCCAACCCAGGCTTAAGTTTGCCTTCTAGCTTCAACTTTCAAAGGAGCTGGGATGATCGTCTTTGCAAATGTGAATTCAAAAAGTTATTAGGTCACATTCCAATAACAGACCGTGCAAGGTAGATGGCTGTGGGGTCTAGGGAAGCTGGACATTGGCTTAATGCTTATCCTTCGCCAAACACTGGCACCCTTTTAGACCCTGATTCACTTCGAATTGCCATCAGCCTCCGCTTAGGAGTGCCCTTATATACTCCCCATAAGTATCCCTGTGGTTTTGATGTAAGTAGCCTTGGACACCATGGCCTACACTGGCAAAAGAGTGCAGGTCGTTTTTCTCGCCATGCCGCGCTAAACGACATTATACGCCGCTCTCTTGCCTCCGTCAATGTTCCAGCAATTTTGGAGCCAACAGGCATCGCAAGAGACGATGGCAAGCGGCCGGATGGAATGTCTTTGATCCCTTGGAAAATGGGACGGGCTTTAGTATGGGATGCTACCTGTGTAGACACCTTTGCCCCGTCTCATCTCCTTCGGACAAGCAAAAAAGCTGGCGCGGCCGCAGAACAGGCAGAAATTAACAAACGGCACAAATATAAGAGTCTTTCCTCCAACTTCAATTTTGTTCCCTTTGGAGTAGAGACTCTTGGGCCGTGGGGTTCAAGTGCACAGGCGCTTATTAAAGATTTAAGTTGGCGCCTGGTAGATAGTACCGGTGACCACAGAGCTGGCACTTTCCTGGCTCAAAGAATAAGTCTCGCAATACAGCGAGGAAATGCTGCCGGCGTGAAAGGTACACTGCCACAGGGACCAAACTTTTTAAATTTGTTTTGATTTTCTTCTTTCTTCTTTAATTATTTTTATTATTACTTTATAGGCTAATGTAATTGATGTGTATGTTAAATTTATGATATCATATTTTCTTGTATTTTTTAGGCATACACATTATTTTAGAATGTATAAATAAATAAATAATGGCAACTCACAATCATTAAGTAAAGAAAGTTAGTTGTGAAATCTTTCTTATAGATTGCAGCCCTAGCTCGAAGGTTTACTAAAGTGCGTATTGGAAAATTTAACTAATTTCACTTCGTAATTGGACAGTTGCAAACATTCGGCCATTAAAATAAGCCGATTAATTCGAGATTTAACCTATTAGTTGTTTATAACAAACAGTTTATGTTATTGGGGTTTCAATTTAGTGTGGCTATTCCATAGTTTTGTTGTTATGTTTCGTACCTGGAATCTAATCGGTTAAAATAACATCTTAATTTAATTAAAAATTTATACTCTTAATTTCCCACCTCCTTAAAAGTTGTGCATAACTATTCTTTTATTCGAGTTGCCTTAAAAATATCGCTATTTTCTGATAACACACAAGTTTTATTTATTTATATTGAAATTACTGTTTCTGGTTATTTTATATTTGCCCTTAAGTATTTCATGTCTGTTAACTGTCCTGTCCTGGAACCCACTAAAACAACCAAGTAACTAGGAATTAATGATTGATTCGAGTCT